TGTTCAATAGGTATATACGGACGCCCAATAGCTATATATGGACGTTCAATAGCTATATACGGACGCCCAATAGCAATATACGGACGTTCGATAGCTAGGTGATCTTACATGATACCTGCTGAGGAAGAAACATTCTTCGCGCGCATGTCCTTCGTCAGCCTCCGCAAGAAACTCCTGCCATTACCATGTCAATTATCAGGATCCTCAAATTTTTTCATCTTATGTTACACTATCTGATGTACCTACCAATTAAATTCAATTAATTCATCTTGCTCATTCCATCAATATTGATAGGTAGTATAATAATTATAAAGTAGGCACCTACTAGTAGATAACATTATTTTATCATTATCGGGCATTAGTAAATATGTATTGATAGATTTAACGAATATTGGAATAATGTTGAAACTCTGTACTACCAGACGAGTGACAAGAGAGAGTAAAAGAAAGAGACAAGTGAACCCAAAGCTGGCAACGTTGCACTCGCAAATACCATCCACGCTGTGGGGACGTTAAGTAGCCGATGCCATGGTTAAATCACGATCAATATATCTAGGAGCCCAATTTGTTATCACCATTGTTTGGGGGTCAAAAATGTTGCAGCATGACTGCAAGAAGAATATCGTGAAAAATAAAATTATCGGAAAATGACGTATCCTACAAAGTTAGAAATCGAATAACTAAGCAATATTCATCAAGACATATTAAAAAAATTAAGGGGAACTGGGGGACGTCGTAATGTTGCGCGACGTGCATGACGCCAAAAAGGTTCTAGGATGTAAATATATACATTCATACACATATACATATATACATACATACATATATAAATATAGACTGTGAGTAATTAGCATGATGATTCAGCCACCCTCTCCAAGAGAAGTTCACGCACTTTCTGCTTAAATGATAGACGAGTCGACACCATCCTGACATCCAGGATGATATAATATGAAAACAGTACTTATAATAATAAATAAAGTCGATAAACATTTGTACTGAGAGCCAGAATATATAGAAAATGCCAAGTTAAAGTTTGTTGCACTCGTCCGTAGCTCTTCGGCGGTATCCCACCAAACAGCATAAATGTAAGAATAAAAACAGTTGTCAGTTCACAAATAATAATATACACGAAATATTAGCAACTAACCGTATAGTAGTCCAGCTGACAGGTTGCCCCGGCTCCAGTGAATCTAAATGGTTTTGTACAAAAATACAAGAGGACATCCAGTCAGAAGAATTAAATTCATATGGAATATTCCATCCCAGAGGTCCGAACTTCCTTCTCTCTTGCACCACTGTATGTAAGAATGAGATGGTGTAGATCAACGGTAAATAGAAGGGACTGTCACTGTAGTCAAGGAAGTCCTGACTCATCGCATCATAAGTCCTCATGAGACCAGCTTTTATTCCTGAAAATAATAAAGATCCCTAAAATATGCAGTATCTCCCAAAAACCAACGATACAACTTGACGAGATGGTTGACCTTCCTATGAGGGCTCTGGAAATCACAAGGGAAAAAAACATTTCTATTTTTTCTTAATAAAAAAACGGAAAAAAACTGACCACCCTCGTAATCAGACACCACTCGTGCCATTTTCAACTTTCGTGACCAGTTTTTCAAATATGACGGATTTCTTATTTGTAAAAATAACCTGAATAGTTCTGCTATCCACTACAATCTCTATAAATCTAGACTAAAGGTAGTTTTTTTATAATAAGCAATGAAAAATATACGCATTTATCAAATTTAGGATTACATAGGATTACTTAAATTAAGGATTACTTTCTCTTTACTTTACCTCACCTTGGTGTGAAAAAGTACGAACAGGTCTATGGCACTTCGTTTAAAAAAATGGCGCATCTAATTATGATTCTACAATGGTATAATACTCTAAGAAAATTACCCAGAAAAAGGAGCGTTTTAAGTTTTTATTTAAGATAATTATTAATTTATGAACTTAAACTCAAGGTAGACTTTAGACTATGATAATATAAATTCAGTGTAGGTATAAATCGAATGTCTTTGTCTCTGTATGAGTGTCTGTAATGTGATAATTATTTGCGACACAATAATATAATTAGTGTCGCATCAATCGTCATCATACCATTCGTACACAGACACATATATACTGTCGTATTTTTAAACGTCCTATTAGGTAGGTACGCTTAAAATATGTAACAAAATGAACTTACCGGATGGTGGTTCACACGTATACTTAATAGACATTTGCAGGAGAGTAATTGGAAATTTTTCATGAACTTCCGTCGTGATCCAGAGTCTAAAATGTAAATATAATATTATCAGATTTTACTCTCTAAGAATAACAACATTACGTGGATGGCAGAATGGCAACATTACCTAAAGCATTCATGTATTGCTTCTGGGTCTTTTTCGAGTTCACCAAATTGTTCCATGATCTCCACCATATATTCTAACCCTAAGTGACAGTTTTGCAATAACACCCACAATCCCTGAAAATTTAAATGGTTCGTTGGATTATTGTAACTAACTTTTATACTCCATGTTGCCACAATTATCACCTCTTTTAATCCACGATCTATTAGTTTTCTTGCATGAATCTCTTGACCTTGGCCCATAGATATGGATGAACAAATATTCTCCATGCGCTTAGCAGTTATCTCGATAGAAGGTGTTGGATCAGATCCCATGGCCAAAAACCCAATCAGAGGAACAAGTGGACGAGATTCTAATACCATATTCTGTAAGTAAGAATCTTTTGATAAAAATAGATTCAAAGTTTTAAACGTGTTTTTTATTTGCAACATCAACGAACCTCATAATTGACTATAACTGCTTCAGAGTACCGAGCTCCCATAGAATTTACGACATACTTCCTGAAATATTAACATAGCATGAATATACACAAAAAGAAAATGTAAAATAAAATTAATACGCGCGATTCACGAGCTACTTACAAACTTTGTGCTAGAGTCCTGTCAGGACACCACGCGCGTACTACCAGCAACTTTCTGAACACGTCTAGAGTGTTGTAACCGTCAGGTAAAGGCTCTTCTTCTGGCGCTTCCTTATCAAACCTTTAAACAAAGAGGAATAGAAACTAAAATCCAAAAAATTACTTATACATACCTACGTACTGATAGGTTACCCCCCACGGACAGTTAGAAAATGTCATATGGTAATAAGTAATGTGCCATTACTTAATCAAATTGTGTACAAAAATTACTAAATAAATAAACAGGTAAGAAGCCGGTATATTTGTTTTCAGATTTTGGTTGTTGAAGTCTATTTTTTAAACGCAGTTGTTTATTTATTTTTTTACTATTTAGTTAGGTAAATTAGTACAACGCTAGACCCAATATACTACATATCCTTACTAATATTATAAATGGGAAAGTGGGTTTGTTTGTTCCACTTTCACGCCGTAACTACTAAACCGATTGCTTTGAAATTTTGCAGACGTAAAGTTAGAAGTCTGGATTAAATAATAGGGTACTTTTTATCCCGGAAAAATGTATATTATCGAGGGAAAACGAAATTATTGGTATATATGGCGTTGTATGTATTGGTATATGTCACATAGGCTACTTTTTATCCTTTTGTGACGCGAGCGAAGCCGCGGGTAAAAGCTAGTATTAAATAAAAAGGTTAACAAACACACTAGTAGCCTTAATAATTTTTAAAAGTTTCTCTTGATTTCCCAAGTATTCCATGATCTGATCCAGATCTGGTGAAAATGGGATCACCTCGGGGGTATAAAATTCGTCTACATAAGCCGAAGTTATCGCATAAAATGTAAAAAAAAACACATACAGACGAATTGAGAACCTCCACCTTATTGGGAAATCGATTATAAAGCCGATGCAATCAATGATTGTTATTCCATTTGAAGTCTAGCGTTCTGTCACTCACCAAGCTTTCCAACCCTTTTCATTATTAGTTACTTGATTCAGTATATTCGTAAACTGACGCAAACCGGACAGCTGGACCAAGTTTAGCCATGACATATCTGTTACCCATTTAAATGGTTTTGGAGGGCAGGCATTTAAATCCAACGCTGCACCACCTATACGCAAAAAAAAATATTTATTTATGACTAACATAATATTGTTATAGAATCTAGATGTAAAGTTAATATAAAAACAATTTACCTTTAATAAAAGTCTGGAATTCTTCAAATGAAACATACGATCTTTGTATGTCTATTTTCAATGTTAAGAGCAATGTGAACAGATATTTGTGTTTTTCATAAAAACCGCGGCTGATGAACTTGAACACATCAAAAGTCTGCGTGGGACGATATTAAAAATTACATTATGCTATCTTCATTAAATACATTTTAATAGGTATAATTACTTTTTTGTAACTTTTATTTTAACTTTATATTAACTGGTCCTTGAATAGACAAATCTTCTTGTATATAAAAAAATCTTCCGTTACTAAGTGACTGATTTACTGACAGACAAAGAACAACTGAACCTAAGAAACTGAAATTTGGCTCGTACGTTCCTAAATTTTCACGGGGACGGGAAAAACAAGAATCACCTATTTGAGCGTACAAATTAGCTGGCAGAGGTCAATGACAAAATAATGTAAGTAAAGCCAATAGAAACTATATCAAGGATATCATCATCATATTATGGACACTAACCAAATAATCAATAATGTGGCCGATCCTCCTGAACGTAATAGGGCTTTGCGGCGAACGTTCCAGGGAAATATCGAAGCGCTCTAGAAACTGCGCCAATGAGGTCTGATACATGTTGCATACGAGTGACATGTTGCAAATGAGGAAATATAGCACAGAGCCACGTGTGGCCACGGGCCGGTACTCCTCGCGAGCCAAGTTTATCTTCATCTCTGTCTCTTTTGCTATATCCAGCTTTTCCTTTACCTGGTGTGAAAAAATGACACGTGTACCATCCAGATATTTACAATGCGGACTATAATTTTGTGATTTGACTTGACACAAATGAGACACAACTTAGGTTTTGGTTAGGTTAAGTTGAAAATAATTAATGGCTTCAAAAGGTGTTTTCTTTATAACTCAAAAACCACGTACATCAGTGGCAGTCGCTTTGGTGACATTCAATACTTGAATGAGTGACACATCTTCTACAAGCGAGCCTTGTATAGTGGTCAGTTTATGCAGCAAATTGGCTTCCAGTTCCTGCATCTTACGTCGGTTGGCCGTCACGTCCATAATCAGTTGAGTTCTTTCCGCTTCCATCTCAGCCTTTTCTGTTAAGATCACTCGACCAAGTAGCTGATCCTCTAGACCTATTGAAACATAAGGCATTTTTATTAATGTTAGTAGGGTATACAATTTAAGCAGATTTCACACAATTTTATTTTAGTTTTCCCAACCTAAGAAATTAAAAACATAAAATGTACCTTGCATTGTGACAGTAAAGTCTATTATTGAAGTTCTAGCCGAAATCTCAGGCGTATAGGCGGGATTAGGTAGTTTCGTAGTTATGTATATTCTGTGGCCTGCTGTTACGTCTATTTCTTTGTCTCCCAATTTAACCTAAAATACCTCAGTTATTATATAATCATTTGTAGCTATAATTGCATCTTTTGCAAACTATTATAAAATATCAACGATTGTCAACATTGATTTCCATAAACAAAAATACTTTCTAGGTTTATTTTCCTTTGGTTTTTTCAATTATGTCGAAGCTAGCTTCAAGAAGATCTTTAGCATAGCGGTTTAAATTAAGTGGATAAAACTAACTTAACCGACTAAATATACAATGACCTGCGCAAGATTAAAATAATTATATGATGAATAATGTTAAAAATATATAATGTATATGTATGTATATATATACCTTATACGTGGAACCGATTTTAATGTAATTCTTTTCAAGAACGTTGTCTAGTACTGGGTCCAACTCTTCAAATACGTCTTCGATCAACATAGGTCTACCTAACGATACACAATCTTCTATGTGATTCCTGCGCATCAAATATTGTGTTAGTAAAGAATAAAAATCTTTGTTTACTTACTGTCGAAATAAAAATAGGTAAATCGGTAGTAAACATTAATGTCATTTCGTCTTGTTTCACGGACTTGATAAACACCTTATAAATTGTACTTACCTGAAATATTTGTGATTTAGGGTCGTAACAATCAAGTCATTGTGTTTCTCAGTATTCTTGATCCAAATCTTTCCCTGGATTTGTGGATCGATTAGCAACGGATAGCGAGCAGCTTTTGTCACAATAATACCATTTTGTATCGATAATTCGTCAGTTGGCAAGCCACACAAATTCCATTCTCCAATCTAAAGGAATTATTTTACGTTTGCAGTATTGTAATACTGTGACTATACTATACTTTAGATTCCTACTAATTAGACGTAAAGTTACTGAGGCGATAGCAGAGGAATGAGCCTTCTCATTAGGTTAAAGGAATCTTCTATAACTGAATGATTATGTTTTGGGTTTATTTGAATCAGAAACAGCTATAACGGGTTCAAATCCTGAATAATTTTCTACTAAAATTACCGTAGCTGTGTCAGTCAACTGGTTTGTTATATTCAAATTCATAGATACAGGAATCTTTCTGCGCAACAGTTCACTAAGCCAGCTGTTTGTCAGTAAGGTTCGAAACTCTTGGTTAAACGGCCCAGAATAAGATAAAAATCTGAAAAACAGAACACAATGCATCAGAATTTTCTGCAAAGGGCGATAGCGAGAAAGGTCTATTACACAATGGAGAATTTGCTAGTGTTAAACAATTTATATATTATTTTTTTACCACTACAGTGATTGAACAAACAGGACTTCACGCAACAGTAGCCCTGATAAATACCTATATGATGGGCCTCAGTAGTTCAGCTTTCTTTAAATATAAATTGGTATTACAAATAATATTTTCGAATTATAGGTCACAAACCCAGTAAGCAGCAGGATGTCGCCGACCAAACGCTCAATCTCAGACTTAAAGAGAGCTGATTGCTCTGTCCAGCGGATGCGCTCTCCGCTGAGACCGTTAATGAGAGCTGTAGCAGCGTCCATCTTCTGTTGGCACTTGGCTGCATCGTCCAGCACAGCCTGCTTCAACGTCATCGCGTCGTCGAACTGCTTCTGAACGTGCGCCAACTCTCGCTGTGGGGGTGATGGCATATATGTATTTACACATATGAATATCGGGGGTTACATTTGAAGTGGTAAGTCTCACTTTATAATGAGGCTGGTCAAGACGAAAATTCAGTTAAGTCAGTCTACTACCACAACGTGATATATTGTATTTTCAAATAGTTGATCATCTGTAATTTGTCAAATTGTGTACAAAAATCACTAAATAAATAAACAGGTAAGAAGCCGGTATATTTGTTTTCAGATTTTGGTTGTTGAAGTCTATTTTTTAAACGCAGTTGTTTATTTATTTTTTTACTATTTAGTTAGGTAAATTAGTACAACGCTAGACCCAATATACTACATATCCTTACTAATATTATAAATGGGAAAGTGGGTTTGTTTGTTCCACTTTCATGCCGTAACTACTAAACCGATTGCTTTGAAATTTTGCAGACGTAAAGTTAGATCTATTATCTACTAGGGCTTACTGGACCAAAGATGAAGGCTGTAAGTATTGTGCTAAGGGCTACCAAATACCTCTTTGGCTTCGAGTTGTGCCTGGGCTGCTTCTAGTTCCCTCTTAGCGGCTTGATACTTGCCCTGCATCACTGCTAGGTTCGCTTTTAATGGCAGCACGTCCTTATTCACCGAATAAAACTGCGCCATGGCGATAGTCCACGAAATTAAACCAGCAACGTTACCACAAGCTATTTTTGCTGCTTCAAAAGTATACTGACTGTAATTTTAAAAAAATCTCATTGTAGAAGATTCAATACCGACAATACCGTAGAAGCTTAGCAATTATAACTAACTATTACGGATTCTTACGGATATGAGAAATAGGGTTGTAGTAAATCAACCATTTCTGCATTTATTTCATCTTTTGGATAATTCTTCAAATTGCTCAAAAATCTGGCATCCGCCATCACCTAAGAAATGAATAAATATGATTAATTTTATCATAACTAGTTTTAGAAGAAAAACCGTGACATTTTCATTTAAGCAACATTTTACCTTTAGAGACTCAGCCCAAGAAGCTGTTAAGCATTGTTTCTCAGGATCTGGTTTAATAGGATCGATACGCTTTCTAAACAGAATAATGACAGCGTCCATAATGAGCGTGATGAGATGTGGAGGCTTGCCCAGTTTCCTGACGGTAGCAATATCAGCAGCATTGATGGTCTGTAACGGTGTCTCGGGTTAAATACTGTTATATATGTTTATGTTATCTGTGGCAAGCTAGCTACTTTCAATAGGGAAACCTATTTATGTTCTTCTTTTGTTTTGAAAAATATGTGAGTGTGTTTCTGATTTGCTTATTTAATTCACACGATAAATTATGATTGCATTAAATATTGAATATATATATATACATATCAGATACATTGTTGCGTTGCTATGTAAAAACATGTAAACGTTCCCAATTACCTGCAGTGCAGCCTCAGCAGCGTCAAGCGCTGGCTTTGCATCCGCCAGCTTTTCCTCAGCGACGGCGGTCTCCGCTGCGATGACGTTGACGAGTTTGACGGCGCGATCCTTCACCTCCAGCACTTCGGCTTTCACAATCTCGGCGGCTGCCTGCGAGTCTGCTACAGCTGCCAGCACCTGTGATGCTTCTGCAATTAGACTACGTGCGTTTTTTAGAAAGACACCAGTTGACACTTGACACAAACCTCTTCTGCTCTCTCTGTAGCTTTCTTAATTTCAAGTTCCTTTACTTCCAACTCTTTCTTTAAAATATCAACACTGGCTGCTGCCTCCACTAATTTGGAAAGTCCAGTTGTCATTCTGAAATATGAAATCATCACAAACTTTAGGAATATAATCATAAAAGCAAGAATAATCAAAAGACTACTACTACAAGGTATAAATACTTTTGCGTGGATAACATTTGTCACTGTAATTTAAAAGTGTCTGACATAGATTTTTTTATATTTTTCTGATGGCTGTCGAAACATTGCGCGTCAACTGGTGCCATTTGGACGTCCATTTTCGGAACATCCTGTATGTTTATGATTTGTAGACTGAACCTGTTCATTCGCCATTTATGTATAGTCATAATATATTTTAGACACCTACTTATTCTAGGATCACTACAATTTTATTTTCGAGGTGTTACGAACGTGAAACGGCATCTCCGTTTACGAAATCATAAAAATATCATGAGGCGTCTAAAGTATGAATATTTGCAAAATAAATATTGTACCTTCTTGCCATTTCTGCAATGCTTTCATGTTTTTCTTTATATAGCACTTTATAGCCTTCCAGGAAAGATAAATATGACTTAGGAGTGACATGAGTCTGCCTCCTAAAGCGATCATAATACTGTACACAAGTATCTGCTACATTATCCTGTACTATTCCCATTATTTCAATTAAATTTTGTTTTGTGTCAGGCGAACACACTACCTAAAAGTAGAATTATTAATTTTAAATTAGATTAAATTAGATATATTAATTAAGTATTTTGTCATTAGACACAATGTGCTGTTCGTAAGTTTATTTTAACTAGCTTTTTGCCTGCGGCTTCGCTTACGTTTTTTAAGGTAAATATAGATGCAAGATTTTGTTGTTGGTCACAAATAGTCCGTACAGCTTTCTACCATGAAAATTTCGGGGTGTACCATAGAAAATTCCACGAGGGAAGTAAGAAATTGGAAAGAAATAAAAAGCAGCCTATGTCACTCCCCACCCCTTTAACTATCTTCATTTAAAAAGTCACGTCAATTTGCTGTGAAAATGGACAATTAAACCGATTCAAACACATACTTTTGGATAATATCAGTATGGATATAACTAAGAGATTGCTAAAACGAACCGCGAATTCCCATAAAAAGTGATGTGCTACTTCTATCAGTGCTTCTTTAGGCCACTTCTGGAACCAGTCCATTGTAGATCCAGATATAAGACCTGGGAACTTCAGAGCTCGGTTTCTAAACTTTTCACCGACCTAATATTTGTAATAAAATAAACATAGTATTAGTTCATAGTTTCAGTAGAGGAGAACATATTCAATAAAAACTAAAATGTACTTAAAAGAATAAACCTATAATGCAGCAACTTAAAAAATTGTTGTTTGAGATATCCGATATCTAGGTATGTATATTATACCTAAATTGGTTTCCCTGGGAACGAAAATTTATTCAGAAATTAAATCAAATAGTCTATAAAAGCTACAACTTACAGGTGAAAAGCACAGGACAACATGAAGATTTGCTCTGGAGCGTATAATAAAGTACTCATACAATACGTCTGGAACTGGAATTCTTTTTGGCGCATATTTCTTCATTATAGGTGTCAACTCATTCATAATCTCATCTGTTTTAAATACGTAGTTATGTAATCAATATACAAATCCCGGAAAATACTACCAATCGTAATTTAAACTAAATCTAAAACTTACCCATTTCTTCCTTAGGAAAGAGGTTCGCAATTTCTCCCGAGCTCAGGATATTATTGAGGAACTCTAAGAACTGCTCATCTTTGATGTCGTTGTCAGTAAATATGAAGGAGATGCCGCGTCCCTGCAGACCGGCTACGCGGTACAACACTTTTATGTCGTCCATAAAGTTGTTCACATTGTAAGATCTGAAAATAGGGTAGAAGTAATAAAATGTACCAATAGTTTCCTTCTAATAATACCGCCTATTGGTATGGCCTGAATATATATTCCACAATCGACCTTTTTTTAAGGGGGGAAAATCATAAGTGTCAGACTCTTACTGACTAAAAACCACCCCGTTCCTTCTCCTGCACTTCGAGCCGAAACCCTGGTAACCCATTAGGTTCTCCGCGACTCCACAATCGGCCTATCTTGAATTTATCCTTAAATGCTACAGACTATAAAATTGGAATCTAGCATGCTACCTACCCCGTGAAACTTGAACTTGCTTTTTTTGTTAAAGCAGATATATTTCTTTTACCTGGTCAAAGTTATTTGATAGAACGAAAAATTGGCTATGAACGAGGCCAACTTCGTTAAGCTTTGTTTCCCAGAACCTCCAACGCCTACCAGCAAAGCATTGCCACTGTAAAAATAAATAGAACAATAATTTGTTTTAAATTTCGCATTAGACAGTTGACAAGTTATAGGAAATGTGCACGATAATATGGTTTGTAGTACAAAAAAATGTTTATCAGGTGACTCACCGTGGAGTATTAATGATGCGTGATATAATAAAGAGATGAACCATCGCATCGTGGAAGAACACCAAGTCCAGGTGCGCTCCTCTAATCTGTTCGTTGAACAGGTCTTGGAAGCCAACGAGCTTGTTTAACACGAATTCCCAACTGTAAATGTCACGTCAAAATAAAGTCAACGTATCACAATTTTTTCTGTTTCTACTACTTCTTGTCCACTAAATCTTGTAATTTACGATAATTGTTAATTTTGATTATTATAAGTATATAATAATTCCTGTGGTATCAATACATATATTTTGTTCGATTTCAAGGATTTGTCATTTAGTCATATTGCGATATTTGGATAGTGTAATAAACATATAGATCACCGTTATTGAATTTTACATTAATCATGCAGTTGTGAAAAAAAATACTAACGATGGTAATTCTTCATATATTTTGGGCGCATCGGTACTGAAGTCTTCATCCTCATCTCCAGTTGGATCAACTGGTTCACGTAAGAAATTAACAAAGAAAGTTTCTTTTTCTGGGAACTCGGAAATGTATTCTGGCAGCTCTTGTGCAGCTGTTTTCCAGAAATTCGCCACAAACCAGTCTTTATCATCAAATGTAGTAAATCTTAAAGCAAAAATACCTTTCATAGTACTCACATAGCAATAGGACTTAGGTACATACAGGACACGCATGAAAATTATTGACAAACAAGCTGAGACGGAACTGTTGTGGTAAGCAATCAGTACCGCCCATGATCACCCGATACACCAAAGAAGCTACAAGTGCGTTGCCGGCCTTATTTGAGGATTGGGGAGGAGGAAAATCAGGCTTACGGTAACCTCACATGGCGAAACACTTCTCAAGTTATAGTAATTTGTATTTTCTCACCTGTCTGATATCACTCTCAAGCATTCGTGAAACCAAAGTTTGAGGGCTGTATTAACAGATTGGAGCTCTTCTCTTTTTATATAAAGTATTCCTTCCCAAATACGAGACAGATCCCTAAGATTAAACACATAATGGAACTTCGCAGGAGTTGGCAGCATTTTAATCTAAAAATATGTGTTAGGAAAAAATTAGGAACCTATAGGTCAACTTATAGGCAGTTAGTTTTCCTACCAAATAACATCGGAGCTTTTGTGATATATAAAATGCCACTTACCTTGGTTTGCTGCCACATGATACGCGTCACTGCAACTAGTTTAGGCATAAACTCTATAATCTTCTTGTCATAACGAGATTTACAAAAGTGTCCTGTACTAATTGTTTCTGCAATTTCACATTCATACTTCTAATATATTACTAATGTAACATAATATATTTCGTTATGCCCAAATTCTGAAACGCTACTCAATTTTCAGTCTTAAGTGCAATTACACTACAAAATGATATTTGAAAAATGTCAGAAATGGAACGGTATTTAAGCATAACCTAAAATTGAGTCGCCTTCCAGTGTTCGGGTGTTAAATAAATAAATAACTAAATACCAAATATTCTGTCCATTGAAGTAATACTTGGTAGAGTACAGTTAAATATATTAAACTGTCTCTTCAAACGGGGAGGGATGTCATTACGACCACCACCTGTGATAGTAAATTTAAGTTTTTAAACATTAATACCTCTACTAAATAATGTGCCTTAATAAATTCACTTATGAATAAAACATTTTTTAGGCTAAAGATTGTTACCTGGATGTATACTAGCACCAAACATTTGAATATCAGCAATAGTAATAAAGTCTCCAGGTTTGTCTAGCGAGTAGAAACCACCGCATTCCATCATTTGTCGAACTATTTCATTAGTTACCTACAACCGTAAAGCGCAAATAAAATATAATTTCATTTTTGTTTTCATTAAACATGTGCAAATGGCATTTTTACATATTAGGTATGACATAATTATAATCAGCGTTTTGACATTTTGCATGTTTAATTTTATAAGCATTACAACAAAAGAGAATTGCGTATTGAACGGCAAGTATCGTTTGTATTCGTACCTGATCGCCCCACTCATTGACCACGGGCATATTTATGTCGTCTACAAACACCGTCATAGCTCGGCCACCCGGGGGCCCGTATGTCATACCCACTCTCTTCTCCACGTACGATTCAATTATTCTCTATAAGTAGAAATAACCATTTTTTAAGCACACGGAGTGACTTTTCTCGAGTCATATGTACTTTCTAAGATTATCTAGACACCACTGACAAACGATAAAGGAAAACATCGTGATCTGGGCTTATAATTTTTAATTATGAGTTTGTAATTGCCAACCCGCATTGAGCAAACGTGGTGATTAACCCGTCGTTTGCCGGAACGTAGATCTACGCGAGACACAATGCATTTTCTATTGTGTCTTATATACCGGCAGTCAAGAGGTTAATACTAAAACCTTCTCCGTGTGAGATGCGGCTGTTGATGATGATTGTTTTTTATGAGGTAAGCCGGTAAACGGGCAGACGGATCACCTGATGGTAAGCAATCGGCGTCGCCCATGGACACCCGAAACACCAGAGGCGTTACAAGTGCGTTGCGTGCGTGCGTTGCTTTTGGGGATTAGGATTTTGAGGATTGTGGGGGATTCGGAGATTGGGGAGACTGGGGAAAGGGGTAATTGGGCCTCCCTGATGAAGCACACGGAGAGTATAAAAGAAGAAAATAAATAAAATAGTCATTACGGTATAGCTGGGATAGTATAAGTTATTACAGTTAATATAATGGTACAATATAATGAACAAACATTACTTTACACGTGTTGAACAACCCACTACAATCTACATTATTTTAATTTTTTATTATGCAATAATGAACAATGCCATCTTCAGTAACTGCATTCACCTTTTAATGTCTGTAAATACTAATTTTTATTCTAAATACTTACTTGGAACATATTAGGAGTGGTAGCAGACGAAAAGTTTACTACTTTAAACAATTTCACTTCGTTGTCGTATTGCATCATATAACTTTTTAACATAACAGTTTTAGCAGTTCCTTGTTCACCAATCAAGAGTACTGCTTTATTTTGAGAGGCGATAATGTCAATCAAAAACGTAATGCATACATTGTCGATATTCGGTACCAAGATCGAAGCGTATTCTGGTATATGGTCAGGCGGATAAATATAATCCTCCACACTCTCAGACCTGGCCAAACACAAATATATTTGAACTTTTTATACACCTTCATTTAACATTTACATGAGTACTGAGGCATATATAAGTTCGTGATGATAACTATTTGAGCTTTCATTTGAATAGAGTATATTTAGCTAGATAAGGTACGATGGTGTTGAAGTATCCATAAGGAAAAAAAACCCCAAAAAAAATTACGGAGAATAAAACAAAAAAAAACTATTTGAGCTGACTGTACACTCTCAAACGAAGCAACCACGATAAAAAGAAGACTTGTAAACTTTAATTCATTTTGCAATGAAATTTAACTAATACGAAAATCAAACGACATTTATTTTGGTTTTGTCGAAATGACATTAAACGTCCGAAAATAATCTGTCAAGAATTTGAAATGAATGAATTTTCGTTCCTGTGGAATGTGCAATTAGGGTTCCGAAATTTTAAACGTCAAACAGTACATCTCATACTAATTTCGGCTTATTTCATTCCTTTTTGGTTCGTAATAAATGGCATTGTGGTAGGAAATCTGAGAAGTTTCGGAAGAAACTTCGTTTTTCGTCGAATCAGAGTAGACCTATAGTATCTTCACTAACCAGTGCTCCCAAACTCCAGTGTGAGTGACATTGTACTCGAAGGGCATCACCCATTCTTTTGATTTGGCTCCTGGCCAATCCATTTTCACTGGAAGTTTAGTCATAAACTCTGCCATGCGTGTGCGCATATCTAACTCCAGCACTGCTCCTAAAGACCACATCATCGCAAAGATGAACAATCGCTCAAGATGACGGTCTGTGTGAACCTCTGAAAATAAATGACAACATTTCATTCTGCTCGAATAAACATTTTAAGAATAAGTACGTAACGGGAATAATAAGTTACCGTGCATTTATCTAAATGAAATGTCTTGGTAATGTTGGGCCCACCTCTCAAAAGAAAAAAGATACTCTATGGATAGGTATTCTTATGCAGAATAAAACTTAGTATTACGATTAAGGACAAAAGTCAGTGTTTTCGGAGTCATAGTACCTAAGAACATTGCTAAAAGTGTTCCTGAACTTAGCAAATAATTATCATAGCTCACTTAATTGCCACCCATACAAAATCCCACTCGGCAGCTTAACGTATCTTAACATACATACATATTTACATAACGCCCTCCTTCTCATGCATGAGGATTCGGGTTCGAAACCTGGCGAGTATCGATGTGACTCAAGATAATTTAGGCATCAGAGACGGTGAAGGAAAATATCGTAAGGAAATCTGTACTTATAAATTCTAGTTATAAGTTTGATTAATTTAATAATTTCTAGTCTAATTGCCAAGACGCCTTGAGCAAGCATGGTGAGTAATGTTCTCTGTGTGAGTAGAGGTCTGATGATGATAATAATGATGGACAGAGAAAGAACAAGACTACTTACTGCCTGGAGGGAGTTCAATTCGAAGTAAACCTGTCAGCACGTCTATACATTGTCTGAAAATCAAATTATAAAATCCTTTAATAATATAGTTATTATTAAATTTTAGTATTTTCGAATTTTAATTCGAATTTTAGTTAATTTAATATGTTTATCTATTTTTATTTATTTATTAAATTTTATTGCACATACAGTGAAATTGGCGGACTTAATGCCGTAGGCATTATCTGACAGTCGACCATTGGGTGGTGCACAATGTTTAAGCGGTAGGTGCAAAATTCTAAAAAGAAAGTATGAAGTAGATAACGAAGTTAAGGTAATAAAATATTAAAGAGGGAAGACATGATTGTTATAATATGATATAATTACTATATAATAAATAAATATATAAATAAATGCAATACATAGACTACATATTACCACTGTTTTGAGTTTGCCACTTTTTATAAATGTGTTCCCGAACCTTAAATTTAAATGAACAGCGATTATTTGCCATTCTGATTTCCTTGGGCAGCGCATTCCACAGAGAGACAGATTGAACGAAAAAGGAGGAGTGAAGATAGTCAGTGCGGTGAGTGGGACATTGAAGTTGACGGTTATTAGATGAGCGAAGGTATTTAGAATGGTTTGCGCATGTATATTGGAAGTAGGAAGCTAGATAAACAGGTGAAGAAGGAGAGTCGAGAAAAGAAAATAATAAGTTAACACCCTTTGTTGCCTGCGCAGGCGTATGGGCAGCCGTTTTAATTGCAACCGATGTGCAGAAACGTGATCATATTTACGTAAATTGAAAACGAATCGAATGCAGTTATTTAGAAGACGGTCAATTTTGTTGAGTAGAGCTGCATTCAGGTCGTAGTAACACACATCAGCATAATCGATGATAGGAAAAATCAGGGCCTGCACCTGCCGTGCCTTGGTAGTAGACGAAAGGAAGTTTCTAAGGCGGTACAAGCCTCGCAACGACCCAGTTACCTTCTGGCATACACTAGTGACCTGTGCACGCCAGCTCAATGTGTTATCAATATGTAAGCCAAGATCCTTCACATGTTCACTAAACGGGATTGACACATTTTACACGAGACAGGCTGCAGCGATGCGACACTGACTGTTTTCCTGGTACGTGTGCTTCCAATAATTATGGCTTGACATTTGTTTGGATTTACTTCTATGCTGAACCTTTGTGACCAGTTGTAGATAGCAGCCAAATCACCATTTACTGCCGTGATAGCACTAGGTAAGTCATCCACTGCAGCCTGACAGTACAGCTGCAAGTCGTCCGCATACAGATGATACGCACACCGAAGTTCAGAAGTAATGAAATTAATAAAGATTGAAAATAAGAGAGGAGAGAGAATGCCGCCCTGAGGGACACCAGCCAGCAGATCACACCAACCTGAAGAATTATCGTCAAGCCGGATCGACTGCTGACGCCCCCGAAGATAGGAAGAGAACCAGTCCAGTGTTTTGTCAGAGATTGCAAGATGGGACAGGATGGCCAAAAGGAGATCGTGACTGACCATATTAAAAGCGTTTGAAAAGTCAACTAATACTAAAACAGTTACTTTGGTATCCTCAATCCCTGCCCAGTCATATCGCCAGTCACTTTAAGGAGGAAGGAGACAGTGCTGTGCTTATTAAACTGTTTCCATAAACAAACCGTGACAACTGCTTATGGACACAAGCTTCAAGCACCTTAGACAGGAAGGGAAGGATTGAAATTGGACGGAAGTGAGTGGGAAGAGATGGGTTACTAACCTTAGGCAGTGGACGAACAAAAGCTTTACGCCACAAGGACGGGAACACTCCGGAATACAAGGAATAGTTGACAGTATGGGTAATTGCTGGAAAGAGATAAACCAGGATGGACGTTATCATGTCACGGGAGATGGAGTCACAGCCAACAGCTTTGGATTTAATGGAGAAGATTGTCTTACGAATCTCCTCCGACTGAACTGGTATAAAGCGGAAATTTTCGACCCCAGGACTAGGCAGACTGGAAATAGAAGACAATGTGTTTCGCCTAGTTAGGTGATCCAGAGATGAGACAGTGAAAAAATGATTATTAAGTTCATCTAAGCCTATCGAAGAAGGAAGGTTAGCGGGTTGCGGTTTGCCGATACCTAGAGTTCTCAAGAACTTCCAGATATCAGCTGGAGATGAAGAGGAAATATTATTGAGAATGTGGCGGCGTTTGGCGTTGCGTACCATCTGATTACATCTATTCCTCGCAGTTTTATATGCCGTCCAGTTCTCCTCTGTCCGATCCCTCTTGTGCTTCCGAAACGCGCGGTCCCTGCGACGCATAGCCGCCTGGATCCCTCTGGTCATCCATGGTGCCGGAGCACGTTTTAATCGGATTCTTTTGACAGGCGCATGATGGTCATAAAGGTTAATGACAGCTTTGTTGAAAATATCAATATTGTCATCAACCGTAGTCTATGTCCGTATGTCTCACGATAGTTCTTAAAAAATTAACTAAAATTAAATTAACTAAAATTCGCTAACTAACTAAAGGTTACTCACGTGCAAAGTAGGCTGCGTGATATCGCCGCGACCGCGCACGCTGCTCATGAGGAAGAACCCCTCTGTGATGCGAAACTACTAGAGCTGTTCTTAGTATTTTCATGTGAGTAGCCCACGATGTTAAGTTAAAATATTTTAAGTAGATAATATCTGTATTCGACCGTAAATTTGCCAGTAGATACAACAAATTTCATGTTCCTAATAAAATCGTTAATCACCAATAAAAGAGTACCTGTCGACTATAGTGGTTAATGACCGACAATAAAATTCCCATCATGTAAGTTATGCACACGCACCTGATATAGATAGCTTCCAGAAGTTTCATTTTTGCTACTAATTTCTGCTGTACGTATGAATGCACTTCATCATAGACTCTATTGAACACGCCACGGAAGCAATCAGCCTCTTTTTGAGATCGTTTTCTTAACCAGCCCTTTAAACATGAGGCAAAAGTTATAGTTTTCAGGCTATCTAAGTTCAATTTTTACAATGATTTTAAACTTTCATAAAATTTTACCTCTAGAATAGGCTGCCATTTAAGCACCGAAGAAGATAAGAACACCATGCCCATCCGACTGACAGTAGCAGGCGATGCGTTGTCCACGTTGTCTGGTTCAAACACCAGCTTGCTGTTCTGTGCCATAGTAATGCGGTCTCCGTTGGCTAAAGTCAACGTCTTATTGTCATCGAGCACGGAATTCAAATTCTCAATCCACACGGCGTCAACCGGACCATCTGACAGAGTACCACTCAATAAGTAACCACTTTACAAATGAATAGTTCTGTTTTAACTTGTATTTGTTAACTTTATGAATACACAAGAAGATACCTAAAACAATCCACGTTGTGTCGGTTTTCTTCACCTTCAGAGCTCTTCGCCACAAAGTGGAAAAGATACCATCAGTCCAATCATTTGTAGCTACGTCTAGACGTCCAAACATCTGAGGTGCTGTTATTGCCTGGAAATATTCATATCATAATGTTTACGTAACAAAAGATAGTGGGTCTTTTCGTTACAATTAATGCAATTAATGGATTAAGTCATTAATATACCTTGGGATTCATTCTCATTTCCTTGTGAGGTTTACCAACTTCGGTGAGAGCCGCCATAAGTGTGTGTATACAAGTAGTCTTGCCCGAACCTGTCGGGCCCATTGTCATTAGGCCATGTCTCACTAACGACGTTTCGAACAACTGTATGATTTTTAAATTCCAATCTGGATGATTAACGAGACCTGTGCGTTCTGTCACAATGAGGATAGCTCGTTGCATTTCCCTAAATAAATTTAAATTAAAATCCGTTTATATTCATAAGGTTAGAATTTTTAGTTAAATAGTGGCGACAAAAAATGATTCAGTAATTTATCATACCTTTGAACAGTTTGTGTGAGTTTCATACCAGGGAACAAATCTTCGATCAATGAAATAAATAAAGGTTCATCCTCGTCTACTAATTTAGACACGTTCATTTCCCTGAAAAACGATTTCTTACGTTAAATATATCTAAGAGATTTATGTGCAAATTCTAAATAGAAATCAGTAGTCACTTACTTCAATACTCTCATCATAATGTTCTCCTCAGTGCTATCTGGATTCGCTCGTTTCTGCGCGCCCATAGTTCGCAACACGGACAGGATATTCCGCAACCCGAAGTCGTAGTGCACCTGCTTCGACAACTGCTCCTCGCACAATTTGTACAATGTAAAGAACTTACGAGCTGTAATGTTATTGATAAAGTTCTCACCAATTTCCTTACCGATTTGTCCTACCTTGTCATTGGGATTTACTATTTCAAGTAAGAGCTTACCTAAGACAATGTTATCCTTAAAACCACAACTGGCTAACTTGACTCTGATAATAATTTGCCTGTCTGGAACCATCATTGCGACCCAACGGAACTGGATCTTCAAGTTTTCTGGTAGCTCTTGACGTCCAGCGTAACCCGGATTCATAGTAATAATAAAAGCGAACTCGGGGTTTAAGCTCACTGTATCACCGTCACTGTGTACATAGGCGCATAAATGTTTTGGTCAAAATGTTGTACTCACTTACAGATGTATGCTATTAATCTTATGATACTTATATAGATTTTTTACCTGAAAATAAAGAATTCCTTTTTCTCTTTCCTGGCTGTGAGACAAATGTATATCTGCTGCGCAGCCACGGACAGTACAGGTAATTCGATTCGATTGAACTCGTCGAAGCAGCCCCATGTGCCTGACTGAGCCAGGCCTTTGTAAATGCGGCCCAAACCTGACCACCAACGTTGATCAAAATATTTATTATATTTCTACGTAATATATGCCTATCGAATATATTTTTAAGTATATATAAATAGCTCACCTCGGAAGTCCATCTGATCGGAGCAGTTAAAGACGATGACAAGCTTGCCCAGTGTGCGGCCCATGTCTTTGGTAGTCTCTGTTTTGCCAGTGCCAGCTGGCCCGGCAGGCGCTCCTCCCTGGCTCATGCCGATAGCCTGCGATAGCGTAATATAGCACTGATCTGTCAGTGGCGTGATTACAAGTCGCTCCGTAATGCCCAAGTATTCATTCTGCGAACAGTTTTGAATATTTTTGTTAACAAGTTTTAATTAATTTCGAGGACAATGACTTATAAACTTTGAACACAGGACACTGGAAGGATAATTGCATATTATAGACGCGTTATTATCAATTGAATACCTGATATATAAAATCGACATCTGTAATAGAAATCAAACAGTCGTCGCTATCCTCAAAGTAATAGAAACGGGCTTGCTTTTGCCATTCGAAATCTCCGGGTGTCTTTATTCTCATTCGGACTAGATCATCAAATATGTCTCTGTAAGACAATATACAATATTTTTTATTGAAAGATTTCTAGATAATATCTCGAGAATTTCAATACTGTACAAAGCTCTACGTTTTTATGCATGTAACTTGAAACCATACCTTTGATGTACGTGGATAGTGATCATAGTCTCTATTTGCGTTCTGTCAAGTGGGATCAGATCTTTAACTGTTTGATCAATAAGACCATTCAATAAATCGAGATTCTTTTGATTGGTGATTCTCATGATGTAACGATCTGCTTTGGCTTTCTTTAAAGCATACTCCGCATCACTAGTCCATAATATTTGCATTCCCAATAAACCTGCCTGGATAGTAATATTTGAATTTACATGTAGCTCAAGATTTGTGTCTTATGTATACTGTATATGTAAACTAGCTCATTAAGTAGATAATGGATTACCTGGCCAGGAAAATTCCAAAAGCCGGACAAAAATTCAAACTCTGGATCGCCCGACATTGTTTGTGCAATGTTGGCAATTATGTTTTTCACAGTATTTTTCATTGTATCGAGAAGAACGTTCAACCATATCTGTAAATATATAGTTCTTATACTTCAATATAAATCATCCTGTATAATAAAACTGTACCTAGTAATGAAAATTCTGTAATTAGCAGGGGTGCTACACTATATATCTATATAGAACTCAAAAACATGGTTCGTTTTTTTGTCCATCTATCTATCTGTGTTTGTACGCGCATCACATGATAGCTACTGTTTCGATTCGAATGCTGTTTTCACAGATGTATTTGTCTTCTTTCTACATAACATCTAATGTAGTTATAATTCGAAATAAAAATGCAGGTTAACAACTAAGACACATTTCGACGGGCGAAGCCGCTAGCAGAATTTAACATCACATAACACTACGCCTTTTATCTCCGAAGGGGTAGGCAGGCAGAGGTGCACATTATGCCACTTTACAATGTAATACTCACTTTTCACTATTTATGTTATGAGTAACTTGTATTCGGGGATGAGCCTTTTGCCATATACCGGGCATAATTCCAGACTCCACGCTACTGAGATTTTTTTTAAAAACCAGTAGTACTTTGCTCAAACCGGGAATCAAACCCGAGACCCCTTGCCCGGCAGTCGCACGTGCGACCACTCGGCTAACAAGGCAGTCAGAAGTTAGTATATTATAATAATTATAATCATATGTTACTGTATGCTACAAACAGCTACACGAGTAATTGTTATTGACCTCCACTCCTCCAAGGCACGCCACCGGCATTTCGAGCGGTATACGTTCGCCATTACTTGAGTTCATATGGGTAATCCTGTCTTTTTCATCGAAATCGACAGTATACACTGCGTCGAAAATACTCGGCAAATGTGGCTAGAATAAATAAAAAATAATGCAATAAATCAATAGGATAATAAACATATTGCAGTTTACTCACAGTTATATTTATAAAGGTATATCTGAGCTTCCATTAAAACTTGAAACTAATTAATTTATTTAACATTTAATATTTATGAGATTTGGAAAAAGAGGATTCCTTACAATTAAATCTTACTTGTATAGAATGAGGGTCTGAAGCCTGTCCAAGAATTTCAAGCAGCACTGGATCTGATACGAAGAAGAACCTGGGGAAGATAAGACGCTTGGTCTCCAGGTACCCCGTGAGCGACTTCTGGCAAGCCTCCAACTGCTCGTACAGGTGCGGCAGCAGCTGCTTCAGCGTGTCGTCGGAGGTGCACGTCTCCACACAGTTCACTATGTCTCGCGCGCGATACATTATTTTCACATAAGTCTTATCGATACCCTGGTAAAATAATAATGCAGTGGGGTCAAATTCTTTATCTACCACGTGGTTCTAGATAGTTAACACAAGAATCGTGCAACCTTTAATGTACCGTTAAAATGTAACAATAGTGTTTGTTTATCAATACTTACAAAAAAGGCCACCCCTAAAGAAGTATTTCCTGCTAAATTAACGTGTTTAACATAAAAAAATTAATGATAGTTCAAGTTACATACCCCAAATCGCTTAGCCTCTGCCGGCAGCTGCTTGGCAATATCTCCGCCAACAAATACTGCTTCCAGATACATCCATAAATTTTGGACTTGAAGCCATTTCTCCAAGATCTCACTGGTACTCACCAGTTTATTTATCCATAACAATATATCTCTCTTAAATGGAGCGTTATATCTAAAATGTTTATATAAGTATACGATGTATGTATTTAGGTAACGTTAACTACGTTAAACAGGTTTATTTAGCTTGACTCGTTTGTTTGTTTAGGTTAAACGTAATTGGAATATTACCCCCTTCCTAATGACAGATCGATCTGATATTTAGTTTACACTTTTAATATTGATGACCATGCAATATTTTAACTAACTACTTTTTTCAAAAACTACCTGTATTACGGATATCAAGCGAAAGGGCTTGATTGGAAAAATAGAGTTCATATTGACTGCCGTGTCGGACCATGATGTCCGACGCTAGCGGAGGATTAGCCTTCAACAGTTTTTGTCGGCAGTTAAAGGCTTAAAAAAGGTTAGAAAATAATATTTGTATGTTTTACCTACTTGTTTTTAATATAAGTGTTGACTTTAATTATTAACTACTTGTATCAAAGATAGGTCATATAAATTTAGAAACCAAGGAAGAGTAGATGTTGGCCTTTGCCTTCATTGGGACGATTTCAACTTGACCTCGATACCCGACGTTTGTTTCTCCCAATAAATTAGTTAAATGAAAGTATAATAGCAATTATAAGAGCATTAAACACCACTATTTGTTATGTAAGTACCTAGCTTTTCTTAAAACACTTATTACCTATTTGAAGCTAATGAATTGAGGATCATTAACGAGTCTTCAAGTAGAGTGATGATTTCCAGAGTTTCCGCAGGTCTAATTAATAGTTCGCCTCTGTTCTTGAAATTAGCGAATGATAAATCAACCAGCGCCCAATCTGCGGTTACTTGTTTCAATTTAGCTTCTATGTCCTTCTCTTTAACCGCACTTATACATATGTCCTAAAAAGATATTGGAAAATTAAAACATAAAACTAAACTTTATAAAAGGTTTATTTAGATTATTTCACATTCTGACTGATTATTTACTTGTATAACACACACATCATTTGGTAAAGTACCTAGTACAAAGTTTAGTAAAATAATTAATTAATAAAGGCGACTAACTTCAACATCCTCCTTATACTTCAAAAGAGGCGCCTCCATGACGTTTGCAAGAGTAAAAGCCTCAGATTCCACATCCAACACACAGTCTGAAATACACTCTCATATTTAACGTAAGTGCTCCAAAACTGACTCAAGGTTTTTACAAAGAACTAAAATGTTTACTAACTCATAAGTTTTTCCAATCTCCTCCAGTGTCGATCTTTCATAGACTTGTCGGCCATTAATTCCAATAAAGGACAAGTTTGATTAAAATCATCAATTTTGTTCTTTAGATCAATAAAAGCTGGCCAATCCTTCATAGCTCGCGGTAATTTTCGACATCTATATGCAAAGTAGAATATACAGAAATGATGAGAGCAAAGCACAACCAAATTCTGTGTTCCGATTGTTTAAATGTGCGAAATGGGCGACTCCGATTGCTTATCATCAGTGACCCATCTGCTCGTATACCGGCTTATCCCATACCTACCCAGTTTTGAGCTTAAAGACAAAAATAAAGGCTGACTTTGTTATTATTTTAATGTAATGCAATGTGGCATCTTTCATGACATTAATAATTTTACTTGACATTAACAACTTTACCTGACATCGAACTCGGCCAATTGTGTGACAATCTGTTCAATTTGTATATCCACCCAGGGTGTTTCGAAATAGCCATCGATGGAGTTCATTACAGCCAAATATAAGCTGTACCTGTTTACATAAAAAAAATATACACAGAACAATAATCATAAAGTCGATTAACCAGTACTTCGACCATACAACTTACAATTTGCTCAACAGATTGAATTCTTTCTTCTTTTGATGTAATATCGGATAGTCTTTCACTTCCATACCAAATAACTTTTCGCCGCTGGAGTACATTTCAAATCTCCTCCAAAGTTCGTCGAATCGTGATTGGAACATGATTACCCTGAAATACATTTTATAGTTTACAGTAACCCCTACCTGCAATTTTATTTTATTTCAAGACATGAGTTGTCGTCGTCGTTCAGACGTTGTCCCTGCACTAGGTTTTCCTCGTGGGTGCGTTCACAAACATACAAGATCACATACACATGACACCCATACCCGGAACAATAATTTATGATTACCACAAAGAGTTGCTCCGTGTGGGAATCAAACCCGCGACACGTTACGCGACAGCCAGCCACCGCACCAACCGTGTCGGCAATTATATTCACAAACTTGTTACACTTATAGCAAAATTACATTGCGCAACGGACAGGAAAGGAGTACATTAAACAGAGACTGATTTTAAGTGCTAGAACATATACCTGTCACTAGCTTCTCTGGCTGTTAGACCTGGAGTCAAGGGTCCAAACTGGTCGAAATCAGCGTCAAACTTAAGGACGTCCTCTAAGAACGTGGCGACTCCTTCGGTTAATTCACTTTGCAGTGGACCTTGCATATCTACTATCTTTTGTTGTACTTGCTGGGACTAATAGAATAATAAAAAAGCTTTACATTTTATGACGTATAAGAAGATAAAAGAAACATTGTATGAGGGTTTGCAAATAGACACGAAATAGTCCAAAGACAAAAAATAGGAAAAAATCAGTTCTCGTAAATAGTAAAAATTGGTCACACATACAGTCAATAGCATGTTCTGGAAAGCATAGCGTAATCCATACACCATGTCCGCATCCTCTTTAGGAACATCGATACTGAACTGATTAAACGTAGCGTAGCTTTCTTCAATCAGGTCGAGTTCCATGTCCATGCTAAAATAGTTTTTTTTTTATCATAAGTAATTATTTACAAATTTCTGCCCGCGAATCCCTGTTCCAAATTTCATCACAATAATTTCAGCCGTTATGATGTGATTGAGTAACACACACACCTACAGACAAGCACATAAGCACACACACTTTTATAGCATTAGCAAAATCAGGTGTCGGTGTTATAAAGACTATAAACTCAAAGTCAAAGTCAAAGCATTTATTTCAATTAAATCATAATTTGGAGTACCCAATTATGATCTGATGAATGATGAATCTACATAAGTATATGAACGTCAAAAAATAAAAAATAAATAATAGTCTGTCAGTGTATCCACAAGAAAACAAGACCGTTGCGTCTGTCAGTGGTGTTCTTTCCAAAATGTTGATTCGAATACAGAACAAAGAGTAAGAACGACTAACTTGAAATAGTACAAGAGCCAATTGACTAAAAGATTAGGAGGTAAGTATTATAGTATTATTGAAAAAATATTACTCGTACCTTATAAATTCTTCTCTAATAAGCTCAAGGCACAACATAGCCACTCTGACGTCATCTAGATCCTTAATTCTCTTGTTCATTGTCTTCATACGGTCGTTGATAAATTGTTGCAACTTGATTACTCTCTCTTTGTAAGCCTGACAGAGTAGTTTCCCCAGGATCCTCTTCCATTCAATTGATTCCAAATGTAAGGCCAGTTTTATGTCATCTTCAAGAAAATAAGTTAAATTATTTTTCTTGTTTAGTATTGTCAATTTCAAATTACTATCTTTCCTTCGCACAACGGCAATCAATTTATTTTCATAGCAAAATCAAAGACAAATTAAAAAACCTTTGATAAGTTACAAAAGTTACATAAGTTACAAAGTTACAAAAAGTGAACAAGTACCCATATTAATTTGAATGGAGCCAATAATGTGCCGTTGGGGTAAGCCCAGTACTTCCTCAGTTTGTCCTTCGTATTTGTGCAACATGTCCTTGACTATTATATTCATGGGATTTGTATCCACAAAATCTTGTACTTGCTGAACTCTATCTTCCGCCCATAAATGGGAGAATCTTCCATAGCTCTATAAAAATTACAATTACAACATCACTAGTTTCGTTTATTAGATAACAAAAAGATGATTATGATACGATGTCACCCTTTTTTGAGGGGTAAAATCATCAAATACCCGCCCGGGTGAGGCGAGAGGTAATGTCAGACTCCAACTGACTAAAAACCACCCCATTCCTACTCCTGCTCTTTGAGCCGGAGCCCCGGCAACCCGTTAAGTCTTCCGCGGCTCTGTAATATGATGTCACCCTATGTATACGTAAATGTAACCTTAACTAGCGTCTGAGGCTCCGTCAACTTTCCCGTAGGATAAAAAGTAGCCTATGTGTTATTCTAGACCACAATCTACTCTTGTTCCAAATTTCATCCCGTTCCCTTTAGCCGTTTTGACGTTAAAGAGTAACAAACACGAGCACCCTCACAGACTTTCGCATTTATAATTTTAGTAGGATTAGTAGTACCAAGCCATCCAAGGTCTTAGTCAAGATCTCAAACATAATACAAGAACTCGTAATTGGTTCTACTGTTTATGAAAGTTCGATAAGAACAAAGGGAATCAATTTCAAAAGAAGATATACCTTCAATAACTTTTCTATGTCTGGTTTGTACATGAACATCATTCCTTGCAACGCCATCACCGACCTGACGATATCCTTGTGCTCTGATACCATTCGGAAATAACTTCGGATTCCGCTCACATTGGACCCCGACCTAGATCCTATAAATAATAAACGCAAAATGCTGAGAATACAACAATCTGGCTCAAAACTAAATGCTACTGGTTGGTTAAAAACTTTAAATTATTTAATGTTGCACTCATCAATACACAATGAATGAGTTACATAATGATTTACATTGTTAAGTAACGTTACTATTTTTTAACTCGTCGAGTACCGGTTTTGTAGACACAATTATAGAACAATAGGTTGCGGTCACCGGTGACCGCTTGGTATTTGACAGTTTAAATAAAACCTAGTAATACTTTGCCCAACCCGGACATATATATTTATTTATTTATTATTTTAAAAACCCGGTAATCGAAAACCCTTTTCTTTCTTTCTTTCAATTACCTATGTTTACATTTACCGCGTACTAAGTATTTAATAAAATATATGAAGGTATTTTACCTGTTGTGCTTCGTGCAACTGTTAACGACACCCCGGCCATCCGTTCCTTCTTTATTTGTTCTTGTTGCCCCCACGTAAATACATACCGATGGACATCCATTACACAATTCAATACCACCTAATAACAAACAAGAAAGTGATGAAATCAAATAAATAATTAATATTTTTATCATATTTACAATATATTGTTAACTATACCTGTGAAAATGACGTTTGTATCTCCTCCAAAGTAGGTTTTATCGATATCTTTGGTATTTGTAAGTACATATTGGTCATCATTAGCGGTTTCAATTTTTTCTGTTCTTCGGGATCAATAGTCATTGTCAGAAAACTGTGTAAGAGTATAAAGTTAAAATATTTCCGGCAAATAATACCTACATGTGACTTGTACAAAAGAACCATGAAAAAAATTTTTAGCATCTGTTTCTGAAATAGGTGTTAAGTCTGTGCTTCAGCATCCTCGGAGCAGGTTTGCAAATTATAAAACTGGAAACATATGTCAATAAACGTAACCAATAACAAAATAGTTGATATACGACATTGAAGCCTATTTCTAAGAAAAACTAAAATGTGTCTTTTGTGACGTGTCGAAAGATTGACATGAACACTTATTAGACTGAACAAAAAGTTACAGTTGCGATTACGACGCATCTACGCCGTAGAGGCCGTAGCTATATTTGAGTGCTACGCCGGGCTGCGCCGTAGTCATTTAGTTGTTACATCAAACGTCATACGCTACTAAAAATCTAAATTAGACCTATTTAAGGTGCTTTTCATAACTAAATAATACTTTAATTACTAATTAATTACCTCGATACAGAAGCTCTCCGTCTTAGCAAGTCGAGACTTTGTCGCGTGCATTTAATTAATGCTTCAACACATTTTGTAGCAAAATATGCAAACAGTTCATTGCATTCGTTGATTGTGTGATTTACATCATAACGATCTGGATTTTCAATCTCATTGAATACTGGAATAAATAATATGAACTACATAGAGTTGCGGTAAATCCTACTGTGACATTGCTAGGATCTTGAAAGCGTTCTAATAGTACCACACATGTGTGAATTTATATTATGTCAATAATAATTTACAATTAAAAAATGTCGTACCTGTATCCTCAGTGCTTACCCTTGTCGCTGACGTCACTTGTTTTAATGCTTTTTCTAAGTCCAACCTAGATATTGTAATCATGTTTAATATTAGTAAATGCATTTTATTACTTATCGAACATAATGAAGTGTAGATTCATTACGATCTAAATAAGAAGTATAACTACTACGTTAGTTATTATAAACAGACCATTTAGAAGGTACACTGTCCAGAAACTTGTGTACGAGTTCGATAACTGCTATTTCTGCATTCCACGACTTTTGTTGAATCTCCAAAGCTAGGTAACAAAAATGCAAATTTTTTTCTTTAATCAGTATTTATCATAAATTACAAAACGACTGCGAAAACTGTCTAAGGGCCGAATTATCGTTCATCAGTTAATTCTTAACGGCAGAATAAAATTGACATTGTTCTATCGCTAATAGTTTCGGCAGAGCATTTGACGAAAGACATTTTAAGACTCATTTTTCTACACGATCGGTTACATTGTTCAAATTTTACCAAGGATCCCTATTTTTTTTTCAAAATGAAATGTAGACTATGTCAAATTGGAAGAATGTAGCATTCTATTGGTGAAAGAATTTTTTAAATCGGCCCAGTACTTGTTGAGCCTATTCGTTATAAACATACAAAAATAGGTACAAATCTTTCCTCTTTATAATATTAGTATGGATAGACCCTCCATTTATGTTTACCTGTATAGATAAATAGTCACCTATTTCGTCACGTCTCAAAAGATTCTCTTCGTAGAAGACTGCTGGATCTACGGCTTCTTCGGGCAAGTAAACGAGCACAGTTGTTGTTATTGATCTTAAAATGGCATCAATTCGTGCCTCTTTCATGTCTACCACCTGTGGCGAAATGCCAAAACTTAAATACCATTGCCGGTAAAATTAGGGTCGATTTTTCAAACATCAATTAATACTTAACTGAAGAATAACATTGCCATTTAACATTATTTTAGTATGGAAGAATTTGCAAATATTCAAAGATAAATTTTTACTGAGGCATAAGTATACCTCAGTAAAAATCAGTGAAAAATCTGACCTTAGTTAATTATATAACTGTTAAGAAAGTAACGCCCGGTTTCACCAATGTTTCTTAAACTTTAAAGAATTACTAAATTAAGATAGGTGAATCTTAGCGACCGTTTTGCTTTCAACAATGAGTAAGGCCTACAGTAGACGATGCGTCATTTCACAAATGGACGCATTTTTACGCAACTTGGACAATAGGCATAAGTGCCACCTATGGTCGAAACAATACTCTATGTCCTCTTAATTCCTGGAACTAATTCTGGTAAGAGGTGAGTTTAAGTGCTCGCTTATACTATGTAACCCTTAATTAAAAATGGTTGGTGACAATGGAAGTAATTTTATTTTTGTGGTCCGATACGAAATCAAAGTGATTCATAAAAAATTGTTAGAACTAAATAATGGATCGGCCATATTTGTCAGAGAACGGATCGGCCGTTGGACCGGACAGACGTCTTCAGGAAGTTATTGTGTCTAGCTGAATGTGTCGAACTAAAGATCAACTTCAGAGATACTTATGTCATTGAAGAAGCGTAGGTATGTCTAAGAGTGAACAGATATGAACTGATTGATATAATATTACCTCTTTTACAAATAAATCTACTTCGGTAAGCACTTTCTCTATACGTTCACAATATGCAGGTATTTCTAAGGATGTCCACGTTATCGTAGAAAATCCAGGTTGGAAAGCATTTTCTAATTTGATAAGTTGTGCACGTAGCAGCGGTTGGTACAGCCTGGGCATGCTCCTATTGTAAATAATCACATGAAGAATTCACTTCAAAATCAATTTATCATTTCGACGCCTATTAACAACTTATCTACAAGATATACCTGCTAGTACGAGAGATGACGACCAAAACCATGTCTCATAGCAATGCGGCAAAAACCCTATAAAATCGTTAGATTGTATGATTCTGAACCCGAATAGGGTGTAGTAACGGTCGAAAGTGTAGCAACTGCGTGGGAGGCCATTTCTGCTGTGTCAAAAATATCTGAGTATCGAAAAGTTGTCTGATAGAGAAGGTGCTACACTTATTTTGTCTGATATAATTTTTTTGCACATGTGGACAACTTATTTTATCATGTCCAACAATTTTCAGACATTTTGCCATGATACCGATCGGTAAAATTTGTTAACATTTTCAAAACGGTCTCAAAATTGAATGCGTTCACATTTCCGTCCGAAAATTGTTTTGTTCGCATCAAATAACCAAAATTTACTAATAAAAAAGGATTTCAGACGTTTTGCTATAAGACATTTTTTTTGTCATTTTTTTAATTTTTTTAATTGATTTTACGGGTTTGCGCTACACCACTAACGTCTGAAAAATATGTTTCCGGTATTTCAGAACTATCATTCAACTACAGTCTGCAAATCAGACATATTGCTATGATGCAGTTCGGTAAAATTCTGTGACAATTTTGAAAATTCGGCCAGATCAAACGCTACGCGGAAAATGTCTGATATTGGTATTTTCGAGTTCAGGATAATCGTATCTATCGATTTGATGCGGTTTCAGCCGTATTGCTATGAGACAAAAAATTTGGTCGTCATCTCTCGTACTATGCAGTAACTAACATAACACAGTTAACTCAATTACGTACCTGCGTATTTGGTTGTTCCTGTCAACCAAATGTTTTACTCTTTCATAATTTCCGAGGATTTTATCTTTACAAAACGCCACAATTTGAGCCCCGTCCGGAACACCTACAATTATATTGCATACATGAATTTATTTTCATGCATGCTCGTCGGTGAAGGGCATTTTTAATTTGGCCCTTCTTTAATATATCGCCAATCAGGGTTTATTATAACCCCAATAGCGATTCTTCAATAATCGCCATGTAATATATATTAAATACGTCTAGGGCGCCCTCTACTGACTGCCTCAATCATTGCATGAAAAGATTGATGACTGTTGATGAAGCGACCGTTGATGTATGTATGTACGAATATAATTTTTATTAAAATTTTCACGTGATAATGAATATTTTTAATAGAATGTAATATATTCCATACTTAGCCCCAGTTGCCACATGTATTCGACCTCTCTGATGCATTCTGGTATGTAGATACTAAAGTTTACTATATACATATTGGTTGTTGGATGACGGATCAGCAGAGGAGCAATTAAGCCGAGTCGTACCTAAAATATTAACAGAAGTAAATATATAGAAGGAAAAAACATTAATGTCATCATCATCATCAAAATCAAGTGATATAACCTGAACCATGTTAATTATATCTACCAATACGACTATATTGCAAATATTACCTGATCAACATTTTCAGCCCAAGCGTAATGATAAATCAATTCGAATTCAGTGAAAACAATTGTCAAGACATTATACAATTTTATACATCGCTGAGTGTTCTGAAATAATTCCAAATTAGTTTAATCACACATTGACACTAATAATATATTATGGATGTGAAAGTTTCTTTGTTTGGGTGTCTGGACGTTTGTCCATCAAACACGTATGTACGGATTTTGATGAAATTTGGTATAGGCTGACTTAGGTGATAAGATATTTTTCATTTTTTATATTTTTTCTTTTTTTTATATCGATTGAATGCTCTCATGGAATAAAACAGGAATACGCGCGCGAAGCCGCGGGTAACAGCTAGTTATGAATAAACTGCAATAAATGTTCGTGTAATAAATAATAGGGTTACATACCATATGCGTAATTACTTCATGGTGCTGTTTGAAAACATCCATAGGATAATTAATACTTTTATCATAAAACCTGATCCACATAATCCGTCCAGATACCGGTGGCATATTCCTTGACAACTCAGGCTGCTCTCTTTCTTCATTATATCTATAGAAAATTGGATAGCTTAAATTGTATTTTTCTTGGAAAACCAGATCTTTATTTAACCTACAGCTACCTCTAATGCCCTCTACATTAGAGGTACCTATGTGCGACGAGACAGTTGGTGGAAAACGTTAAATAGTAGTAGAATGAAACCCATTACACAAGGAAGAGAATGTGCCAAAGAACACGGAAAAATAAAATACAGACGACCTGGAGCTCGCCAAATGATGGGTGGATGTTATAGGAAAATAAATTTGTTAATCAGGATTTGCAGAAAAACTAAAAGTCCTATGAAAATAAGTATGTTCAATTGCAAAGTCGTAGATACTAAAAAAGATCTTATATTTGTCTTCCTCGTCTTTTTATTTATTTTTTTGCGTGCTTTCTTCCTTAAAACTATTATCCTTAATTTGCTGTCCGTAAGTATGCTTTAACTTTACTTTTACTTTAACTATTATCTCATGGGTTTTTGCAGTCCTGGCTTCAATGTTTTCGTTTGATTATATTTTGTCGAATTGTTTGCGACAGTTAAAATAAAAGATGATAAACGAACTGCAATACAATTAGACTATAGGAAAAATCTAAGATTCCTTTAGCAACTAGCTACTAGGATGTACCTGTCTCGTAGTGATTCTATCTCAGCTGTATAAGTTGTGATTAAATCATAATACTGATCTTCGAGATACAGACAGTCTAACTTCAGTTTTTCAAATCGAGTTAACAAATGCAATGCTATCTCTGTCGTCGGACATTTATTCACACTCTAAAAATAATTACTTAATTAAATATGTATATATCTTAAACGAGTCATATATTAAACTAAAGTATTATAACTAAGTAGACGCCATGTTAACTGAAATGAAACATTGGGTACATACGTTAATCATGAAGTTTTCAAGCAACAGTTCCTGATTGGCCACCGCATCTTTATATATTTTGTAATCCTTATCGAAATCTGGTCGCCTGTTTGACAAATACTTTTATTTTATGACTTAAGTTAATACTTAAGTTTCTTCATTTCTCCGACCATTAACTAATGTTAATGGTCGGAGAAATGCATTTAAACACATTTGAAACTACAGTTTATAACACTTTGCCGGACTAAAAGATGCTGTGCTTCTTAATCACGTTTACGTCCAGTAATAATAGGAGCGAATAAATAATCAAATGTTAAGTTTGCGAATTTATCTAGGCTATTTTATAACCGTCAATTCGAACTTTTAAAGTGAGCTCGTCGAATTCTCGCCCGTCATTGGTCGAGATTATTATCACAACCAATGACATGGCGAACCGCGATAGAGTTTACTTCGTTTCGAATTAAAATTTACAGAATAACCTAGCTAATCTCAATTTTAATATACCAAGATAGAGTAAATTGAAGTTAAAACATAAGATGGAGCTTTTTACATAACCGACCTGTGATCTAAAGCATCATACGTTTTGGACGATATACTCTTGAACAGTTTATTGAAATTGGCTGCATACTCTTCAATGCCTTCCAATGTTGTTTTATTCAATACATAATATGTTATGTAGGTTTGGAATAAATCGATCACCTGGGTCAATCAGAACGGTTTTATAGTTACGTACAAGCTGTCAATGCTATTATTAATTAGCATTTATGCTAGGGCTACTCTCTGTATAAATTAACTAAAAATGCGATGTTCCGTAGCCTACTGACCGCCACGACCACGTACGCTGCTCATGAAGGAGAACCTCTTTGTGGTTTGAAACTAATAAAGGTTTTCTCAGTGTAATTACGTGGGTAACCCGCAATTTTTAGTTAATTTAGTATGTCTTATGATAATTATTATAAAAACTCTCTGTATATTTGCTTACGGGAGTTGACAAGCTTTCTACATACCTACAGATTTCAAAATTCTATCTCTTATAAGTTAATTCGCAGTTATTGAGAGCATATTTTAAGTATCTTACTTTTGATATTCTTATGCGGAAAGTTTCGAATTTTCCGAATATATACATCTCGGAACAATCGAACGGTCTTTCATCGGCTGCTTCCATCATTTCTTTTTGAGTTTCTGCGTAGCACTCACGATAGAAGTTGTATAAACTTAAACTCAGCTGTAACATTAAACGTTGCATTGTATTATTTTCTTTGTATTTTTTAACGTTGCCTCACTCTAGGATTTTCTCCTGTGTCGTGGGTGCGTTTAAAAACATATAAGTTAACATACACATGACACCCAGCCCAGCCCCCGCACCAACCGCGCCGTCAAAATGGCATGTTTCGATACATATCCTTGACTTTTAATAAAGTGATTAGTACAAAATGATCCCTTACTTTAGCTTTATAAATAAATTTTAGTTTATCTTGATTCCAGATATTCTTTTTGCCTCCATTAGTGAGAAATTCCATGCACATATTAAGAATCTGGTTAGTAACTTTGACAAGTAACGTAGAAATCTGTTTGGTAGTGTTATAGTATCTGGATGTAGCAAATATCATGCGAATTGTGTACAATAAGCCAGGAATGTATTGTTGCGTCGTGGAAGGGTCACACCTGAAAACAGTACACATGACATATGGTAAAAGGTAAAACGAAGTGAATGGAATTCGAGGGGTAAATGGGATGAAAAAGGGTCTCTGTTCACCATTTCAATCCTATTCACCCCATTTTACCCGGTATATATGAGACGAGAGTCGTTGATTCGTATAGTTTCTCAAGTTATTATTATAAACTAACCTGTACAGTGGTTCGCAATATTTTTCCAAGGCGTATAAATATTTCACATTATCAAAAGCTTCATTATAGTAATCAGTGACTAGATTATCTAATTGTCGCCATTTCTGCAATATACACGTAATAATTGTTGTGGTAAATTATATTATTGAATTATTTATAACACGTACTGCACCGGTTGTCTCGCATTTGACTATGGACCCTTAGTGTGACATGAAATTAGTCGAATTACCTCGTCGAACAGTTATATGATTAATTTGTACAACATAAGTAGTTCATTTATTACCTTTAATAGTTTAGATTTTGCACGTATTAATATGTGAATGTACATCTGTGTTGGTTCGCTTTTTATATGCTCGATAATTGACGTGAATGTAGTTAGCTGGCGACGCCAGTGGTCCAGCTCAGCCAGAGGACCAATATTTGAAGGTTCACGACGCAGCTGCTGGCTTTGTACTAACACCTAATACAAAAAATGTAACTCAAAATAATTTACGAAATTTCTAACTTATTTCAAACCGTATAGACGTTGTGATATGTCTCAATTTACCATAGTGATTTGCCTGATCCATTGTTTTACATACGTGCATATTTCTTCCAGTACATGTGTTTTGGTTATAGCAAGCTTCATTTTTTCTTCATCAGATAGTTCATCCTCATACAAATTATAATTAATTTTGAATCTAGTACAGCAGTCCAAATCTATTTTTGTTTCTAAAAACAAATTACAGGTTGGTGACTTACAATACTTATAAGAATTTAGTTAACGGGCTCTTTCTAATGAAAAGTCCTTTATCATTTCTTCACACAAATAACTATCACTAGTTTCATAACATAATACGACTAGTAGGATGTTATAATATGATTTACGATATATAGAACTACAACAATAAATATGTTCATCAACAACTAATTGATTAACATATTTGAATACAAGTAAACACTCACTTGCAAGGTAATCAACAAACAACATGATTTTGGACTCATAAGTTTTAATAATAGTAGCACTGTTAGGATTCGGGGGGTTAATGTCCCCCCACCCCTTGCAGGTCTGAAGTGCCGGAAGAAACACACGTGTCATTGTATGGTATATAGCGGACACAACATTATCTGTTTCCGGATTAACATCGAATACAACGAAGAAATAATCCTGGAATGTACAAGAATGTTACAAAGTATCTTGTTTGTATATGTATGATACAGCGCAACATGACATAATGAAGAGTTGCTACATTCGACAACTGTTCTATGTGTTTTGTTTCATGTAATGCAGTACTATTTGGTGCAGTATTGCGTCTGGTTGCTTCCAAAACAATTACGTATTACCGCAAGTAGAGTGTGCGGTGGATTTCGATTTCTTTCGATCACACTTGCAGAACAACCAACCAATCCAAACATAACGGTTATAAAATCACAAAGGTAGTAACGATAGAGATTTTAAATAATAATCTTAAATGATGTACATTAATTTTAAGGTAAAATGGTTTAATTACGTATAAAGTTGACTCAAGTACTAAACTCCGGACTTCATAATAAAGTAATTAAGTAAAAATATTAAGAATAATTACGTCTCCTATATTCTTAGCGTCAATAGCTTTCGTCCTGAATCTGTACATAGCAACACATTTGCCCTCCGTGCCAATAGTAGACGCATCAGATAAGTACGCCCTTTCCATTTTACCTTTCTGATTGGGAACGAATCGACCAGTTTCTGTAAGAGCAATGTAAAACTTAGTGCTGATCCATATGTACTAAAGTAGGTATGCATCAGGCGCCTTACAGCGGTTCCAGATGTTTGAGGGCCACTTTACCTATCTATCTATAGATTTGCTTATTAGAGATTGAATTTTGACACTTTTTGTATGGAGCGTATGTCAAAATTCTATTAAGCAAATCTACAGATAGTTATGTTATTGAAACTGACTGTTAGACAATTTCAGGCGCCTAATGGCTCGACGCGGTCGTAAACACAACTGAGAACGCCCGAAGCTAACCCACATACTAAAGCCAATTATAATTTCCAAGTTCATTAGTTAGGTATCTACGTTTTTTTAAGTTTCTATTGGAATTTATAAGGTAAATTGTATTTATCTATATGGATTTAGTAAAACATTTTAGGAACATTACCCATTTTACATGGTGGAAGCAAGGCGTCACACAGGACTATACAATTCCTGCCACCTTCAGCAATAGCACTATCTAACAGTTCTATATGTATATCAGCATCGTAAACACCTTCCTGCAAAGTAGTAGTGATACCAAATGATAGTTCCTGTTAATAACAATCTAAAAAAAACTTTACATGTTCACGAATCTATGTTAACTTTTATACTCATGAATACTAATGAAAGTGTAGCATGCAGCAGAGCACAAACATTGATAGGATTTAGATAAATGCGTCCCATATATCTTGAACAGATTCTCATTAAATTTTACGAACAGTACTGTGAAGTAAGTGTGTTTACTGAAGATAATCAAATTTTTATTAAAGTACTAGCTTCTGTCCGCGATTTCGTGCGCGCAATGCGGTTTTCTCCCGTTCCCGTAGGATTTTCAGGATTTTTTCTATCTTAAGAACCTTCTCATAATAATAACAAATATACCAAAAACAGAATTCTTGAAATCGGTCCAGCCATTCACGCGTGATGTCGTGATCAAGGGAAAAAAGGAATCATTTATATATATGTGTATAGATAGAAGAGTTCAGTTAAAATAGGAAAAAAAACATCTGTTGAGATAGTATTGTTCTTTTGTGAAAATGCATGTCCTTTTGGGCAACTTATCAAACGTATAGGTGACCACACTAACACTTACCAAGACAAAGTCATTTGGTCTATTCAATATAAGCGCACAATTCTCTAGTAAATATCTGTGCTGTTGCTTGAGTCCACCCATACGATTATTACGAGCTTCTTTAGCTTTGGCCTACAAACAAAACAATTTTAACAATATCGCTATTTAATATATTTGATAAATAAAACAAATTAACTAGTGATCCACTTTATTTACTTGCTTGTCTTTATAAGATTCGTGAGCTAAAGCCAACGTGCTCATTGACAATCTGCTCCTCTTCTGAATGCCTGCTATACGAGCACTGACGTCAAGTATAGCTTCTAAGGCAGTCTTGTCCACTTCGATCCGTTCTCCATCTGTAAACGACATCCTCCGGATTGACGACATCTTATGTGACAGAGTTCGAGCGACCTCCGCAATCTTCTTTTTAGTTATCGATATATCATCTCCATGATCCTCTTCACGCTCTGCTTCAGGAGGTGCTTTGGGGGCTCCTTCTGGAGGTACTTCTGGAGGTACTGCGGGAGCTTCTTCTTTAGGTGCCGCTTCTGGAGCAGGAGCCCCTTCAGGTGGTACTGCAGTTTCTTCATTTCCTTCCATTATCTACTGAATACAAAACTATTTTCGTATTTCCCTAATAAATTAAAATATTTTTCTATCAAGTTGCACACAAGTCAAACAATACAAATAAAATTACAAGATTGTCATCAAAGAGAATATAACTTCAATGTCACTTCAAAACAAATTTGAACAGAATTACGTCCTGCCAGTTCTATATTTACGTAACACAAAGGTAAAGTATTGAATAGTTCTTAAACCTTTTTGGTAATAAGTACCTCTATATTATTATTATATTCACTAAGCATTCGCAAGGACGTTGAAGATATTTGTTTTACTAAAATAAGCACACTGATCTTAAAAACAACTCAGATACTTAATTAGCTTAGATTTAACTGTATTCACACTTTATCGCAACATTATTATACGACTATGGCTTATGAATAAATATGATAATTATACGTTGTGTGAAATACAGTGCCATAATTAAGAAAACATAATTTAGAAAATGCTTAAAAAAGGTTTATTAAAAACTTCCCAAAACTGTAAACACAAACAAGTACACGTAGTTTATTAACGAAAAGGTAAATATATTGCACATTGCCAATACAAATCACTTGATATCACACAACATGGCAACTCCTCTTAGGATCCAGTGGTCTGGGTTTTTAACAGTGGGCAGCCAAAGCGGGGTTATAAAAGTCAAATCAGTACGCACTGGCTTCTTATACACCGGACACTGAAAAATGAGAAAAATTAATAGAATTAATTGATAAACATGCAAGTATTAACTCATCGAGTACTGTCATTATAGATACAATTATAGAACAATAGGTTGCGGTCTCCGGTGACCGCTCGGTGTTTGACTGTTTAAATAGCTGCGCGACGATAGTCGCGTCATGTGTCGCGCTAAGCTGCTCATGAATATGAGCCACTAGCATGGCTTGAAACTAGTCGAGTTCCTCGTCAAACGGTTATGTCAGTAAAAAGTATTAATGGACGATAAACAACCTGATAGAGTTTGGGGTCCTTTGGCGCTGTGGAATTGATCGCGTATACGTGTACTACTGGTAAAGCAGTGTACACTATTTTTAGAGTAGATTCACATAGACGCATGTTACGACGGTCCCAGCCTGCACCATCTAAAAACATACCGTGGACAAATACTCCTTCCTGAAAGTAAAAATATAATCAATAAGGTTAAAAAGTATTTCACAAGTTAATTAATGCTTTTGTTTAATTAATTTAATCTCACCGGGGGTGGAGTCTTTACTTCTTCATAACTAAATTTAGTAACATCGTTGTGTAAGGTGACCATGTCGAGCGCCCAGCCCTTGTGGGCTCGAGTTACTTCCTGACGCATGGCGGTCAAAAATCCTACAATAGTAGCAAAATTAAATATTATTATGTAAGTATTATGTGCACCATATACGTATATAGTATTCTTTCTAGAATCTAGATTCTAGGTTATGTATATACTATAGAACACTTTAAATTTCGACGCTTTGTATCAAAACACAGTGGTAACTGTGGGGCTCAACCGGAGTGATACCACGGCCTCACAGAAGACCGATGTGAAACAACGCTTGCGTAGTCTTTCGTCATGTGAGTGAGGTTACCGGATGCCAAATTACCCCCCCGCCTCCCCAGTCTCCCGAATTCCCCATAATCCTCAAATACCCAAAAGGCCGGTAACGCACTTGTAACGCCCTTGGTGTTCTAGGTGTCCATGGGCGATGCCGATTGCTTACCATCAGGTGATCCGTCTGCTGGTTAAACGGTTTATCCCATAAGAAGTGGTACCTGAGCGTTGTGAGGGTAGTGCGGTGCCGATGTTTGAAACGTCTAAACTGATAGGACAAAGCTAGTCTGTACTAGCTGTCAGCTATAGGTCTGTACCTATTATGGTACATATATATAAGAACTTGTTATGGATTAAGGCAGCGTAGGAATTAATTATTTATTTTTACCTTGAGGGTTGAAGAAACCAGTCATCCAGAAAGAATTTGGCCTATTTTGAAAGCACCAATTTGAAAATTGTATAGTTCTCTCCAAAAATTCAGTAAACCAGAAACCTAATGTTGACGATGACCATGAACTTTTCAACCAAATATTTGGAACTTTCGCGTCATAAATATTGTCTAATGAATCTCGAAGTGCCTATAACAGTACAACATTTTAATATAAGTTCGTAAATTGTGGAATCTCAGACGATGAGTTCAAAAGGTGAAATCATTGTTACCTCATTCATTATTATGGTTCCATCAATAGCGAGCAACAGGTCCTTCAGTGTAAATCTTACTAGCTCAATAACTTTTTGCATCCTGTCAATTTCTTGCCTCAAAAATATTACCATTGAATTAAGTATCCCATAAAATCTTAACCTAAAAAGGAAATTGGTTAAGTCTAACAAAATAATGGTATTCTTCTAATTGCAAATTAAATACGTTTACCTGTCCATTACTTCATGTGGATCAAAGTTAGGAGGGACTTTGTCCAGCATTTCTTTAGTCTGTCTGTATACCGAGGCTTCGCGTGTTTCTCCAGCTTCTCCACTTGCTTCCTTCGGTTGGATGGATAATATTGTGTCCACAAGTTCCAGAGTAGTGTTACGCTGGTAACTAAAAGTTTAAAACTATGTGGTAATATTCATAGTTTAAAATAAACGATCAAATACAAAAATACCATCAATCTTAAACTGACGTGATATCTGCGTTGGTGTGCAGGCCGTATGCTTGAGGAGGATCCACAGTTTTCATTGTCTCAATAGCCTCCAGGTACTCGGGTATATTCTTAAACTTAAGCATGCCATATCCCTTGTAGAATTGAAAGTCATCATTAAAAAGTTGGTCTGAGAATAACACCTTACAGAAGGTTACCAATAGTCGTGTATCGTAGTCATCAGTCACTCGCCCGCCGTATTGGACTGCTGATACCATATAACTGAAACATATTTCATACTTATGTAGAATCAAATCAATATTTCTTTGGAGACGCAGACATGACGGGACCACTTACCGTACAGTAGTCCAGCTAACAGGATGCCCCGGCTCTAGTGAATCTAAATGGTTCTGCACAAACATACAAGAAGACAGCCAGTCAGCAGAATTAAATTCATAAGGAATATTCCATCCAAGAGGTCCAAACTTCCGTCTCTCTTGCACCACCGTGTGTAAGAATGAGATGGTGTAGATCAGCGGTAAATAGAAGGGACTGTCACTGTAGTCTAAGAAGTCCTGACTCATCGCATCATAAGTCCTCATTAGGCCCGCTTTTATGCCTACAATATTTTGAATTAAAGTATTTGCTTTTAGAATTGTCTGCAGCTCTAAGTCTTGGATGTTTCAACTTACCAGAAGGTGGCTCACATGTATATTTAATGGACATTTGCAGAAGGGTAATAGGAAACCTTGGGTGTACCTCCGTGGTAATCCAAAGTCTGGGACGATACAGAGGTAATGTATTAACGACTTTTAAAGACTCTTTTAAATTAATAAAGATACGATACAGGTAAATTACCTAAAAGTTTCATGAACCTTTTCTGGGCTCTTCTCGAGTTCACCAAATTGTTCCATGATTTCTGTCATATAATCTAACCCTAAGTGACAGTTTTGCAGCAATACCCACAATCCCTATAAAATTTAATTGTTAGTTAAATGGCGTATTGTTAATATTATTTATATGTATGAGTACACATATACACGAGACCACAATGATCACCTCTTTTAGTCCGCGATCTATTAGTTTTCTTGCATGAATCTCTTGACCTTGGCCCATAGATATAGATGCACAAATAGTCTCCATGCGCTTAGCTGTTGTCTCAATAGAAGGTGTTGGATCAGAGCCCATTGCCAAAAAACCAATCAGAGGAACAAGTGGACGAGATTCTAATACCATATTCTGAAAATGAGAACTTTTTGATTAAAATAGATGCAAAGTTTTAAAAGTGTTTCTTATTTGCATCATCAACGAACCTCATAATTGACTATGACTGCTTCAGAATACCGAGCTCCCATAGAACTCACAACATACTTCCTGGAATATTAACAAAGCATAAATACACAGTAAAAAGTCAAATAAAAGTTGATATCACGAGCCACTTACAAACTTTGTGCTAGAGTCCTGTCAGGACACCACGCGCGCACTACCAGCAGCTTTCTGAACACGTCCAGAGTGTTGTAACCGTCAGGTAAAGGCTCGTCTTCTGGCGCTTCTTTGTCAAACCTTCAAAAAATTGTGAGTAAATAAGATAGAAAATTGCATTAATATAAACTTTTATACCACTTACCAAGCCTTCCATCCTCTCTCGTTATTACTAACTTGAGCGAGTATTTCTGTAAACTGACGCAAATTAGAAAGTTGAACTAAATTCAGCCATGACATGTCAGTAATCCATTTATATGGTTTAGGAGGACAGGTATTAAGGTCTAACGCTGCGCCACCTTGATAATAAATAATATTAGTAGTAAACAAATGAACTTGACACTTGATAAATAAAAATATTTGTCGTGTTTACCTTTAATGAAAGTCTGAAACTCGTCAAATATAATATATTCTTTCTGCAAATCTATCTTCAATGTCAAGAGCACAGTAAATAAATATTTATGCTTCTCGTAGAAACCTCGGGAGATGAATTTAAATACGTCGAATGTCTGTTTGGTAAAAAATATTTTATTTCAATTAACGTACACATAACTTACTGCGTAATATTTGTTTAAGAATTCCTTAATTTCTCTTTAACGAATTATTATTATGGACTACATACCAAATAGTCAATTATAAAACCGATTCTCCGTAACATAATGGGGCTTTGTGGCGAACGCTCTATGGATAAGTCAAAAAGCTCCAAAAACTGCGCCAGCGAGGTCTGATACATGTTGCATACGAGCGACATATTGCAAATGAGGAAGTACAGCACGGAGCCACGTGTGGCCACGGGCCGGTACTCCTCGCGAGCGGCATTTATCTTCATCTCTGTCTCTTTGGCAATGTCCAATTTTTCTTTTACCTGGTATAAAAACGCACGATATTCACATTAAAAATGAAAACGTCATTAAAAATAAAACAGTGATCCCAGATATAAAATATAACTATATTTGCCCCTACCTCTGTAGCAGTTGCTTTGGTGACGTTCAGTACTTGAATCAGTGATACATCTTCAACTAGCGAGCCCTCGATTGTAGTCAACTTTTGCAATAAGTTACTCTCCAGTTCCTGCATCTTGCGTCGGTTGGCCGTCACATCCATAATCAGTTGAGTTCGTTCCGCTTCTAATTCCGCCTTTTCTGTTAAGATCACACGACCTAACAGTTGATCTTCTAGGCCTGCAGTTTCACCAAATGTTAATAAAAACAAATACAATCAAGTTCTTTAAAAAACTAACACGTATTTTCAACAACCTACCTTGTATAGTTACAGTAAAGTCGATAATAGACGTCCGGGCTGAAACTTCTGGCGTATAAGCAGGATTTGGTAGTTTCGTTGTAATATATATCTTATGGCTTAGCATTACATCTATTTCTTTGTCGCCGAATTTGACCTAATACACAAATTAGAATTATTAACATACTAATCTAAATTAGTGGGGCACTCCCCACACTAAAAACTTTTATATTTTACAAGTGGAAAAGGCAGGATAGTACCTAAGTTCACAATATAGTAATGAACGATGAAATGACAGAAGTGTAGACTTTATAAGAAAATCTGAAGTACTGGTAAAATTTTGTGTGTACCTTATAAGAAGACCCTATCTTGATATAATTTCTTTCAAGTATATTGTCCAGAACTGGATCCAACTCTTCTGCAACATCTTCTATCAACATTGGTAGACCCAAGGACACACAGTCTTCTGCGTGATTTCTGTAAAGGAAAAATACATTTAAATATAAAATCACCCAGTAATGGCAAGTTTGACGATGGTTACCGTACTAAATCTATGTAGCAATTTAGCTTGTGGTGAACATTATGGGTAGCTCACCTGAAATATTTGTGGTTTAAAGTAGTGACAATTAATTGATTATATTTTTCCATGTTTTTAATCCAGTTCTTTCCTTGTGTTTGCGGATCGATTAGTAATGGAAAACGAGCGGCTTTAGTCACAATAATACCGTTTTGTATCGAAAGTTCGTCGGTAGGCAATCCACATAAGTTCCACTCACCAATCTAAACAGATCCAACTTTTTAATTCATTAAGTTCCTAATATAATAATTTTAAATACTTCTAAGACTGCCACTGCAAACAGTTCAATCAAATTATATAACTGAAAAAATCAACGACACACTCACTGTAGCATTATCCGTAAGTTCATTTGTTATATTTAAATTCAAGGTCACAGGAATTTTTCTATTTATCAAATCTCCAAGCCAATTGCTAATCAGCAAATTACGAAATTCTTGATTGAAGGGTCCGGAATATGATAAGAATCTGAAAATTGAGTCACAATTAGTGACTTGTAGTTGTAAATCACACTCTCTATTTGTTACGTTAACTGAAGAGTTAAAAACGTATTTTAGTACTAATCCTCACCCAGTGAGTAGTAGAATATCACCGACTAAGCGCTCAATTTCAGACCTAAAGAGAGCAGATTGTTCTGTCCAGCGGATGCGCTCTCCGCTAAGACCGTTAATAAGGGCAGAAGCGGCATCCATTTTCTGTTGGCATAGAGCGGCGTCATCCAGCACGGCCTGCTTCAGTGCCATCGCCTCGTCGAACTGACGCTGTACATGCGCCAACTCACACTGCAAAACAATTACCAAACATTACGATGATGTGTCTGTATTAACAAATTATTTTCTGGTTTAACCTTCCGTGTGTCTAAACCGCGGATCCACGGGAGACACCATGTATTTTCTATTGTGTCTCATATCGGTAAATTAAAGTAGTTAAGAAGTTGCGCGTACCTCCTTTTCCTCTAATTCTGCCTCTGCTGCTTCCAGTTCTTTTTTAGCCGCCTGATATTTGCCTTGCATTATTGCTAAATTGGCTTTTAGTGGCAGTACGTCCTTATTTACACCATAAAATTGCGCCATAGCGATTGTCCACGAAATTAGACCAGCTACGTTACCACAAGCTATCTTTGCAGCATCAAAAGTATATTGGCTAAATTGGAACAAGAGTGTTTATTATCAAATGATACTTATTTTAGTATTTACAAGTCGTTTATCTAGTTTATCTAATACTTGCCTGTATTTAAAATAAGGTTGTAACAGATCAATCATTTCAGCATTTATTTCATCTTTCGGATAATTCTTCAAGTTGTTTAGGAACCTTACATCAGCCATTACCTGTTATTCAATACGGTTTTTGACAAATTGTTTGTTAGCTAATTTGTACTCAATGATTTTGAAGGAGTGGCGAAATATTATATTAAGTAGCAATTTAATTTCATCGCTTATATTTTAATCAAGTTTTGAGTTCATTACCTTTAAAGATTCACTCCACGAAGGTGTCAAAAACTGTTTCTCAGGATCTGGTTTAATAGAATCAATACGCTTTCTAAACAAAAGAATTACAGCATCCATAATGAGCGTGATGAGATGAGGTGGCTTGCCCAACTTCCTAACAGTTGCGATGTCAGCAGAATTGATGGTCTGCAATGACACGTCGCATAAAACAGTTGTCCTCTGAGGAACTAACTATAAGGTACAATTTTGCTGGAACTTACGAGTAGGGCGGCTTCAGCAGCGTCAAGCGCAGGCTTTGCATCGGCTAGCTTTTCCTCAGCGATGGCGGTCTCAGCTGCGATGACGCTGACAAGCTTGACGGCGCGATCCTTCACCTCCAGCACCTCGGCCTTTACAACCTCGGCAGCCGCCTGAGTGTCTGCCACGGCCGCCAGCACCTGCAATACTAACACTTAGGTTACGTAATATTTTACAACAGACACTAGTTGAAACTTGACACAAACCTCTTCTGCTCTCTCTGTAGCTTCATTAATTTCAATTTCTTTTACTTCCAACTCTTTCTTTAAAATATCAACACTGGCTGCTGCCTCCACTAATTTCGAAAGTCCAGTTGTCATTCTAACAATTAAATTCAATGTAAGTTTATCGTGTTGAATTGACCATATAAAAACAATTATTCGATTATAATACTTACCAAGCAAATATTATTGAGTAAAAACATAAATAATAAAAAAAAAACAGCAACACTTTTGTACTACTTTGCTGGACATAAAATATTTAGTTTTTGGATGTAGCACCACATTTCTTGATAGTAGACAAGTACTTACTTTTGCGCCATTTCTGCGATGTATGTGTGTTTAGATTTGTACAAAGATTTGTAGCCTTCCAAAAAGGATAGATAAGATTTAGGAGTAACGTGTGCTTGTCTCCTAAATCGTTCGTGATAAATAACGCAAGTGTCTGCAACATTGTCCTGCACGATGCCCATCATTTCTATTAACTCATGTTTTGTTCCCGTCGAACAAACCACCTGAAAATTAAGTTTCTTTTTTGTGTAATAGGAGGTAAACGAGCAGAGGGATCACCTGATCCGTCGTAGCGTAGGTAGTAAGCGATTAGTGCCGCCCATGGACACCCGCAACACCAGAGGAGGTCACAGGTGCATTGCCGGCCTTTTAAAAAGGAATACGCTCTTTTCTTGGGGGTATTAATTTTCTTTTTGTTTTCTTGTCAGTTTTTATTTATGAAAGTAAAATAAATCATGATTTTTAAACTCTTAAAAGTAACATCTCCCAAACCTCGAACTCCCACAGAAAGTGGTGAGCTACTTCTATTAGAGCTTCTTTGGGCCATTTCTGAAACCAGTCCATCGTAGACCCTGATTTCAGGCCAGGAAATTTCAAAGCTCTACTTCTGAACTTTTCACCAACCTGAAACAGGAGTATGTAGTGGATTTTAGAGTATTTTATAACATCTTTTTTGTAGTAATGTGTACCTATCTATTTTTTTATGAATAACAACTTCTAATTAATAAATTAAAAAAAGCAATTTGTTATTAGGTACCGGTGAAAAACATAAAACGACATGTAAATTCGCTCTTGACCGCATGATAAAGTACTCATACAACACATCTGGAACCGGGACCCTTCGAGGAGCCAACTTCTTCATTATCGGTTGCAACTCGTTCAAGATCTCATCTACAAATCCATCAGACGTATTATTAATGTAGGTCATGGAACGGTAAATGACTACAAATTGAATTAAAATGGTTTAATAAATCTTTTGATCAGTTTAGCTCACATCAACTGTGTCTGCAATAGAAGGGATACAAAATATTACACAGAAAATTACCCATTTCGTCCTTAGGGAAAAGATTCGCAATTTCTCCTGAGCTCAGGATATTATTGAGGAACTCTAAGAACTGCTCATCTTTGATGTCGTTGTCAGTAAATATGAAGGAGATGCCGCGTCCCTGCAGACCGGCTACGCGGTACAACACTTTTATATCGTCCATAAAGTTGTTCACATTGTAAGATCTGTATCAGATTAATAACAAAACTCAGAAGTCCAACACAATAGACAATAAATTATTTCCAAGTATTCAAAATGAATAAACAAAATTTATTACTACCTTGACAATGTAATCTGATAGAACGTGTAGTTAGCTATAAACGATGCCAGTTTAGTCAAACTTTGTTTTCCGGAACCGCCAACGCCGACAAGCATTGCGTTGCCTCTGCACAAAATAAGTGACACTAAGTATAATGAAATTTTAAACACTCACATACATCACACGTAACTTACCGTGGAGTATTAATGATGCGTGATATGATAAAGAGATGAACCATCGCATCGTGGAAGAACACCAAGTCCAGGTGCGCTCCTCTGATCTGTTCGTTGAACAGGTCTTGGAAACCTACGAGCTTATTCAGCACGAACTCCCACCTGGAAATGTGTGATTGAAGAATAGACGCTAGATAAGCTTTCCGAGAAAAAATGTCTTAAAGTATTATTTCGACATACGAAGGTAGTTCCTCATAAATTTTAGGTGCGTCTAGACTGAAGTCTTCATCCTCCTCGCCGGTTGGGTCTATAGGTTCACGTAGGAAGTTAACAAAATACGTTTCTTCACTAGGGAACTCACTGACATAGTCGCTCAGCTCTTGAGTTGCTGTTGCCCAAAAATTCGTTACAAACCAATGTTTATCCTTAACCGTAGTGAATCTGAGGAAACCAGAAAAAGTTCTTCTATAACATTTATTTAAATGTTTTCTTCTAGTAACCTATTTTAACCCGTGTAGATATACGCGAGACACAATTTTTTTTGCCGACAGATAAGAGGTCAATGTTACATACAATGCAGTACAGACCTGTCAGAAATTACCCTCAAACACTCATGGAACCATAGTTTTAGAGCCATATTAACTGATTGAAGCTCTTCTCTCTTTATGGTTAGTATTCCTTCCCAGATCCGAGACAAATCTCTCAAATTGAATACATAGTGGAATTTTGCAGGAGTTGGTAACATTTTCACCTGCATCGTGAAAATGGAAATTATTTGATGCTACTGTGATATTAATTTATTTCTAATACATAGATAGAAAGTAAATACTTTAGTTTGTTGCCAAATAATCCGAGTAACCGGCACTAGTTTCGGCATAAACGCCACAATTATTTTATCAAAACGGGATTTGCAAAAATATCCAGAGCTAATTGTTTCTGAAATGTGGAAAAGACATTAAATAGTTAGACAGACACTTCAAAAACATTAAACGATTAAGTATAAATAAAGACTATTTTACACAAAAGTAGTATTCAAAATGTAGATACCGAAAATCTTGTCCATAGAAACATTGCTTGGTAGGGTGCAGTTAAATATGTTAAACTGTCTCTTAAGTCGTGGGGGAATGTCATTTCGACCCCCACCTGTAACAATACAAATGGTTGCTGATCTTAGAATAACGTTAAATGTGTCAAATATGGTAGATAATTTGTAATGGCTAATTATCTACCATTTTGAAGTTTCAAAAGTACCTAATTAAGTATTTTGAAATAATGATGGGCCGATGTGTCGACTGGCGGTAATTAATGATTCGGCTTACGAAGAAGCACGTCTGCTCAAAAGCAACCTATTAACTCGCGCCTTGAAGACACCCAGGTTATACCCTTCAGGAAACACAATTTATAACAAAGAGTTCCACTGCTGAAGCGAAGAGTTTCGTGCGAGTGGGTCTGATATCCACCGTTATTACTACTGTAACAGATATTTATACTGACCAGGTTGCATCATAGCACCAAATATCTGGATATCAGCAATGACTGTGAAATCTCCAGGTTTGTCTAGCGAGTAGAAACCCCCACATTCCATCATTTGTCGAACGATTTCATTAGTTACCTGAAATTATCGTTTATTTTTATACTCGATTGAAACTGGTTTGCAAAATTATTTAAAGTTAGTACCAATAATTTGTGTATTAATTTGATTTGTGAATTCAAATTGTTAATAATGTACCTGATCACCCCACTCATTAACTACAGGCATATTTATATCGTCTATGAACACTGTCATAGCTCGGCCACCCGGGGGCCCGTATGTCATACCCACTCTCTTCTCCACGTACGATTCAATTATTCTCTAAAAACAAGCAAATGTCTTTAAAATTAGCTTAGAATTAAATAATGTACCGAATAAGGGATCTGTTGGCAAGATATCGATATTTATAAACTTACTTGATACATATTAGGTGTCGTTGCGTACGAGAAGTTTACCACCTTAAATAACTTCACCTCGTTATCGTATTTAGACATGTAACCCTTTAACATGACCGTTTTGGCAGTGCCTTCTTCACCAATCAAAAGCACTGCTTTGTTCTGACTGGCAATGGTATCAATCAAAAACGTAATGCACACATTATCCACGTTCGGTACCAAGATTGAAGCGTACTCCGGTATACTATCCGGTGGGTATATATAGTTCTCTACACTCTCAGACCTGGCAAAAATCAAAATACCTTATTTTCTAAAACTCTACAAATTAATGGGTACTAAATATTATGACTTCATACCAGTGCTCCCAACCACCACTAGCATTAACCATATAGTCAAAAGGCATGATCCATTCTTTGGATTTTCCGCCTGGCCAGTCCATTTTCACAGGTAACTTAGTCATGAATTCTGCCATACGGGTTCGCATGTCTAATTCCAGAACAGCACCCAGTGACCACATCATCGCGAATATGAACAAGCGTTCAAGATGACGATCCGTGGGAGCCTCTGTAAATTGGTCGGGAATGATGATTGTAGTTTAGCTTTGCACGATAAAATAAAAAATAATGCAACTAGGGTAATAAGTACTCACTGCCACCGGGTAGTTCGATGAGCAGTAATCCTGACAGTACGTCAATGCATTGTCTAAAATGATGTAACATTATAATTAGCCACGATCACTGCTTAACAATTTCGAATAAGTGGTAAACGTTATACCTTATATAAATAGCTTCCAGAAGTTTCATTTTAACAGTAAGTTTAGTTTGTACAAAATCATGAACTTCTCCATAAATTTTATTAAAAGCTTTACGCAGAACCTCACTTTGTCGTGGTTCGAGTGTCTTCAGCCAACGCTGTTATTGAATAAACAAAATTTTATTAATACCCATTAAACTAAAAAAACTAATTAAGCTATTAGGTCACAAAAATCGTCACCTCCACTATAGGTTTCCATTTAAGAACTGAAGACGACAAGAACACCATGCCCATCCGACTGACAGTAGCAGGCGATGCGTTGTCCACGTTATCTGGTTCAAACACCAGCTTACTATTCTGTGCCATAGTAATGCGGTCTCCGTTGGCTAAAGTCAACGTCTTATTGTCATCGAGCACGGAATTCAAATTCTCAATCCACACAGCGTCCACCGGACCATCTGACAGAGTACTTAGTAAGTAACCACTTTACAAATGAATAGTCCTGTTGTAAGTTGTATTTGTTAACTTTATAAATAAACAAGTAGATACCTAAAACAATCCACGTTGTGTCGGTTTTCTTCACCTTCAGAGCTCTTCGCCACAGTATAGAGAATATACCATCAGTCCAATCATTCGTGGCCACGTCTAAACGTCCAAACATTTGAGGTGCGGTGATTGCCTAAATATCAACAAATATTTACCCACTAAGTAATTATATTTTCAAATATTAATGAACTTTTACAATATGCAACTCTCAAAGTACCTTTGGATTCATTCTCATTTCTCTATGCGGTTTGCCAATTTCAGTGAGAGCCGCCATAAGTGTATGTATGCAAGTAGTCTTGCCCGAACCGGTCGGGCCCATCGTCATCAATCCATGTCTCACTAGCGATGTTTCGTATAACTGAATAATTTTCAAGTTCCAATCCGGATGATTTACAAGCCCATTGCCTTGAGTTACCACACTTATAGCGTTTTGAATAACCCTTAAAAAAAGGACGATATCGTATATACGTTAACATTAGTAACAAGGTAATTACTGAGCACTAACGTCAATCAATCTGTTTTGCTTTAAAGTTTAATGAATCACAAAATAATTAGTTAGAATTAGTTTTAGCATATTAACACACCTTTGTACTGTTTGGGTAAATTTCATACCAGGGAACAAATCTTCGATCAATGAAATAAATAAAGGTTCATCCTCGTCTACTAATTTAGACACGTTCATTTCCCTGAAAAGCATATTTTTATTGCGTTGAATATCGCTAAGAGATTTAGGAGCAAATACTAAATAACGAAAACAGTAGTCACTTACTTCAACACTCTCATCATAATGTTCTCCTCAGTGCTATCTGGATTCGCTCGTTTCTGCGCGCCCATAGTTCGCAACACGGACAGAATGTTCCGCAACCCGAAGTCGTAGTGCACCTGCTTCGACAACTGCTCCTCGCACAATTTGTACAATGTAAAGAACTTACGAGCTGTAATGTTATTGATAAAGTTCTCACCAATTTCCTTACCGATTTGTCCTACCGTGTCATTGGGAAGTACTATTTCAAGTAAGAGCTTACCTAAGACAATGTTATCCTTAAAACCACAACTGGCTAACTTGACTCTGATAATAATTTGCCTGTCTGGAACCATCATTGCAACTGAGCGAAACTGAATCTTCAAGTTTTCCGGTAGCTCTTGACGTCCAGCGTAGCCCGGGTTCATGGTAATGATGAAAGCGAATTCGGGATTTAAACTCACTGTGTCCCCATCACTGAGGGATTATAAGAATGAAAGATCTGCGGGTGTAGCAGAACTATTTCATTTCATAAGGTATGTAAATAAATGCAGACTTTATACCTGAAAATGAAGAAGTCTCGCTTCTCTCTCCTGGCTGTGAGACAAATGTATATCTGCTGCGCAGCCACGGACAGTACAGGTAATTCGATTCGATTGAACTCGTCGAAGCAGCCCCATGTGCCTGACTGAGCCAGGCCTTTGTAAATGCGACCCAAACCTGAAAACCAACGTCGATAGAAATAATCATATTTTACATAATAGGTATACGCCTAATAAATATTTTTTTTATATTAATATGTCACCTCGGAAGTCCATCTGGTCGGAGCAGTTGAAGACAATGACTAGCTTGCCAAGCGTACGACCCATGTCTTTAGTGGTTTCGGTCTTACCAGTGCCAGCGGGCCCGGCGGGTGCACCTCCCATGCTCATACCTATGGCCTGTGATAGCGTAATGTAACACCGATCTGTCAGCGGTGTTATCACAAGTCTCTCAGTTATGCCCAGGTACTCATTCTGCGAAGAAATAAATAAGTAAGCACTATATTTCTATGTAAACTAGACCTAAAAATTGCGAGCACTTGCCTGATATAAGAAATTCACATCAGTAATTGATACAATGACATCATCCGAGTCCTCGTGATAGTAAAACCGTGCCTGCTTCTGCCATTCAAAGTCGATTGGCGATTTTATTCTCATTCGTACAAGGTCATCAAAAATATCTCTGTTGGTACAGTCGAGAAATTCAATAATACCTCTGCTTAATTCTTAATTAAACAAGGAAGTGACTTATACCATTAAAGCGACTTGCCTCTGATGTACATGGATGGTGATCATAGTTTCAATTTGTGTTCTGTCTAAAGGAACTAGTTCCTTTACTGTCTGATCAATAAGTCCATTAAGAAGATCTAAGAACTTCTGGTTGGTGAAACGCATAACAAATCGATCTACCCTAGATTTCTTTAAGGCGTACTCAGCGTCACTAGTCCAAAGGATTTGCATTCCCAACAACCCAGCCTAAAACGAAAAAAATTAAGGCATGAGAATTTAAAAGCAATTTATTATTTAGCATTTATTTTACTATACTTAAATATATTAAAATAGATTCTGCACCTGTCCAGGGAAGTTCCAAAATCCGACTAAAAATTCGAATTCCGGGTCTCCAGCCATCGTTTGCGCAATGTTAGCAATTACATTTCTGACAGTTTCTTTCATCATGTCTAAAAGCGTATTTAACCAATTCTGCAAATTAAGTAAACGTGTATATAATACTAAGTAGTATCTATGTGATAGGGATATATTTAATGATTCTGAAAATAGTTTTACCTCTACACCTCCCAAACAAGCCACAGGTTTCTCAAGAGGAATAGTTTCTCCGTTATCCGAGTTGATATTTATAATATTCTCTTTATCATCGAAGTCGACTGTGTATATGGCATCGAAAATACTTGGTAGATGCGGCTAGAACATTTCCTTATTAAAGTCTTATGTCAAGCTAGGCAAAGTAAATCATACAATCCAAACTCACCTGTATGGAAACGGGATCCGAAGCCTGTCCAAGAATTTCAAGTAGCACTGGATCTGATACGAAGAAAAACCTGGGGAAGATAAGACGCTTGGTCTCTAGGTAGCCCGTGAGCGACTTCTGGCAAGCCTCCAGCTGCTCGTACAGGTGCGGCAGCAGCTGCTTCAGCGTGTCGTCGGAGGTGCATGTCTCCACACAGTTCACTATGTCTCGCGCGCGATACATTATTTTCACATAGGTCTTGTCGATATTCTGTGGAATAATTAAAGATCCAAAAACATAAAAATTTTACTCCAATTATAATTGATTAAAATTGAGTATCTAGGTATAATTAATTTCATTTAGTAAAATATTTATTTAAAAACATACTGTAAATCGTTTAGCTTCCGCTGGCAGTTGTTTCGCAATATCTCCTCCAACGAATACAGCTTCTAAATACATCCACAAGTTTTGAACTTGAAGCCACTTCTCTAAGATCTCACTAGTGTTTACGAGTTTGTTGATCCATAGCAAAATATCTTTCTTGAATGGTGGATTGTATCTGTATGTGTGATATAAAATATTAACTATTTTTTCCGGATAGCTACATTCTAAGGGCAAGTAGAGTTTAATGCTAGTAACGTACCTATTAGAAGCTAATGAATTGAGAATCATTAACGAATCCTCAAGCAATGTAATATTATCAAACGTCTCTTGAGGTTTAATCAAAAGTTCGCCTCTGTTCTTAAAGTTAGCAAACGATAGATCAATAACTGCCCAGTCTGCACTTATCTGTTTCAGTTTAGCGTCGATATCCTTTTCTTTTACGGCACTTATGCAAATATCCTGAGAAAAAATTATAGATGAAAGGTACTGTTTCACATACTCTAAACAGCATTTTAAAAGCGTTTTATTAAGCATGCTTAAAAAATTCAAAAATCAGACGCCTATTCGCAAGCATGCCTGAAATGAGCATGGTAATACTTAGCAATATTTCGACATAATCTTGCTACTGAGTGACAAGTGATAATTAAAGCATGTTTTCGTGCTTGAAATTAGCACGTGTAGCAGTACCTATATGCACAAACATAATTATAATTTATTTGAGAGTCAAGTAGCTCCAAATAAAATTTAAGTAATTCAAAAAACAAAGTTTTGCTCCTTCATGCTTCAAATAGTTAAATATTATTTTTAACTAAAAATTATCTGCAAACTTAATAATAACTTCAACATCCTCCTTATACTGCAGAAGCGGTGCCTCCATTACGTTTGCCAGGGTAAATGATGGAGACTCCACATCCAGCACACAGTCTGAAATATAAATACACATCACACAATATCATAGCAATCAAAAATCTGAAGAACAGTAAAGCTTTAAAAAAATATTTTATTACGAAGCAGTTCTTCCAGTCTCTTCCAATGTCGTTCCTTCATGGATCTGTCAGCCATCAGCTCCAATAGTGGACATGTTTGGTTAAAATCGTCAATTTTATTCTTCAATACTATATACGCTGGCCAGTCTTTCATACCTCTTGGTAATCTTCGACATCTAGGGATACATAATATTATTTGAGTATAACTACAAATACAACGACAGGACCTTTGATCTTTTGTTATCTTACCTGACATCAAATTCAGCCAACTGAGCAACAATTTGTTCAATGTCGATGTCCACCCATGGAGTTTCATAATAACCATCAATAGAATGAGTTACAGCTAAATATAAACTATACCTATAACAAAAATAGTAATACGAAAACGGTCCATTATAATCCCATCACGCAGTATTTTTATTTAGTAGTTAAAAATTGAATTCACTTACAACTTGTTCAGTAAATTAAATTCTTTTTTCTTTTCATGTAATATCGGATAGTCTTTCACTTCCATACCAAATAATTTTTCGCCGCTGGAGTACATTTCAAATCTTCTCCATAAGTCATCAAATCGTGATTGAAACAGGATAACCCTTTAGAAATGTTCATTAGTACTATAATAGTTATTATTATCAAATGAGGCCTAATCCCCAAAACCCCAATAATCCTCAAATTTCTAATACCCAAAAGGCCGGTGACGCACTTGTAACACCTCTCGTGTTTCGGGTGTCCATGGGCAGCGCCGATTACTTACCATCGGGTGATCCATCTGCTCGGCTGCTTTATCGGCTTATTCCATAAATAAATCAAAGACTATCTTAAGATATTCTCGACTAAAATGAAAAATAAAAATAATGTTACTCAAATCCAAAAATTCTTTTTCGTAAGATCTATGTCTACCTGTCACTGGCTTCTCGAGCAGGCAGGCCAGGTACCATGGGTCCCATGGCATCATAGTCAGTGTCAAACTTGAGTACATCGTTTGCAAAACTCGCTACTCCCTCAGTCAACTCAGTCAAGAGTGGCTTTTGCATGTCCACTATCTTCTGTTGCACTTGTTGTGCCTACAAAAAATATCAAAGGAGATCAGACGCATAACTGCGAAATTTTGTCAAGTGGATTTAAACGTAAGCGTACGTCTTGAGTAATGAATGTTATAGTGGTACAACAGAAAAGATACTCTATCTTTTTAATAAAAAACGTAGGTGAAGGTCTTATAATAGAAAAGAACTGAATTAAATAGATAAAATTGATGAAGCATTAAGTCATAGGTACCCACTGTTGCTAACATATTGAGAAAAGAATGTCTTAAGCCGTACACCATGTCAGCGTCTTCTTTAGGAATCTGGATCTGGTACTGCGCAAATATAGCGTAACTTTCTTCTATGACGTCTAATGCCATATCCATACTGTGACAATAATGCTTAACTTTAATATTCATTCCCTACAAAGATACCCTTATTTTCTGAGTACCCTAGTTTACACGATACTTGTAGCAGGTTGGAAATTAATTGTACAATACTCTGTTTATAAAATAATAGTTAATTCTTACTTAATAAATTCTTCTCTAATGAGCTTCAGGCACATCATAGCCACTCTGACGTCATCTAAATCCTTAATCTTCTTGTTCATAGTTTTCATACGGTCGCGTATAAATTGCATCAGCTTCTCAACTCGGTCTTTATATGCGTTACCTAATAATTTACCCAAAATTCTCTTCCACTCAACAGATTCCAAATGTAATGCCAGTTTTATACGTTCTGAAACGGATAGATAAATATTGGTTCTGATAACAACTATGTATAAGCCAAAATGTCTTTCTCATTGTAATTACCCATATTAATTTGTATTGATCCAATAACATGCCGTTCAGGCAAATTTACTACTTCTTCAGTCTGTGCATCAAACTTACAAAACATATCCTTGATTTGTACATTCAGAGGCTCCAAGTTAACAAATGCTTGAAGTTGCTGTACCCGGTCTTCAGCCCATAAATAAGAAAATTTTTCGTATTCCTATATAAAAGTCGTAGTATGAGTTTATTTTAATACAAATTAACGCTATATTCAATTTCAGACTATACCTTTAGCCGTTTTTCTATATCCAATTTATACATGTACATCATCCCTTGCAACGCCATCACCGACCTGACGATGTCTTTGTGCTCGGAAACCATTCGGAAGTAGTTTCTCACACCACCGAGATTGGAAATAGACCGAGAATTGCTCACTACGAATCACAAGCAACTATAAGACCAAATGTGTGTGATAGAGATAATTATTTATGTAAAATATGACATACTTTGCACCAATGTCCCAGCCAATTCTTCCTTCTTTATTTGTTCTTGTTGTCCCCACATAAACACATTCCGGTGAATATCCATTATACAATTTAATACTACCTAAAAACCAAACGTACAGCGTTCTTTACTATTAATTTTCCTTTAGGGGCCAATCTTATATTATTATATAAAGCGGAAGAGTTTTTTTTGTTTGTTTCAACGCGCTAATCTCCGTAACTACATGTCTGATTTGAATAATTCTTTTTGTGTCGTATAGCGCATTTATCGAGGATGGCGGCTATAAAACATCACGCTACGACCAATAGGAGCTGAGCAGAGCGTGTGAAACCGCGCGGAAGTAGCTAGTAATAAATATTTTAAATGTTTCACCTGAGAAAAAGAGGTTTGTATTTGCTCTAAAGTAGGTTCGATTAGTATTCTTGGAATTTTCAACTGCATGTGTGTCAACATCAGGGGTCTAAGTTTTTTAATTTCAACTGGATCCGTTGTCATTGTTAGAAAGCTGTAAAGATTTTCAGACAATACCAAACAAAGAGTATAATATGTAACATTATTATTAACTTCTGAACAGTCCTAAATATTGACCAAATTACCAAAATAATCTAATAAGAGTTAACGTAACAAATCTTTTGTTATATAATATTTCAACTAACTACTATACATATGTACGTAACTAGTAAATTAAATTAATGATTCTTCTAACCTAGAAACTGAAGCTCGCCGTCTGAGCATATCCAGACTGTGTCTTGTGCATTTAATAAGTGCATCCAAACACTTAGTAGCAAAGTAAGCGAACAATTCGTTACATTCGTTTATAGTGTGTGTCACGTCATATTCGTCAATGTTATCTATTTCTATGAATGCTAAAACATAAAAACATATTAGTAAACAAACAATTTGGTTTTCAAAAATAAGCAGTCAAGGCTACCTGCATCATCAGGAAACACTCTAGTTGCCGATGTAACTTGCTTCAAGACTTTATCGAAATCCAACCTTTATAAAAGAAAAATAATGGTTATTATATAAACGTTTTAAGTTAATTGTAAAAGGAAATTGTATTCCATAATATTTAGGTACCAATTATCTTTTAGGTTCTGTATTTCCTTACAAGGAACGCTGTCCAAAAACTTGTGTATAAGTTCGATGACAGCAATTTCAGCATTCCATGATTTTAGTTGAATGTCTGTTGCTGTTAAATCAAATCAATATTGAGTAACAGAGAGTATAAAAAACTAAAAATACAAAACAACGTGAGTGTTTACAGTATACTTACTAATTTCATCGCGTCTTAAAAGGTTCTCTAAATAAAGAGTGTTAGGATCGACGGCACTTTCAGGTAAATAAACAAGCATTGTTTGTGTTATTGATAGCAGAATAGCATCAATACGAGCTTCTTTTATATCTACCACCTGTAATTGTACCATTAAAACCTTAACCAACGTTATTTTTTTACACTCAATATCAAGCCATATGTTAAAGTACAAATTAGGTACATTTTGTGTTACTATTTCATTTGATTAGAAGAATTAAAATATATGATTAACAAAGTTAACATAATAATTCTATTTCTCAATTACAGTCGTAATTTAGTGATTAAACATTCTAACAATACATAACAATAAGTAACCTCCTTGACAAACAAATCAACTTCGTCTAGAACTGCTTCAATGCTCTCACAATATGCTTCTATTTTCAGAGATGTCCACGTTATCGTCGACAAACCAGGTTGAAATGCTTTCTCTAACTTTATCAATTGCGCTCGTAGTAGCGGCAAATATAATTTTGGCATACTCCTGTATACGTTAAAAAGAAATTTTTGTATGAATTAGATTACAATGTCCAATAAGCTACTATTAGAAAAAAAATGAGGATTGCAGCTGTAATTACCTTCTAATTTGATTGCTTCTTTCTACCAGATGTGTCATTTTTTCAAAGTTTCCTAGGATCTTACTTTTGCAAATTGCGATTATCTGCGCACCATCGGGGACACCTGTAATAAAGCAGTACACATTGAAAAAACAGAATATCTACGAATAAACTTTACAATAAGCAGGCCTTAAATTAAGCTTACGAAGTCCCAACTGCCACATGTATTCAACCTCTCTTATACACTCCGGAATGAACATACTAAAGTTCACGATGTACAAATTCGTTTTAGGATGCCGCATCAAAATAGGAGCAATCAATCCAAGTCGCACCTGTCATTAAACAATAGATACAACATAACATTATAACCTGTTTATAAACTCTCATTAAATTATAATATCTTTCAAGTCACCCACCTGTCTCACGTTCTCCCTCCAAGCATAATGATAAATCAATTCATATTCTGTGAACACTATGGTCATTACGTTGTGCAACTTTATACATCGTTGCGTATTCTGTAAATATAGGTATTTATAAGTCAATTTTCTGCATTTTACATATTATTATTATTATGTACATCTATCAATAACAGTAGCCAAATTCCTCAGGTGTAACTATACTACCGCATGTGTGATAACATCATGATGTTCCTTCAATATCTTCATCGGCAATTTAATAGTTTTGTGATAAAATCTTGTCCACATTAGTCGCCCCGCCACTGGAGGCATATTCCTCGGTAGCTCTGGCTGGTCTCTTGCTTCGTTGTACCTTAATAATTAGTTTAAAATATAAGATGAAACATGAACCATATTACGTTTATTAGTAGTTTAAATAATTGAGAACTTCCCTCTTACTTCCGTCGACAAAAAAAGAAGTAGTTACATTATTAAGCAGTATCACTTAATTCCTCCTCAATTTCACATAGGTACATACCCGTCTCTTATAGTCTCAATCTCATTCGTGTACATCTTAATGAGGTCGAAATATTGATCGTCTAAATAAAGACAGTCTAACTGTAACTTCTCAAATCGCTTGAGAATATTTAATGCTGTCTCGGTTGTTGGGCACTTCTGAACACTCTGTGAAACATTGTAAATTAGTAATTAATTTTCAAAACAAAGTATAATTCAACTACATAAACCAACCTATGTTATCTTTTGTTCTAAAAAGATGTTTTGTAGCTTCTGTCGACAACTAGATTACGAAATAGACAAACTAAAGTACTCAACGGTTACTCAATCTATATTTCAATAAATAACTACCGAAATCATAAAGTTTTCTAGTAGCATCTCCTGGTTGGCTGCTGCCTCCATATAAATTTTGTAGTCTTTATCGAAATCTGGTCGCCTAAACATGAAATAAAATACTTATAAGTATTCTACACAACGTTTTACTACATATTTAATTATATTTTACTATAATGAATGGTTGTTCGACCTGTGATCCAAAGCATCATAAGTTTTTGTCGAGATAGTTTTAAACAGTTTATTGAATGCAGCAGCATGTTCCTCAATGCCCTCCAATGTTGATTTATTCAGAACATAATACTTGATATATTTTTCAAAGAGGTCTATGATCTAGAAAGCACTCTCAAAAACTCAATCCAAAACTCTACATGGTTAAATAAATTATTTGCACTATACAAGTAGGTAGGCCTTTACCTTGACTAGTCTTTTTTTGAAAGTCTCGAACTTGCCAAATATGTGCATTTCAGAACAATCAAATGGCCTCTCAGAGGCTGCTTCCAACATTTCTTTCTCATTCTCATCGTAACAATCACGGTAAAATTGATAAAGACTCAAACAATACTGAAATATAAAGAATAACTTAATTAACCTCTTATCTGCCGGTATTTGAGACACATTAAACACAATAGAAAACACGTTGTGTCTCGCGTAGATGGTGCGTTCCATACCACGATTAAACCGTTAAACAAAATCCTTCCAATCGAATAAATTAGAAATGGAACTTTCTGTCGATATTAATTGGACTGGTCCTCATGGTAAAGGAGATTAGTTGGATCAATTCTTAAGCTAAAAGGGCTCTGATTAGTTTAATAATTTTATTAAAACATTCCTATAGATATTTATAAAAATACTAACTTTAGCTTTATCCATGAAAACATGTTTATCTTGATTCCAAATAGTCTTTTTGCCGTTTTTTGTTAGAAAATTCATACACATGTTAAGTATTTGATTGGTGACTTTGACGAGCAATGTAGATATCTGTTCTGTTGTGTTGTAATATCGGGAGGTCGCGTACATCATGCGAATATTGTATATCAATGATGGAATGAAATCTTGCATTGTGTAAGGATCACACCTGTGGTAAACATTCTTGATTTAATAAAATGGAGCCCAATTATAGAATATTTTCCTGTATTGTGGTGGGTGCAGCATTTATCACAACTAAACTCAGAACAATAAAGAGGTGAGCGTGCGAAAATCGTGCGAAAATTGAACCCGCCGCGCTAATTACCTAGCCCCAACTAACTACACAGTCATAATAATTTAGTCAACATGATGTGTATTGAGTGATTACAATAACGAGTAAATAATATGTTTTAATATGAGGTTCTTGTTATCAACCGAATTAAGCTCAATATAATTATGTTTTTGGAATTATACATTGTTAATACAAGGAATGTATTACCTGTACAGAGGTTCGCAAAATTTCTCTAACGCGTACAAATACCTTACATTGTCAAAAGCTTCATTGTAGTAATCAGTTACTTTATTATCTAGTTGTCTCCATTTCTGAAAATAAATTGGAGATTTTAGTACAAACAATTTAGAGTTATCCTGCGGCTTTAAGTTTCAAATTCGGGAAGAAATAAAAATACAATAAAATACTAACCTTAAGCAGTTTGGATTTTGCTGTTATTAGCGTGTGTATGTACATCATGGCTGGCTCACTCTTGATGTGCTCAATTATTGATGTGAAAGTTGTGAGCTGCCGTCGCCAGTGATCCAGCTCAGCCAGGGGGCCAATGTTTGACGACTCACGACGTAATTGTTGGCTTTGCACTAAAACCTATTCATTAAAAGAATGTTACTGTATAAGTACACGTTTTTTATGAGGGGGGGAAATCATCGAATGACTTCTCCCGCCCGGGCGAGGCGAGAGGGAGTGTCAGACTGTTACTGACTAAAAACCACCCCGTTCCTACTCCTACACTTCGAACCGGAGCCTTGGCAACCCGTTATGCTCTCCGTTGCTTCGTATTCGGCATCAGCCCTATTGGCCGTACGCCCCGAACGTGCTCGCCGTCCGCAGGCCCGTGCTTATGGTGGCCGGAGATCATCTCGCGATCCCCGATGTCCGGAGTGTCTCTCGCGACGGCTAGAGCGTGTGGAGGTTCGTTCCCTCACACACCCCGCCTTCTCCTTAGCTAGCATGACTGCTTCTCAGAAGAAAGGGACAGCATCCCAGGGGACACCGCCACCATATGCTCCACCGTATCCTCCGGGCGGTCCTCGCAGTGATGACGCCCGGGCGTTTACTCTCGCCCAATCCGAAACAGGAACCTACCAAAACTTCTGTGCCCGATAAGCACTTGCGTCAAACAGTAGGTGAGGACGCCGTAACGTCTCTCAAGCCACTCCTCAAGTAGGTTCGCCCCGGCGACGTGCCTCTGCGCGCAAACAAAAGTCGCGCGCGAGCACCTTCGCCTCCAGATCCCACGGCGATAATCCGGCAATATCAGTACACGCTATAAGTAATTGCTACGACTGCTACAAGCAACGGTGACTACGCGGTGACTACGTGGGTATGCGGTGAGTTCGTGGGTATGCGGTAACTACACGGGTACGCGCTGATTGTGCAGCTACGCGCTGATTACGTGACTACGTGCTAACTACGCGGCTACGTGTACTAGCAACTACGCAATTGCTATAGGCCGGCAACACAAGGTGCAGCAAAGTCTAGTATAAAATCAAATAAATTCTCTACCATTGTTATTTGCCGGATCCATTGCTTCACATAAGCGCAAATTTCCTCCAAAACGTGTGTTTTAGTCACCGCTAAATTCATATTTTCAAAACTAGATAACTCTGTCTCATATAATGAATAGTTTACTTTGAATCTTGTACAGCAATCCAGATCTATTTTAGTTTCTGAACAAATTGATAAATTGGTTAACAAGTCAAAAGTAAACGTTGCTTAGCAAAATTTGAGATACCTACTTGACTTATAATATCTTAAGATTTATTTCCGCTTAGGGAACCAACACAGTTGTTCATGTCTCTGGGAGGCGTTATAATTCTATGGTTGCTATATTGTATGCGTAGATATTGTAAGAACTCCTTCATCTACTTAAAACTTGGTGTTATTAATATCATACTAACGTTCAAGATAATCGACGAACATCATTATCTTTGAAATGTAAGACTTGATGATCTCCTGGCTTTTAGGATTCGGAGGGTTAAGACGTCCCCAACCTTGGCAAGCCTGTAGAGCAGGAATGTAAGCACGTTTCATGATCTTGAATATACTTGAAACAACATTCTCAGTCTCTTGATTTATATCGAGTAACATATAAAAGTATTGCTGAAATTGTTATAACACATTGGATTACTATTGTTTATTACAGCAATGTAATTACATTTACGTACGTATTATGTAGGTATCTTACATCTGCCACGTTCCGAGCATCGATAGCGTAACTTTTCAACCTGTAAATTGCCACGCACTTGCCTTGAACACCAATTTTCGATAAATCGGATATGTACGTCCTTTCCATGCAGCCTTTCTGATTGGGAACAAATCTCCCAGATTCTGCAAGAACACGCATATAATGTATACAGATTTGAATTTTGCTATGTTCTAATAAAATAAGAAGCGATAAAAATAAGAGTTAGGTATAACCCATTGGCATAGCAGGCAGTAGCGCATCACACAGAACGATACAATATGGACCGCCCTCGTCGACCGCCAAATGTAACAGTTCTATATTAATTTCTGCGTCATAAACACCCTCCTGTAATACAATTATTTAATTGTTTACCATGATTCTATGATCATTCTATGAGACCAAAAAACCTAAAAATCTGTTAATAATGTATAGTTTGTTACTTTAAAATAGTTTACTTGTTTGAGCGCGCTAATCTTCGGAACTACTGGTCTAATTTCAATCATTATTTTAAAGTTTCAATAGTACATTTATCGAGGAAGGCTGAAAGCTATAAAACATCACGAAAAGACCAATAGGAACCCAGTAGCGGGTAAAATTACGAGAGAATAGCTACTAAGAAATATTTTGGTTAGTGCAATCCTGCTTATATATTGGACACAAATGTCCAATGATGAAATCCAGTGATTTTAGACATAATTTAATAGTCCTACCATAAAAACTTGAGCCAAGCAGGTGGGTAAGTACGAATAAAAATGGAAAACGACATTTCCAATTTCATTTCTTACCAGGACATAATCAAGTGGCTTATTCAATACAATTGCTGCATTATCAAGTATAAATCTCTGCGGTGGCCTAATAGCACCAACTCTCTGGCTACGCGCTTCTTTTGCTATAGCCTACAAATAATTATGATATTTTAATAACGGGCAAATAGAATAATAAAACAATACAAATCTAATTATTCATTTTTATTTACTTGCTTGTCTTTGTAAGATTGATGGCCAAAATTTATTAAACTCATAGACTTTTTGTTTCGTTGCACCAAACTTTGTAAACGAGAGCTGACGTTCAATATAGACTCCAGAGCTGTTCTGTCAACTTGAACACTTTCTTCGTTGTATTGGTGATCATCAGATCCAGAATCTGGTTTGATCTCCTGAAAATCTGGTTGCGAATCTATTTTCACAGTTTCTTCACCATCTTTTAACGAACCATCGTCCTCTGCGTCCGCCATTTGTTCTAAGTCGTTCAAATGATTTGAAAATTAATTGTAAATAGACGTAACGATGACGAGACTGAAATCTCTAATGATGGTTTTAACAAACCTTACTAGATTATTTTTCGAATTACAAATGTACTAAGTACTTACTTATTTCGATTCTAATAATGAATTAAACTATTTTTATCCTCTTAGTAGCTAGTTAATATTTTGTAAATAAGTAGTAGGTACCTATGAACGTTGTTACCTCATAACTTTGGTAGAAACTATAAACATAGGTATAAGTAATTGATTTAAATATTATTTATTTGTTACTAGCTTTTACCCGCAGCTTCGCTCGCGTCACAAAAGGATAAAAAGCCAATGTGACATATACCAATACACACAGCGCCATCTCTACCAATACTTTTGTTTTCCTTCGGGAATATCAAATTTTTCCGGGATAAAAAGTACCCTATTATTTAATCCGGACTTCTAACTATGCATCTGCAAAAATTGAAAGCAATCGGTTAAGTAATTATGGCGTGAAAGCGGAACAAACAAACAAACAAACTCACTTTCCGATTTATTATATTATATATAGTAAGGAAGTAAGGATGAGAAAAATTTGTAAGTAAGTACTTAATCGTAAGTACCTATATAGGTAAAGTCATTTTCTCTACATAGTCTAATAAAATTAGTAAAGCAGAATACCCACGTAAGTATGTAATGATGTGTACTTACTTGTGAATTAGAAATTAGAAACACTAAAACGCATAAATATTTACAGATTTATACTTTGCAAAAAAAAATTTCGAAATACCAGTCCGATATTTTTGTTCATAATATTGAAATCTTTCTAATCACGGCCAAAGTAGGTAGGTATTGTATTTTATACGTGCATCTCTACCTACTCCTTCGGAGAATAACAGATTTTTGATATTACTTAACATGGGTAAATAACTAAATAAACGCTTCTAAGGGGGATAAGTCGCGAAGAACCTAACGGGTAACCGGGGCTCCGGCTCGACGTGCAGGAGAAGGAACGGGGTGGTTTTTAGTCAGTAAGAGTCTGACACTCGCTCCCGCCTCACCCAGGCGGGAGCAGTCATTCGATGATTTTCCCCCCTTAAAAAAAAGGGGGGGATTGCATCATTGAAATCAATAGAGTTGCTAAACGGATTTGGATGCACACTCGAAACAACTTTTTTGGAGCACATACCGACGCCTCCGTCGCGCGTTACATCAAAACGTCAAATTGAAGAAATATAATTATGTCCAACATTTTTATTTAATTATCAAGTTTTAATCTACAAATACAAGACGAACAGTAAAAAATATTTAGTACAATTTAAATCATTTTTGTTATTTCCTTTTTTTACTTTTATTTTATTTTTTAGTTTAGTTGTAGTTAATTTTCAGTTGTAAATATGTATGTAGTTATAAACAATGTAATATATTTTCGCAATAAATATTAAATCATTAAACCAATACCCCAATTCAATATTAAAAGTAATACAATAAAATAAATAAATAAGTAATTTAATATTAAATAAGTAATTTTGGAGCTTCATTTTGTTCACCTCATCGTTGTCGTTGTGGTGAAGATGTCAACAGCCTAGGACACCACGGCTTGACATGTAGCCGTAGTGCGGGCCGTTTTGCTCGACACGCAAGTATTAATGACATAATTCGTCGAGCTCTTGCCTCCGTTGGCGTGCCAGCTACTTTAGAACCTAATGTCTTGGTAGGCGACGAAGGCAAGAGACCCGACGGTATGTCATTATTCCCTTGGAAGATGGCTAGGGCTTTAGTATGGGACGCCACTTGCGTTGATACTCTGGCGCCATCCCATCTTCCTAGCTCAGCGTGTCGAGCCGGTGCTGCCGCTGCTGCTGCCGAGAACCTCAAACGGCGAAAGTATAATAGCCTGATTGGCAATTATGCTTTTGAACCGTTTGGGGTTGAAACTTTAGGGCCGTGGGGCCCAAGTGCACATCTTCTTTACAAAGATATTGTAAGGAGGATGGTTGACACTTCAGGTGATCGAAGGTCTGGCTACTACCTTGGGCAAAGGTTAAGCATTGCCATTCAACGTGGCAATGCTGCCAGTCTTTTGGGCACCCTACCTCACGGTAGCGATGAGGAAAATGTTTTCTTTGATGCCTTATGATTTATTTTTATTCTATATATTTATTTAAAATTTCTCTAAAATTACATTTTTAAATACTACAGTATAAAAAATAATATTTAAAAATATAAAAATAGGAGCCGACCAGTAGTGGGAGCATGGTCCAAGCTACCGGTGGTTAGGGCTCCAGAGACAGAAACCTCCTCACGATACGTGCCGTTTCAAGGAGAACTGCCTTCTGTATCAGGCCCTTGACCCAACTGCCTAACGCTAGCCTCCTAAGGTGGTCGTCGAGGCTATTAGGGATTAACCCATTGGCCGACACGACTATCGGCACAATGATAGCCGAATCTACATTCCACATGTCGACAACCTCGTGAGCCAAATCAAGATATTTGATTTGTTTATCTTTTTCAGCTTTCACGAGGTTCTCATCATGAGGAATAGTGATATCGATTATCATCGTGCGGCGCACTTGTCGGTCTATCACCACTATATCAGGTTTGTTGGCTATAATACCTCATTTAGGTAGTAGTAGGAGGTAGTCCTGTCAGTGATGATAGACCGGTCCCAGTACAACGTGATATGGTCATTTTCCAGAACTGGGTCGGGCACATACTTGTAGTACGGTACCTCAGACTCAACAAGTCGATAGTACAAAGCAAGTTGCTGATGGATAATCTTGGCTACTTGATTATGCCTATGCAAATATTCACTGTTATTTTTATTATTATTATTTTATTTTATTAAGGTGTAAATATTTTAGTTTTAAATTATTTTTTTATATTTTAGGTTGTATATATTATCATAAATTGTATCTTTAGTTAATAAAAAAATAATTAGGTTTAAAAAAAATTAATACTGTCAAATAGACAGCTGACAATATTGACATTGACAAAACAAACTGTGAAGAGAAAAAAAATAAACACAATAAATCAAAGCGGGAAAGTAGAAGTAAATAAAAATTTTCACTTTTTACGTATAATTAATATTTGAAATTGTAGATATAACGCACAATGCGCCGTAACTGGAGAGGACGATATCGAAATAATTGGTACCGTTCAAGAAATAATCAAAATAATAGTTCAGATAATCAGAGTTTAAATAATTCGACGAATAGTCACCGAGTACTAAGTACTGCAGGATCTTCAAGAGCTCCAGCTAATCAGATACCAACTGTTATACCCATAAATGAAACTACCAACATTTGGAAGTTATATTTTCCTACGAAAGGTTGGGAAACTGTCATTATAAAACATACATAAATGATTATACAGTGCATAAATATAAAGTAGGTACTAAAGAAATGTGTATTTCAGATCAACAACCAGATTTAGAGTTAACCAACCAAATTAGATGTTTCAAACAATTTATTGAGAAACACAAAAACTTGTTTGATTTGGAGAAGATAGACCAGACTCGCAGTGTGCCATTGGATGTCACCAACTTGTTGAATGATACAGAGTTCATTAGCAGTTGGCCTAGCTTTAATATAGAATTATTTGAATATCCAGATAAAACATTGAGGCTCCTTGAGTATTGTTTACATGAGGTAATTACAGTTTTTATTGATTGTGTAATGTGTGTAATATACTTTATTTCTATGTTCCTTTTAATGTTTATGATAAAACTTAAATTGTAGATGCTACAAAAATGAATTATTAATATTATTTACTATTTTTTGGTTTACAGACTCTCAAATGTGAATCTAAGATAAAAGTGAGAATACTAAATCACCAGCCAGTGATTCCATTAGCTAATTTAAAAGTTAATTACTTTGGTGAGTTTCTACAAAGTACTAACCCCAGTTGGTTGCCTCTGCAATCTGTCCCTCAATAGACTTTTTACTTTATGTCTCTCTTCAATAGATTTTATATCATCTCCCATCCATTGCTATACAAGGCATCTAATGTTCTGTCACAAAATAATTTCTGTTGTAGATTACCTAAATCAAAATAATTTCCCATCCAAACTTAAATAAAGTAGCTGTACAGCTAGACATTCATTTTATTCTACTTACAATTGTAGAAAATTACATAATTGTCCTTAATTTTTACTACAGGTAAACTAGTAACAATAAAGGGCACAGTCATCAGAGTTGGGAGTGTGGGGCTCATATGTACTTCTATGGCATTTGAGTGCTCTAGCTGCCACAACCTACAGGCGGTCATTCAGCCCCAGGGAGTATTCACAGGTATGTACATCTTTTTATACCGTTATTTAGAACATAAATAAATTATACACTTTATCATAATAATAATTCATGTTTAAATAATAAATGAATTGCCTGTTGGAGTGAAGGTACAAGTACCTACCATTAACACAGGTACCTCAAACTGAAACTCAAACTCAAAAGCATTTATTTCAATTAAACCATAATTTGGTACTTTTGAAACGGCAACAAATATGAAATAAATAATAGTCTGTCAGTCTGTCAGTCAGTGAAGCTAGGCGCTCGTTCCAAAATGTCGATTCGAGTGGAGAAGAACAAGCAAGAAACTCCATTCTTTTAAAAAAAAGTCTGTTTTCCACTGCTCTGATACATATTCCAATATTGTACACATATGTGAGAATAATGTAAAGACATACCTGACGCAACATACAAATAACAGAGCATACTAAAATAAAAAACAAATCCAAATATCTTAAGTCTGACATGTCAATATCAAGTCTGAAATATGCCATGACATACCATTCACCAAGGCATCATAAAAATGTTCTGGTACTTATTATATTTCTTATTACATAAATCTATACTTACATGATTACAGCACCTACATCATGCCAAAGCTGTAATGGTGGATCAAGGTTTGAACCGCTGCAATCATCTCCATTCACCAACACAACAGACTGGCAAGTTGCTAAAATACAAGAAATTCAATCACAGGTTTATATTACTTCATATTTGCTTTAATATCTTTTTTATAAGTGAGTCCTACAATGTTAGTCTGTTAACAGAGTCTGTCTGGAACTATTCCAAGAAGTGTAGAGATAGAACTTCAGGGAGATTTAGTTGGTACTGCATGTCCCGGCGATGTGCTCTCTGTCACAGGGATTGTTCAGGTTAGTAACATGTCTTATATTCCATTACACTCTTTAGTCTCTACTAATAAACACGACAAATTAATACACTGAACTGTTCTAGGTGCGTGGCGAAAGCAAAGGCGGCGAGGACGGCAAACGTGCTGCCAGACTCCTACAGCTTTACATTGAAGCTGTGTCAATACACAGCCATCGAAATCTGAGCAATCCAACTCTATCCTTTACATTGAAAGATTATTACGCCATACAGGTATTATTTATCATTATTACATGAACTTTAACTTACACAGCCCCTTCATAGGTTGAAAATAGTTTATTCTTTTTTAACAGGAAATACATGCAACAGAGGATGTGTTCCGATTACTAGTCCACTCACTCTGTCCAACAATATTTGGCCATGAGGCAGTGAAAGCAGGACTCATACTTGGTCTTATAGGTGGTACTGAACATGATAATGGACCAAGGTCCAACCCTCATGTCCTGGTTGTGGGGGATCCAGGACTTGGAAAGTCACAGTTGCTACAGGCTGCAGCTCATGCTGCTCCAAGAGGTAAATTGATTAGCAATGCAAAAAAATATACATTATATTGTGTCCAAGTGACCTAAATTACATCCAAGTGTTATTTTTTTCAGGTGTTTACGTATGCGGTGCCTCTGCATCTGCAGGCGGCCTTACTGTAGCACTAGGCCGTGAAGCAGGAGGAGACTTCGCCTTAGAAGCAGGCGCACTAGTTTTAGCCGACAAAGGCGTATGCTGTATTGATGAACTTGATAAGGTTACTCAAATTAATTACTTTAAATCAAAATTTGTTTTACAATGCATAGTTTTTTGATTAGGTATCTTATAATTTTTTTTCAAACTAATATAATATTGTTATATTGAACTAGGTGACCCGCCAAACTTCGTACCGCCTAAAATTTTGTTTTCTCACCTATTTAACCTTCGCTGGACTTCTTGAATATTTCAAGACCAAAATTATGCAAATCGGTTCAGTCGTTCTAGAGTTTTAGCGAAAAAAATATTTTTTATTTATATAGAAGATTAAATGCGAAGAATTCTTCATCATCGCGAGTTACAGCAGGCATCATGTATCACATTTCAGATGACGGCTCACCACAGCAGTTTGTTGGAAGCTATGGAACAGCGGCGTGTGAGCGTTGCGAAGGGAGGCGTGGTGTGCAGCCTGGCCGCGCGCGCCACTGTACTGGCCGCCGCCAACCCGGCTGGAGGCAGCTACAACAGGTCATGTCCGTCACCATGCTACCAAGCACGCCTTTGTTTTAACAGCGCTAGTTGATAACCACAGCTATATCATGTTATTTAGTTGATGTTATATCTTAATTTTATTTTTTCAGATCTAAAACTGTAGCAGAAAATCTAAAATTAAATTCAGCACTTCTCTCAAGATTTGATTTAGTTTTTATTCTTTTGGATCAACCTGATGAGGTAATTTAAACTGTCAAACACCAAGCGGTCACCGGTGACCGCAACCTATTGTTCTATAAATGTGTCTACAAAACCGGTATTCGACGAGTTAATTACGTTTTATTGAAAAAGCACCATTACCAACAGCCAACATAGTTTTAAATACCTATTAAAAAGTCTTTGTTTCTGTGGACATTGATTGATGATCATGATGACGCCATGTTATTAGGCCCATCTACCTACATTAATTACTATGTTTGGTCTCATCTATTAAGTCCACATTTTATTATTAGAGTTGTTATGATTGTAGAAAATGGATGCGATGCTATCGGAACACGTGCTGGCTATACACTCCGGCCATAAAGGAAAGCATACAACAAAACAGCACAGTCTAAACACAAGCATGAATACAAGTCAATGTGATAACGAAATTTCGCTCAGGTAATTTTTAATTATTTTTCAAAATATAACAGTAGTGGTGGCATTCAATTATAAGTGTAAATCGATTTGAAACCAATACCAAGGAGTTAAATAACTCTTTGATTAGGTACACTGCAATACTAAAAATTAGATAGATTTAATTTCACTACATTTACCTTTTTAGCCAAAGGCTGCGTTTAAAACCTGGTGAGGTGATCGACCATTTACCTCTAGTTCTTTTAAGAAAATACATAGCATACGCAAGAAGGTACGTCCACCCAAAACTAAGTGCCGAAGCAGCCAATGCTTTGCAAAACTTTTACTTAGAACTTCGGCACAACCATCAAGGAGGGTCTCATGACGGCACACCTATTACAACACGCCAACTTGAAGCCTGCATACGACTAACCCAGGTGAGTACCTACATGTATAGGTATTTGTGTTTAGTTATCATGAGAAATAAGATTTTACTATTTTTATTTACATCGATTCAATAAAAATTACGATATGATCGGTCTGATGTGTAGTAATACAGTATCTAAATGTAGATTTTAGTCATCCCATTTACTTTTTATAGGCTAGAGCTCGCGTCGATTTGAGAGAAGAAGCTACTGTCAAAGACGCAAACGACGTGATAAGCTTACTGAAACACAGTCTTATAGACATGTTCAGCGACGAGTTTGGAAACATACAATTATCCAGATCTATTAATGGATCAGGCGTTAGTTCTAGAAACAAGGTGACCTACAACATTAATTACAATAATATGCATTGCATTACCCAACCAAGGCATTTTCTAGCATACAGCATATAATATTAAAAATAAATATTTTTCAGTTAAAAAAGTTTTTGGACGCATTAACAAGAAGATCTCATCAACTAGGAAAGGATATATTCACAAGACAAGAGATGATACAAATACATAAAGCTGCAGGAGTTGCTGGGGACCCAAACGACTTGATTGAAGCAATGCATACACATTCATACTTATTACTAAAAGGTTCTAACACATATCAGTTGATAACAATTTAATAAAATAATTTATATAATTTAATAATGAATTTTATTTCATTAAAACTGCAGCCAAATATGACTTACAGTTAAAAAGGTGTGATGAAAGTTTCATAAAAAATAATAAATGATAGTTTGTACTATAGTAGTTTTTTCTTCACAAAGCACGCAACATCATAGTTCTATTTATATTTAAACAAGTCTAAGCAACTGATTACCGACTTATATTAAATATAATTTTTATATCATTTAAACATACTCGTCCAAGTTTTATTTCATGAGACTTGAGATTCATGATACATCTTATTTTAAATTGCGTACCTAACTATTATAATATGACCAGATTTCATATTAAACAAAATATGGAAAATAAATTTAATAATAAATAAGTATAAAGAATTAGGTAACTAGGTAATCAATTGTGAAAAAAGAGGCCACAAAATATGTACCTATGCATTAAGAGTTCTATGAAGAAAAATACATTGAAAATATTTTAAAGTTTCCCAAAATGAATCTTACCTACTCTGTACTTTTAGATTTATGTACGTATTTTTGTTTAAAGAAATACATAATTGCGATTTATATTTCATTGGTCTTACAGAGTCTAACTAATCAATAACACTGGATTCAGTCAATATTCTAATAAAAAATAAGTTACAAACAAATATTAAAATGCAGTCTTCTTTTCTATTTTTTTTTTACATCAGTTCTAGAAGGAACATCACTCAATGCAATAGCAACATGACAACAGCAATATAAAGATGTATACACTAACACAGCATTACACAGTGAAGGCCATTTAAGAAGTTCAAAGTACAGGTTACCAACTTCACTACCAGCAAACAAATAGAAGTTTGATATAGCAGACATACCTAACAGAGGCGCACACAAAAATGCAGTAAATCGCACTTCCATTGCATCTGTTCTAAGATATTTTTCTTTAAATATTTTATATCTTGCCGTTTTTGAAGCTGCTTTAGCAGCATACTCTATAACAATCCCTACATAATTTAAAACTGACCATACAAGTATATTCCACATAGTGCCATGCCACATAAAAATAAACATAAATGTAATTAGAGAAGAAAATAATTTGTTTGTGATTTTGAGCCTTGTGAAATTATTTGACATTGTGGTAAAAACCGGTTTGTAAATGTACCTGGAAATAAAGACAATATATCAGTAACTATGAGAATGATTATCACAGACAAATTAACGTCTGGGGTGGTATATTAAAATAATAATAATAAGTCAACTTACTTTAATAAAAACCTGTATAGACCCACATCAAAGTATCTCCACATTTGAGAGTAAACATGTATTCTGACAATACATCTTGGAGTAGGTGGAGGGTCAATATGGTCCAGCCTGGAATATGCAGCTGTAGTTCCATAAGATATAACATATTTCATGTGAAACTCCAGACCCATCCATAGTCCTCCACCACAGAGTGCTAATGATGGCATGTTACGTATAGCCTGAAATTGGATGTCATAAAAATTATTATTTTTTACATTATTTTCGATTATAAAATGTGAAATACTATTTGTGTATTACTACCAACCTCAATTTGACTTTGCATTGCAAAAAAATATATAAAATGAAATGCTAGCTCCAATAGAATAGTATAAATTTGGAATCGCAACATTTCCAGAATAAAACATTTTAGCCTCATTGTCAGCTTTTCACTTTTAGCAAGGAAACTTTTTTCAAATTCTTCATACAGTATTAATGGTCCAACAAATAACAATGGCAGGTACAAGGTATAACTAAACATGTTTATTAATTCTTCAAATACTGATGCTTCTTTAAATTTTTCTTTTTCTTGGGCTTGGGCTTGTGAAGGTTTCTCTTTTCTGTCTAAATAATCAAGGCAATAACTAATACATCTCAATTCAACCCAGGCTATACCATATAAAATTAAAAATACTTCTTCATCTTTTAAATGTTCAGTATCCAAGAAATGCCAAAAGTAATATTTATATTTCAAAGAATTGTACAAGGCCAACAGAAAAATACTTATCAACCATATACTAGTTTTTCCACCTCCAGAAAACACAATCGCTGAGAATATCACAGGTTGAATAAAAATTACTATGAACTGTCTGACACCCATATAACTTGCTATAAAAATTATACTAGACAGAATGTACCAATATTTCAATAAATAGATATTAAATTTTCGTATGGTCTCAGATATGAAAAATTGAAATAGCATATAAAGCCAAAGGGTCTGTATATGGAACTTCCACGTGCTCCATTCAACATCAGCATCATCTTTCGGCCTGGACAAGAATCGCCACCCAGGTATTATAAAGTCTCCCAATTCATAACGCAGACCAGGGCTAGTCTCCAGTATTTCTGAAAAAATGACGTAAATGTAAATTAAGAAACCATTTTTTTTTTATTAAAATATTAAGCAGGATATTAATTTACTACTTTAAAGAAAATTAAGAAGAATCAAAACATTACCTGTCTGAGCACGAAGTAATCGGTATAGGGAATAAAAACAAGCTAATATCCATAAACTAAAATGAATAACATTTTCAATTTGATTTAGTTTGCTTTTCATTTTGTCATAAAATTACTGTGAATTCAATTTTCATCCTAAAAATAAAAAAAATATGCCATGATTCAGACGCACAACACAATTTACACCTTTCAAATTCGACGGTAAATGAATGAATGATACGGAATGATATTTCTTAATGTCAATCAAAAAGTCAAAACAAGAAGTGTCTATGGAATTTGTAAATGAACTGAATTACTGAACTGAATGTTGACGCTGAGTAGGTTGGTCAAAATTTAGATAAATTCTCATTATTTTTTGTTTTGTTGTTCTAATTTTTAGCGTTCCGTGCCCAAAAGGTAAAAAAACTTCACTGTCTCATGAACCGTGACAGCTAGACAAATGAAAGGAAAGATGATGTACCTATTTCTATTCCCGCTCTATTTATCATTGCCTCACACAAACACTAGACTCCAGTGTCGTAGGTACAAATCTACTAAAAACAAAATAAATAACTAAGTAAGTATCTAAAGGCGGCCAGGGGGCAATTGAAGGTAATTTATTGCTCTGATTGCTCGAACGAATAAAATAAAGCAATGATACGAAACACTATAGGCACGAGTCCGACTCGCACTTGGACGGTTTTAATTAAATGGTGTGACAAATTATTAATCCGTTTTTTGTTACACTCAAATCGCCTATGAAAAACATTAGGTATATAAACGAGGCTACTAGTAGTACGGCCTTTTTTAACTAGACAGGTACAAAGAATGATGCGCGCGGGTGCAGCCCATTAGAACTATGGTGCAGCCCGCCGCGGTTGCAAGACCACGGCCGCGCCCGCCAGTGTAGCGGGAGCCGCAAATGCTTTAATTTTTTACATACATATTTGTATTCTACAAAGGCTGCGGGCCTTAGTCTATGAGTCTTTAATCTAAGAGATTTTTTTTTAAGTGGGGAAAATCATCAAATGACTGCTCCCGCCTGGGTGAGGCGGGAGGGAGTGTCAGACTCTTACTGATTAAAAACCACCCCGTTCCCGGGTGCACGTCGAGCAGGAGCCCCGGTAACCCGTTAGGTTCTCCGCGACTAATCTAAGAGCTATGTAGCTCATAAGCAGTTAGGTACATGAGCACCTAATGCACCTACCTATAGTGTGTCCATAACATAATTGTGTTACTTATATTGTGTATTAATTTTTAATTACGAATGTAACAAATGAAAGAAAGGTGTGGTTGCTCCGGAGGTACCTACATAATTATTACGCACAAGACATGCACTCCCTGCACATTATGTAGGTTTTATAATTATATATAAGACACACATACACAATTGTATATACCTACTCAAGTACTCACTCTTGCGATTGTCTAGATACCTGCATACGTGCTATAAAAAACCAAAAAGAAGTTTCTAATATCTCGAACGAGAGAGCGTTAAATGACATCAGCTGTTTGCAAAACTCCCTCGTGTGCTAAATTGTACTTTCCGTACTGCGCAGTAACATCCATTTTTGTACCACCCAGAATCTAGGAACTAGCAGTCTCCTCGAACGAACTCGTCACTCGAGTTGTCTACTCTCAGCAGAATTATGTATATTGAACTCAATAGGTAATCTTGGTAGTGCGGTCAAGGCGAGTGGTTCTGTTGTTCTGAGTCAGGAAAACATATGTGCAAACATAAATGTAGAGCCAATTATATTTAAGTTGACTGTGTGTTTCTTAATTAATTACAACATGAAGAATTGTGTGATAATTCTGTGTGGACTCCTTTTACAAAACTGCTTGGGTAAGATTATTTTAGCTACTTAATTTAATATTTTTGTTGAATGAAATTAAAACAAAAGAAGTAAGCAGTTAACGTTTTTGTTGCCGTGGTTATCAATAAGGCGTAATCATATTTATTGTATAGGTTCGAGCTTAATAGGTCAATCAAGCTTATCAAGATCAACCTATTACATATGAATGGGAATTTGTTTTGCCAATTTTAAGCTAAGTAAATAAGGAAAAACCTGTTTTTACAACTAAATGTCTGCGTATGTATGTTATGTTATATGAAGATCAAATTATTTGGCAATTTTGGCTGACTAATACCAAGCGCGCGTAATTCAAAGTTTTAAACAAGTAATAGGTAGCAAACTATTCGCCTAAGTAGTAAGTACAAGTTATAAAAATTGTAGGGTTTTATGTATTTATGTATAAAACTACTGTTATAATAAAGATACATTTATAAGTATGTAATCATATTACTCATATTAGTTTAATATTAGATATCGGTCATTGGTCAAGTTCGTTAGTTGACCTAAATAGGGTTTGGTTGTCTTATTTATTGTTAAGAGCATATTATTAGGTACAGTTTTTGTTGTTATTTTTCACTATATGTATGTAGGTACGGATTCATGATTTGTCATTAATCGGAATCACGTGATTTATCTGCATTGAAATGCACTTATCCGCAGCAAGCAATTTTCAAGTAGGTAAGTACATAGGTACCAATAGGTACCAATAGGTACCTACGCTATACGTGCAATATCAACTCCCACTTGATTCAGCCTACTTAGTTCAGGATTGCTACAAAACAAAATAGAAACAGTTTACCTAACACAAACATCCACGATGCAAATAAACATTTACGGAATAGATAATATAAAAAAATGGATTACACATTTGAGCTAAGATATGCTGCTATAGAAAAAAAAAACGTTTAGGTTGTCTTTTGATTTAATTTATGTAAATGTATTAACCATTGCTGATTTAATTAAAATCCTAACACAAGATTCACCCTTCCAGGTTTAGAATACAACAGGGGACAGCGATTTAATTATAATACCAACACCGATTTCTTACTGCATGAAGGAGGTACACAAATATCTGGAAACCAATCACCTACAAATCAAAATCAAAATGGAGGCAAATCAAGTTATGCTGCTCAATTTCCAGCACTTGGCCCCCCAAGCAAATCACAATCACAAACAATTGCGTCCCATAATATAAACGATGGGCGTCAAACCAATGCCCAATCATCCAACGGAAAAAGGGACTATGTTGCGCCACAGTATCCAACGGTTAAACCGACACAACAAGTTACCCAGCCCTCTGGAGGGAATAGTCCCACTCCCAACGCATGGCAAATGCCATCCAATACTCAAAATAGTGGCAGGCCTAATTACGCTGCTCAATTTCCGTCTCTTGGTCCGTCATCCACATCGCAAACGTCTAACAATCAAAATGTTGGACCGCAACGTAATACTCAGTCATCGAACGGAAAACGAGACTATGTTGCTCCTCAATATCCAACAGTAAAACCAAATCAACCAAGTACTCAACCTACTGGATCAGGGGGAAAGGTGAAAGATCTCATCAACTTCTATGATAGCCAAGCCAATAAAAATCCAAGCCAAGGGGGGACATTTAGTTATAGTTCAATTTTACAAGGTAATAACAAAAATGGACCAAATCCAACAGCGACAGTACCGTCAACACCTATGACTTCATCAATCCATACGCCAAAACCATTTAGCACGGTTGTAGCTGGTAACAAACCTAGCACACTTTCTACATTTACGACTCCTACACCTACAACGCGAATCCCCAGCACCCCCATGGCTCGACCAGGAACCCCTGTACTACCAAGTACTATAGTTAACAACAACAGAGGATCCACAAACACGAACTCCAACGGTGTCACTGATGCTGAATTAGAAGTACTAAGCGAGGAGTTATTAAGAAAGGATACTAATAATGCTGCTAGATACATAACGGTCAACTATCAGGAAAAGACTACATCGCAATCAACGGAGGATAAGGCACCTCTTCCGTGAGTATATCTAGTATAATACCACGAATTGTCCTTTCATATTACAGCGTACAATTTTACATGGTTACTTTCCCATGGCCCCGATAGAAAGAACATTTTTATTATCATGTATTTTTCTTTTTCATTGGGCATAAAACAGCTGACTGATAAGCGGGGGAAGGGGGCGAACTCATGCATTTACTATTAGGTACTAATATAATTTTTCATCGTATTGGAGACTCGGTTGCCAAAGAAGAAAAAAAAAAATTTTTTTTGTTGTTCTAGTAAATAAATTGATTTTATGTATCTTCTATATTATTGGATTACCTACAAAATTATTCTTTAATCGTTTCAGTACCGTTACAGAACTAAAAATACATGTGGCCACTAAAAACTGTTTTTTTTTAAGAAAATATGCAATTAAGTTAATTAGGTTCTGCATTTCTTCTAAACGATGTTAAAAGTAACTAATTACCTTCAAATGATGTCATTTGTTTGTAATGTAAACTTGATGTCGCAGATTGATCACCGTAGCCCCTGAAGTATGGAACATTCCAACGATTCAGAAATTCGTTCCATTATTGGATAATTACGAGAGAGACACATTGGTTAATGAACATGTAACAGCTCAGGTTCGTAAAATTTAAAACCTTTTAATTAAATTACCCACATACGTACCTACCTACGACTTTCTTTTCTGAATAATATATTAAAAATATTTTACAATACCTACCTATTCGAATTCAATTCTAAAGATTTCTTAAGTAAATACAAGAATACACATAAACCTACTTAGCCATCACAAATACTAACTGTTGAATTGAACTCTTGAACTTCCATTCAAAGATAAAGCTCTGAAATTATAATAGCATATGATTTTATATTATTTTTGTACCTACTTATCTTGTTTTCCACACAGTTGAATACAATATTTTTATTATTATTTTGCAGGAGAGAACCGAGGAGAATGCTTTCATGGATGCTGTAATGTCTACGTCTGTGATAAGGCATTTAATGACATTCTTGAAAAATAAAGGTGATATTCTTTGAGAGACTTTTGCAAACCATACAAATAATATTAGGTATTGAAACTACAAGAACACAACTTCTGGGACGTGGTCGTCAGATGACCGTACATTCGGATGTGTATACATCGGTTGCGGACTTGCGGATGACCTTGTATAACCACCTTTTTTCTACTAGTGCTGCTTTTAGTTTTCCCCAGCAGATACCTACTATACCTCTATATTCCTACCTATATATTCCTCTTCAGGCTATGTGACACCAGACCCAAGGCAACAAAGAGACTTTCTAAAGCAGATATGGTTCAGTTTGTACTCCCGAGGAAGAGGAAAAATTAGCAGTTCTGGATTCGAACATGTGTTTGTATCTGAACTGAAGAACGGAGGTGTTTCGGGTAAGATGATTGATTCAAATGTACGCGAAAAGACAAATTTCAAAATTAAAATGCTGTTGTAACATATCTATATCGTATATAGGTACATATACCTACATCACATTCAATAGCCTGTTAAATTAGACCAGTCAACACTAGATATATAAACAACATTGAATTTTATGGTTTTGTTAATTTAATGTATTTTATCTTTAAAGGTTTACATAACTGGATTTATTTCTCCAGAGAAGAACTAGCAAACAGAGTTAATTATCTGGGATATTTGAAATATGAATTGCTCAACGATGTAAGTATAAACGTACCTACTACCGCCACTATAGATAGACTAGTTCGAGTTAAGTTAAACACACAACAATGTTTGGTGATAAATTCATTCGGTTTTCCTGTTTTGCTACATGCAGTAAAAATATGTTATGAATCATGATCTATTAATACGACAGATAATTAATTAATTTCAAAACAAAATCGGTTTGATTTTAAATTTCCAGAAAGGAGCTGTCATGAAGATTCATTTCAATCAGCAAGGTGTGGACAAACCTGTGAACAGCCTGTTTGTTGGAACTTCACCGGAGTTAGAAATGGCACTATATACACTCTGCTTTGTGACACGTGTGGACAACGACTGTAAACTAAAACTGGCAAACAAAGATGTTAACATTATAACATACAATTTCCGTTATCGTAGCAAAAATTTGATTGGAAGCGCATATCCTCAGATATAAAGAAATGAAGTCAATAATTATAGTTAAAATACTTAGTTAAGATTTTATAAACATACATCATTATTTACATATTAAAATAAATATTCAACTTACTACTTTATTTTAAACGGCAATCAGTTTTTTTCGAAAAGTGAAAATTATCACCACCAGAAGGTACGTTGTCATATATGCACCTAACAGTGGCCAGCATAATGATGCTGACAAATTATTGAATTTGTAACCGACTTAAAAATAAACATATTTTTTAACAAATTTATATTTTTTATTTGATCTAAACATCCTCATTCACAATCTTGTGTATATACCACTTATATGATAAAGGTAGACGCAGTCTTTTTTTATTTTTTTTAGGGGGGAAAATCATCGAATGACTGCAGCTCTCGCCTGGGCGAGGCGGGAGGGAGTGTCAGACTCTTACTGACTAAAAACCAACCCGTTCCTTCTGCACGTCGAGCCAGAGCCCCGGCTGCCCCGGTAACCCGTTAGGGTCTCCGCGACTCCAAATCGGCATCGGCCCTTTTGGGCCTCATCTGTCGTGGTCTGATGGCTCTTTGAGGCACGCGCGGAACGCGACGCGCCGTACGCTCGGGTCTCTGCGAGTCTAGAAATGTGTATTTCTAGACTGCGTCGGCTACGGTCGGAAATACGACTTTAGTCAGGTCAAAAATTATGCGTTTACAAAAAAAACAAAAATTAACAAATTACTATAGAGTCCACGAAAGAAAGGCAGCGCAACGTTTTATTTGAGTTGTTATATTTTAGTAAAATATTTTCTAATGCATTGTGATGCGACTTGCGACTAGCAACATTGAATTTGTCAATTTGACAATCAGAGAGATCTGAGAGATGTCATGCACATGCATGTCATGTCAATACTCAATTGTCAATGTCAGTCGTAGGAAAATAGATGGGTTTCGTACAAGGTGTTTGTATGATGTTTATTCGAATTATTATGCAATGATTTTAAATTATTAATAAAAACTGACAGTTACCCAATCTATTTATGTGATATTAATGCGTAAAATATTAGATCCATGTGTTTTGGTTAAGTTTTAAGTGATATATTTCGTGTAGTGTTACTAAAAATGTCGTCTTTGATGAGTTTACGTAGTAATTTAACAAATGGAATACGAAAATGGAAATGCTGTCTATCACATTTGCCGAAAAAATATCCAGAAGACTTTCTACGCAGAAGCTTTTCTACGCGTGAATTATTAAAAGAAGCATACTGTCGTACGAAGTTAAAATTCAAATGTAAGTATGCCCGTTTATGCAAGTCAATGCGATGCAAATAAATGTATTGTTATTTATTAAATTCACGACCTTTTTAGCCAAGAAGCTACCACAAGACGTGAACCCAAGGGGTGTATTTGCTTGCAATGAACTGGATTTATCTGAAGTCAAAGTATATGGATTTGATTATGATTATACTTTGGCCCATTACAAGCCGTCTCTGGAGCATTTGCTGTATAATCTTGGAAGAGAGGTCCTGTTAGAAAAGTATAATGTATGTATAATTAGTTAAATATAGTTTTAATTTTCTTTAACTTTAATTACAAGTTGGTCATAATATTTAAGTAAACACCTAATACAAAAGAGCTTAACAATTACTTAGTATTTCAGTATAAACTGATGTTTTATAAATATACTTATTTTATGTTTTGTGAGCCAAGTTTGGTATTTGTACAATACTTATTTTTAAAAAACCTGATTTTCCCAAAATGATTATAACTTATATTTTTTGCTTTTCAGTATCCACCAGAAATATTACAATTGGAGTACAAACCCAATTTTGCTGTAAGAGGTTTGCACTATGATATTGAGAAAGGCCTCCTTCTGAAGCTGGACTCATTCCTACAAATACAGTTTGGGGCGGTCTATAGAGGTCTTACACCCGTGTCTACTGAAGAAGTGCTCAAGCTATACAGAAACAGAATCATACCCATTGCTTATGTTGAGGGTGACACAAGGGCTCATAAAGTAAGTTTGCAAAAGAAGGCAATCTTATGGGGAATAAATCTGGTCATGATTTATTATCTCATTTATCTATAAAGAACATGCAGGTTACATAACCACACAATGATATAACTGGCCAGTTATTCACAATTTTCCACCTTTATGTCTATGGAACTAAAGTTGAAAATCCCTTTGTCTATCATTTACACACAGTAGTAAACTAGATAGCAGTCAGTAATCACTGGCACTTGTAAGCAATCATTCATTTGTGCTCCCCTTTGCAATGTTGACACAAGGACCATGTGTGACAGTACATTGATATATTACATGTCTGTATTGTATGAACTTGGTCTATAAACACCTCAGCTGTTTGTTTAAGATTTCCCATTGTCAAGCAAATATGTACATAAATACAACATTGTTTTATCTTTGTATGAAAGGTATTATAGTAAGCGGTAGACTTGAGTATGCTTACTCAAGTAACTCATGCAGTTCATTGACTAGTTAGTAGGTCATTTAAATAGTTATTATTTAATTTGTTTTTCAGCCAAACAGAGCCAAGATGGTGCATTTAGCTGATCTATTTTCAGTACCGGAAATGGGTTTACTATGTAATGTAGCTGAATATTTCATCAAAAATCACATTGATTATCATCCGGAAATTCTGTTCTTAGATGTCAAGGTAATAATTTAACAAATATGTATTACGAATAATTAATCTGCTTCTAAGTTTTATTTTTAATTAGATATGTATTTAATTGTAGAACTCAGTACAAAGCTGTCATCCAATCATGCACAAAATAGTTGCTCAGAATGTAGAGGAGTATATAAGGCCCAATGCAGACTTGAGGAAATACTTCCAAATGCTGCAAGACAATGACAAGAAACTGTTCCTCGTCACTAATAGTCCGTATCACTTTGTGTAAGTAACTTATCTCATTTGATAATGCAATCATTATAATGATATTGTTAATTAGTATTAGATGAAACGCATGTAAGCTGATAAAACAAAATGTGATTAACAGTTTTCTCATTTTACTTTGATTGTTTATTTTTCACAAATATCTCATTCCAGTACTAGAAATTAAATATATTTAAAATGTAATATGTCTCATATATTTTTTTAATTTCAGTAATGCGGGTATGGAAATGTTGGTTGGTCACGATTGGCGGGATTACTTCGACGTAGTGATCGTGAATGCGAATAAACCGAAATTCTTCACGGAGGTGTCGCGGCCTATTCGAGTGTTCGATAAAAACGCCAACACACATATATGGGAAAAAGTCACGTCGTTAGAGAAAGGGATTATATATTACGAGGTTTGTGAACAAATATGTTGACATAGTAGTAGTGCGTAGTATAAGTTATCTATTATTTAGAATAATTGCATAAATTGAAATAGAACTAATACATAAGCTGAAGCCTGTTTCCCGTGAAGCAAAGACTATGGAATGCCAATTGCTTCGATTCGTACATACCTCTTGTGATTCGTCAACAGTCATCAGTCTTTTCATGCATACTCATCAGTTAAGGATAAGATAAAAAGTGACCAGAGGATACATTTATGGAAAGAAAAAAGAACTTCATACATCTGTAAGTTGAACATCCATTCTTCCGCCAATCCTCCACATATTTCGCCAGTTATGTGAGTTCTTAATATGAAATTATTAACTAGTCACTGAAAATGTTACTGATAAGTACTTGATTATTATTGAAATAGTAATGTAATGTTTCAGGGTACAGTGAAGCAGTTACAAGATCTGACAGGCTGGTATGGTCACCAGGTGTTGTACTTCGGAGACCATCCGTACAGCGACCTCGCAGACGTCACCTTGGAGCACGGCTGGCGAACTGGAGCCATCATAAACGAGTTGACAGTTAGTTTATTTTTATTCATCATCATCATCATTACAGTTATAAGACGTCCATTGTTAGACAAAGGCCTTCATAACATAAATTTATTAATATTTTTTTTACTAAATTACCTAAAAATCACGGGTTACTCACGTGAAAATACTGGGCTACTTAGCAGGCTTCGCGAAACCGCCACAACCGCACACGCTACTCATGAGGTTGAACCCCTCTGTGGTTTGAAACTAGTAGTCTTTCTCAGTATTTTCACGTGAGTGACCCGCGATTTTTAATTTAGTATGTCTCACGATAGTTATTATATTTGTTTACTATTGTATCATCATTGATATTAGAGCTCCTTGCCCTCTGGTGAGCACAGCAACGCTCAATTTTACTTTATTTTATCTTTTTGTTATTCTTAAATCAAATACATGCCTTGCAAGCAGGACTAATCAGCGCATGTAATGTGATTATTCGGTTTCGAGTATAGCGTGATGTACTGATTTGTAACTGGTGCTAGGCAATGATTATACCTCCTTACTACCTACAGCTATACCTCTACTAAGTACAAAGATTTGATTGTTTGCATTGAATAGGCTCTGAAGCTACTGAACCGATTTGATCTCTTTCACAATTTGAAAACTTGTCTTTCATTGAGTGACATAGGCTATTTTTCTTCTCGATATTGATATAGCATAGAACATGATAACAAAACGTAGAAGCGTAAAGTTATTAACATATTATGAATAATTATTTCCAGCATGAAATCAACACATTAAATACCCAGTCGTTCAAGGAGAACGCCAACTGGCTGCAGATGTTGACGCAGCTGATAGAGGACCACCAAGACTATAAGGATGCTGAGGCGCTCGAGGTCGTCAACGAGTGGATGGCGGAGAGAGACTATCTCAGGTTCGTAGTGAACATTTAAAACTTTCATATATTATCTATTTCATGCGATCATGGACTGTGGTAAGTTACGAACAATACAAAAATACCAATGATGTATTTAACATACTGAGAAAAAAATGCGTATACCAGGTTAGGGCCCCTATTCTATATGGTATTTAATATTTATCTATCTTCAAATACCAAATTACGTAGTTGACATCCTCAGAATAAAAAATTCGCAGACTAGAGTAGGGCCCAGTGTTAACAAGTAAAAGAGTATAAACATTGAATCTAATGTATATGCATATCCTACAGACGCTTTCCCTATTGAATATGATATCTTAAATTTATCTATCTTAAAATATCGCTGCATAATCTTGATTTTTTGGTAAAATTAAATGTGAAGAATGCAACTAATCTACCTGTACTTACTGGCTCTGATTGGCTGTAAATAACGCTTGTGTGTTTTGTTTACACGCTTCCATTGTAGGAGATGTATTGTCAATTACAGGAATGAAATAAAGGCAGTGTTTAACCCACAATTCGGTAGTGTGTTCCGTACGTACCACAACCCAACGTACTTCTCGAGACGTCTGTTCCGCTTCGCCGACATCTATACCTCCAATATCACCAATCTGATGAACTACTCGCTCACGCATACCTTCTACCCTCGTAGAGGTGTCATGCCACACGAATATGGCTCGTATTTCGTTTAAATTAAGTGTAATGTCACGTAATCACTTCAACTGTAAAATCATGTATTATTTTAAGTAATATTCAGTTTTTTAAAAACATTTGTTAAGGCTACTTCGAATTTTATAATTAATCTGTACCCCTTTAAGATACCTTTGTAAGTGTATAGACAAGAATACTTTGAAAGATGAACTTATTGAATCAGTGGTTTAAGACATTTTATTTGTACATATTTTAGAGAATTTTAAGCAAATTAGTTAATTTATATATACAATGTAAGACTAACGTATCTACGTTGTAGATAAACAGCAATGCAAATCATCCAACGGTATTCTAGTCAAAAGTATTTAATATAATCGTCTTACAATTGATAAGTGTCTTTATTTCTTTTCTTACTGTTAACATATCTTTACCGTCAATTCGATCAGATGAAATGTTATAAGACACAGTGTATAGCGAATAAAATAATGTAATATAACTATTAAGTTGATACCTATATAGATTACAGCGTGCAAACGAAGGGTTTGGGCCTCCTCTAGCGTTATTAAATGCAAAACCCCACCGCTCCCCCTTTATGCTACACTTATATTTTTTACTTTTACAAGGAGTTGTGGCTATCGAATATGGGTGTTTACCTGTTCGCTTAAATATACCTTTTCGTGACACGCTGTATATATTTCATACTACATTGAAGTATTTAAAGGTAACTTTTAGTATTCTGTAATATGGTATTACGGGTTCATTTACATCTTGATCTGTTTAAAGGTTTGACTTTTCTGTATACTATGTTTATTATTTGTTAAATATATAAAGATAGACGCGAAGCATTTGTTGTGCTCGTGAACTGTAATCGAAAGAGGTCAGAGTTCAGTACGTTTTATTATCTCTTCTAAGAATCTTATTTTTATTAAGCATTTTAAAAGCTATTTATTTACTTGAGTGATTAACGTGATTGCAGTTAAATATAATTATGTAATGGTATATGTACATGCTAATCCGTTTTTTTTTACAATGGCATTCTAAAGTGCTATACTATATGTTATCTATTTAAATCAATATTTTTTATGGTTTTATTTGGCCATTTATATTTATGCGTTGAAGACGTTATTGTTGTTCCTTGCCGTTTAGTAGATAATGTTGTGACGTAGTATCTTGTATAACTCACTAACATACCCCTGTCAGAGTATTACGAATTATTGTACCGAAGACTAGTTGGTATCAAAATATTTTGTGCCATTTTAGACAATAAATTCACCGATTGCACTTCTTGTAACCTTATTGTCAATAACAACTTCGAGTGTTTTAGATGACATCAGTACCCATATGTATTGTGCTCTACTTAGTCGCAGTGTTTTAGAGAAATGTTGCAATAAAAAGATGTTTACATTGAATTGGTTTTATTATCATACACGTTATCAATACTTGTAATAAGTTATTGCGAAATTCGTGTTTAATTACATGCTTATCGTGAGAGCACGACCCGCGGATCGGCCTCTGATAACTTGCTCGTTTCTGGCATTATCTTTGTTTTAGTACATAAAGTCATAGCTCATAATTTTGGATCATTTATTTATATCTATTGAAGTAAAAATCAAGAGAGCTAAGAGTTTATTTACACATTGCTTTTAAAATTAGGTGTATAAATATCATGTATTGAGTATATGCTGAGGTATACGTATAGTTTGGTATGTTAGTAGAAGGGGTAGGCGGTGTCGATTAGGAGTACGTTCTCCGACTTCAAGGTCTTGGTTTGTATGGAGAAGTTGACGTTGTTGTAGCGCAGCCTGCAGGGCCGGTCGGGGCGCGCCATGAAGCACAGAGTATACAGGGACAGCTCCAACTCGGGGGATGTGCCCACGAACATCGTCACCTCCGGGGCGTCCTTAGTGTCACTCAAAACGGAGTGCTGCTTCAGAATCATTCCTTTCTGCAAAATTATAAATGTGGTCATGTTTATTTAAATTTATACCTACTTGTAAACCAAACAAAAATGTTCAGTGCCTATAACCTCAGGATAAACCTTGGTTGCTAAGTGGGTTGCAGTGATATATCTATATACTTTTCAGATAAGGTGATTAGTATTATAAACATTATAAATAAGCTTGGTAGGTAAAGGACGTATAATTTTATTTGCAGTAAAACCAGTTAGTGATTCATATGAACAAGGAAATGTTAACATATTTATCGCACTATGTAAACTTACCCCAGAGAGATCCAGTTTGTCTATGTAGCCCAAGTAATTGGCTTTGCGATCTTGTTCACGCTTGGCGAAGAACAGCCAACTGTGGAGTCCTGTAAGCACGAATTAATAAATCAATTATCCTAACTACACGTAAGTAGATATGCCTCTTAAGATTAATTAGAACATATTGACTCACTTTTATGGTTTTCACTGTCTGTGTAACCTACGTATGTTAAGCCCAAAGAGTATAATTAGTTAAGCCATCGTTTTGTTGCTAAAACCTACCTACATACCTACCTATTTTTAATTTGATCGTGTTTTGTGTGGCATGATTTTAAATCACTTAATACTGTTCTTAGGTAGGTAATACCTACATAGGCTTAAAATCTACTTGTTTACAGGTTGAATGGCATATAGCTATGAGCCCAAACTTACGCATCTATTTGGGGGCCTGCACGTGTATACTGCTAATTGATGATGTAATTGCGAATAAAGGGAACTCCTTACAATGGCGCTATTGTCATTGTATGTCTAATATGTATATAAGTATGTATGCACCTATGTTTGTAATTGTCCTAAATAGTAAAATATCTAATGCAGCACCAAGAATAAATAAAAAAGAGCACTATTCTCTTTGCCGAGAAAAAAAGAACGATGACGTGAGGCTTGAATGTTGAACGAAAATACATTAACTGAGACTGAAGAACTTTAGGGGCTAACAAACATGAGAATACGAAATTTCAATGTGTTTGAAATCGAGATCGAACTTGATAATAAACAGAACAATGAACTCTCCACTATCCTGAAACGTGTCATAACTTTTGTCACTTGCATAACTGTATCAATAGCAATTTTGAGAGTTATTTTCTGATGTCACTTACCAAGCACGTCGTTGGACTTAAGTTCTGCCATGAAAATGTTCTCGAAGGCACAGCTGCACTTGCAGAGGCCGGTCCAGTGGCGCGCGTACTTTGTGAACCAGATCTTTTTCAGCAGTTGCACTTGCTCATTGTATTCATTCATCTGAGTCAAACCTGGAGACAAATAAAGATAATGAGGTGAAGTTGTTATGAACGACAAATAAGTAGATCTACCCATTTATGTTCTTAAGTACCTTATTAGATGCCTAGATGCCTAGGTAGGTACGTGTTGATTGCTATTGCTATAGTAAGCGGACTACAGAGATGTTTGGTTGCGTTAGACTTCAGACATTAGTTAAGCAAAGCAGGTAGGTATCTCATTTTAATATAATATTTCAATGATTAAAAAAATAACAAATTCTAACGACCGAAAAACGGATTTTCCTTATAGGTATTTTCCTGTATCTTTGGGTTTGCTTTTATAAAAATTACTTGCTTATTTACCTACACACCATTTACCTAGTTTCGGAACAACTACGTATTTTATATTTGACAATACATTAATGTAGATACTACTTCGTTGAATGCTTGAATCTTTCCTGAGCAGGGTATAAAAACTGTTTCATTAGAATTAGACCAGCACCAACCAACCAACCTATCTAATATTCATACTGGTGATGTAATGCGTTAAAATAAAACAGGTTTGATTACCTTTGCTGACCAAAAAGTTCATTAGGCTCCTGACTGGCCCGGTCGCGAGGATTGTGTTTATAAAAGTGACTTGTTCCGTTTCCTCCTGCAACATGACATCACTTTATATTAGTTTACCTTGCTTGCTGCAGCTAGTTCTTTATACTTATGTACAATAAATTGCTCAATTACTACGTACATAGATACCGTAGTTAGTATGTGTGCACTTACATTAGGTGTGACAAATTCTGGCCTTATCACGTTTTTGTGGTAGTTGTCGAAGAGGGCAGCAAAAGGCCTGATTGTTGGACCATTCCACACATTCTCAGGCACGCTCAGGAGGCTACAAAGATGTGAAAATACCATTTAGTTATTATGTTGTGACTGATAAGTTGTTGAAGATAGACAAAGCGGCTTTAGAGTCAATGTAGGTACCTATTTGTAATCTATGTTGGTATTTGTAGTTATGTTCCTGGTAGTAAAGTAGTTAGTAACTACAAAGTTTATTCAATTGTATTTGTATCCTCTTATTTAAGTACGTATGTAGAAATCTGTTGTCTAAATCATTTATATACTGAATACTTCCATGAGGTCATTAGATAATTACATGATATATCTACACATGCTTTACCTAAGTATGTGCTTAATGTGTACCTACGAATCCCCAGAAAAAACGCTGGTACTTATGTAGTGGATACATTAATCAGTCCTTGAGCAGTGTAAATCTACAAATAATAAACGAAGTCATTGGACTTATATTACGACTTATAAAAAATGAGTAACAATTATGACGCGCGTGCGATTTAATACGATTTATTTGTTGTCATAATTCGTCTAATTGAAGTATGAAGAATGAACTGCCTGCCTACCTGAAAACTGGCCTAGTCAACCAATTTACACATTTTTAATTGTAAAAAATAATATCTTACTTTGACGGTGCTTTGTCGTCCTTCGACAGAGCGCTGGTTTGGCCTTGCAAATTTACTTGGATGTATGGCAAAGCGTTGTTGATGTCCGCATTGAACATTTCCTCGCTCACTCTCAGGATATCTTCATCTGTGGTGGAGTCCTGCACCTGACGCAGCAGATCCTCGTAGCTCTTCTTCTTGGCATAATCGACGACACCGCCAACTACTGTTCCTATCTGCTGAAGAGTGTTGGTAGCAGTGTTTCCTTGTTGACCAGTCACAGAGTTGCTGATCAGATTGGGCAAGATGCTGTTGAAAATCTGGCCCGCGGCTTGTCCGAAGTCGTCGGCCCGGCTTGCCGCCAAACAAACCAATAAAACCAGCACGATTTTCATTTTGGATAAAAACTACGTTGTTCCTAGCGCGATCACGGCGCACTAGTGATCTCTGAGCCCGCGGCGACCAGGCGATACTGCGCGACCTTTGGGTGATGTCATGCACGTATAATAGATATGTGTCGTTAGGATTCTTAGTGCGATGGTTTTTGCGTCGACAACGGTGACCGGCCTGAATGTGTAATATGAGACGAGTGGATTCCGTCTTAGTAAACAGAATTGACCCCCACAAGTTTCAAACATACACCTCAGTTCGCATAAATTGTACAATTATGTACGCTACTTGCGTTCTGCTCGCCATGTGCGGATACTGGACACTTGTTTGCCTTCTTTATGATATTGTAAACTTGAATGAATTGTGCAACGCATTCATCAGATTATCTATATGTTCGAAAACGAATCATAATTTAATGACTGATGTTTTGAGGATAAGGTTTGAAGGTTTTTTGTTTTTTATGTATTTGTCCTGGTTACCCTATGGTCGATGCATCATCAAAACAATGATTTCATTTGAACATTCATCAAGGTGACCAATCCTGAAGAACAAGTAAACAAAGATGGGTTAATTAAGGAAATTAAGTAATTCATGTGATCATCTTCAATAGCGTCATGTTATAAAAGCTACCTTTAACATTTTGCCGTACCATATTCTCCGAGAAAGTAAGCAGAGATGCACAGATTAAATGTAATTCAAACACGCAAATATTAGGTCTCGAGCCCAAGATCCCTAGGTTACCAGTCGCTCTTAGGGGTACTCGACATATCATATGTCTTTGCCTCATGGCAAGGCAATCTGATTAAATATTTAGCTCGACCTTTCCTAAATCCGTAATATGATCTAGATGTAGCTCAACTAGTTTTAATTTTAAAGAAACATACGAAGTACTGAAATATGTTAACGCCTGATTGACAATAACTACAGAGCGGTTAACATATCGAGGGGTAACGGGCTATTTGGTTTAAGCGACATTTTGGGCGATATTGAGTTATATATATATTTGGAATCAGCGAATTTTTCTCCGTCGAATGATGCCGGTTTCATTAAAATCGGAGCACTTTTTTGGCGTTTCAAACAATTCTATTTTCGTGTTGTTTCCTAAGTGACAGTGTATTAAACGACATGGATTTCGCATTTTTTATTAAATTATGTACTTGAACCATACCATCATATTAATAACCGAGACATAAACCAGTCACCCTATCTCTAATTAATAAGTCAAAATGAGTTAAAGCGTTTTTCCTGTTTCTAATTTTTACTAGCAAGTAACTTGAATCATTTTGACTTCCCACTAATCACACGGTGTGTTGTCGCTTAAAACATTTATCCGTCACCCAAATACGACATGGTTCGTCTCTTAAACACTTCTAGCTGCTTTTATTTTCCACGCAGGGTGCTACTTAAACCAAATAGTCGTTTTCGTTCAGATATTTTGTTTAGTCATAAATCATTTAGCCCTCCTTTTTTTTAAAATGCATGTCGTTTTATACAGATGATAACATTAATAATGGATATTGAAACATTTTGCCAGTATTCATAAAAATATGAATCGGTCTTTAAATCACTAAATTTTAATATGGTACATTTCAATCATGTCATATGATACTATATTTATTTCATCGCCCGGGTGTTAAAAATCGTGATCATCCAACTGGACTATCGTGCGCTGGCGCTTCAGTCACTCCAGAATGCGTCGAAGACAGACGGGACGCGCACTCACCGCCAGTGTTTACGTAAAACGCTCATCGAAATTGAATCCTAAGTACTTTAATTTCAAGATCAACCTCGCGGTCGTCCGAAGACTTTGGTGACAATAGGCTATTGTGGAAGCTGATGACATACAATCTACGGCTGATTTAGCAACAGCTTTCGACGTTAGCATCAAAACAATATTGGTCCATTTACGTCAAATTGGCAAGGTAAAAAAACTTGACAAGTGGGTGTCCCACAAACTCAATGATCGCCAGAGCTAAGTATGCATCGAGCAGTGCCTTGCACTGCTCAACATAGTTGTAGTAGTAGTTAGTTCAGCACCTAAACAATACCCGAAACGAAAACTTACTCCTAGAAAAGTGATGGTCACTGATGGTCTAGCGCCAGTCTGATTCATCACAGGTTCTTACCAAACGGAGTGAGCATTACTGCGGATGTGTAATGTGAAGAACTGAACACAATGATGGAGAAGCTGACACATCTCCAACCAGCACTGGTCAATCGCTCATCTCCATTGCTCCTGCATTACAACGCGCGACCTAAAGCTGCACAACAGATGGTCTCCAAGTTACAAGAACTGGGGTTGGAAGCTCTCCAATATCCACCCTACTCACCAGACTACTTCTTTTCCAGAATTTGAATAACTTCTTCGCGGGAAAAAAATTCATTACCCGAGAGGCAGTACAAAATGCATTTAAAGAATTTGTTGCCACCCGTCCAGCTGATTTGTTTAAGAAGTATTTTGTGGCAGTTTATTGATGCCCAATAAACTGCCACTGCGTTGGCAACGATGCATTGATTACATGGGTGATTACTTCGATAAATACAAATAAAAAATACATGAAAAAAATCGTTTAAATTTTTTCATACAAAACGGCAATTTCAGTAAATAACCCATTAATTTATCTGATTTTGCTGAATAAATAATAATATAATCGTTGTTCCTATGCAGACTGTTATTATTAATCTAAATAAATACTTTGATATTGTGTTGTGTTTATTTATCCGATGTAAGCACCTGAGATTTTCGGTTGTTTCGATATATCCAGGTTGTTTTATCAGCCATTAATCGTCTTAGATGTAAATAAACATAAACATTTAACGATACAATTTCAATGTTATATGTCACATAAGTAAATTAGCCTGTTACTCATTTTAGTCTAAATTGGTAGTTGAGATAAATAGCTTGCTTCTATTTATTTTGGGTTTCGTTACTTCATACTTTTTGGCTTACTCTGTAAATAGAGTGCATCGTCGCTTAATTTTTTTCCCTTGTAGCCAATTGTAGTTATGAAGTCACTTAAATCATTTTTCCTGACTCTAAAAAAGGGCAGATTGTATTAAGCGACATTTATCTTTGTAATTAAAGGTCCGCTTTATTTGGAATTAGCATCAGCAACTAGATATTTTTATTTAAATTTCAATGCAATTTACCCCGTTCAAATATCTGCAGAAGCGTTTTTGTTATGAATTTTTTTTCGAAATTTCTAACTTTAAATGGCTCTCCTGTAAAGTTGCAAAAATGTCGCTTAAACCAAATAGCCCGTTACCCCTCGATATGAATGATATACGGATGTAGAATCAGGATGCTACAACTGCAGTAGTATTTATATCCCGCCAATAAAAGAAAGTTATCAGAAAAGAGACATTATCAGAAGCGCATCGTTGCGGGCGAGCGCGCATGCGCAATGCAGGAGTAGCGTGCTGCGCCCGCGCACTGCGGGAAAATCGTATCTTACTCTATGTTTAATGCATTAGGCTCTCGTCCAATCGACTCTGTGAATACTTGTACGATGCTGGTAAAGAACTGTACATACTACGCTGCGAATATTTGGAATACTTTGCTTTGCTACATGTCAAGTTAATGATGACGTTCACTAATTGATCTAAAGATAAATACATATTGAATAAGTTTCTAACTCTATAAGTGAGTAGTTAGATAGTACTTAAGATATATAATTATGCAGTGTAGGAAACTTAGGTAAGTATTTCATACACATTGAAAACATCATCCGTAACATCAATCCAATTAAGATTGATACTTATCTATATTAAGAGTTTTATTTCGATACGTACTGGTTGGACATTGTAAGTAATTACTTACGTAAATTGAAGTCGACTTCAATTTACGGTAAATAAAGAAAATTACATACAGTTGTTCCGTCATTCGTTCTCTAAACAGAATTTAAATTACATACTAAGTTCAATTAGGCATGCTCTTGTTTCACTGGAATATAGAACGAGTGGTATAGTCTGTGGTAGTTAATTGAGGTAACAACGTAACTGCCCGCCATATTGTCAATTATTTGCATGTCCGGTAGCTGCGGTTTTCTTATCGCCCACGAGTTTCAAACAATAAACATAATAACATCATGTTCTTGTGGCTTCAAGGGTCAGCAGAGGTGTACATTTATAGTAGATTTAGTGTTGTTGACAGACATATTCCCGACGTTATGAATCTATTCGTTGTGAAAAGTTGTTCCTAGTTGATTGAAGTATGGGAGAGCCATTTCAGGACCGGCTCGACCGGAGTAATATTCGGTAAAATACCACGGCCTCACAGAAAATCGACGTGAAGCAACGAACTCTTCCGTTGTGTTTCGTCGTGTGAGTGAGCTTTATCCCCCCTCCCCACTGTTCCCCAATTTCCCCAATCCCTGAATTCCCAACAATCCTCAATCCCCTAAAGGCCGGTAACGCATTTGTTACGCCTCTGGTGTTCCAGGCGTCCTTGGAAAAGAGTCAACAGTTTTAAGCTTAATTTTGAAAATATTAATGACACTTTACCTGATAGGTACACTTGTAGTCTTTAGCCCAGTCGCGGAGAACCTAACGGGTTACCGGGGCTCCGGCTCGACGTGCAGCAGAAGGAACGTGGTGGTTTTTTAAAAAAAAATCTTTAGCCCAATTATGTTCCAACAACTAGGTACAGTAAGTATTGTACTACTAAAATGTTATTTGTAAATTAAGTCACACAGGTTTTCCTTATTTTTTTTTAATACCGAGAAGTGTTTTCCAATTTACATTTCTTAGAAATCATAATCATATCGTAAAATATGTTGTTAATGTTAAAATTACTGTGTCTCTTGTATCTATCAAAACAAATTAATGTAAGGAGCTAAAGATATATGATAAATAAATTAAACGTTGAGCGATCAATATTTATATATTATTATAGCTATAGTCTATAGTAATTAAAACACGTGAATTTGCGACGTTTCGTTTACAAAATGTTACAGTGTTAGACTGCCTTATTGGCTGAGTGGTCGCAAGTGGACTGCCGGGCAAGGGGTCTCGGGTTCGATTCCCGGGTCGGGCAAAATATTACTGAGTTTTAAAAAATACTCAGTAGTAGCACGGAATCTGAAATTGTGCCCGGTATATGGCAATAGGCTCACCCCCTATTACATGGGACTCATAACATAAATAGTGGAAAGTGGGTGTTACATTTAACAGTGGCATTAAGTGCCGTAATGTGCACCTCTACCTACCCCTTAGGGGATAAATGGCGTGAGGCTATGTATGTTTGTATGTATGTATGAACAAATGTTGTGGATTTTTCATAATCGGGGATTAAAACTGTCAAACACCAACCGGTCACCGGTGTACAGAACAGAAATAAATTATACTTTATCTGTATTACTTTGAGTATAAACAATATCTTCAATATGTAAACAAATAATACATAGCAGTTTGTGATCCAGTTATGTCATAACTTTGCATAAATAATAATTTATGTACGTACCTATGGTTAGTTGGTTACTTTCTCCAGTGCTCACTAGAGTGGCGTTCTAGGTTCGGTCCTTGGTTACGGTAAAGTATGATATCCGGTATAATTCACATATTCGATAAAATATGTATATTACATTGTTTTTCCTGATTAATATCGATTGCAGATTTTTCATTCTGCCTGTATAGTGCACAATGTACTTTTATAAGAAGTATTACACATTATATTCGGAATGACCCAAAGAATTTTTGAAAGCCCCAAAAAAATACACATATATAATGCGTTTTCATTGCAATTCTTCCGTGTTAGAACAAGGTGAACAAGAATAACAATCGCTGTGGGAATATCTACTAGTTATCGACAAGGTTGCCGTAAAAAGTTCGCGTGTACTTTATAAGCCGAAGTTTCATTTTGATAGTAACACGTTCTTTAGCTAGAGAGTTGTTTCTCGTTTCCTGTTTGACTATAGTTTCATTATTCTAGGATTATAATTCACGATCATTGAAGTATTAACAACAAATCTTATAGGTTCGTAAGGACTAATGTTCAGCTATGAAATTTGGATATACATAGAAACGACCTCTACCTCCTGAATAAACCCCCCTTCGAAAAAAGAGAAATTAATAACATAACATAGGGGCGTGTTGGGTAGGCAGAGGTGCACATTATGCCACTGTACAATGTAACACCCACTTTTCACTATTTATGTTATGAGTTCCATGTCATAGCAGGTGAGCCTATTGCCATATACCGAACACAATTCCAGAATCCGTGCTACTACTAAGATTTTTTTAAAAACCCAATAATACTTTGCCCGACCCGGGAATCGAACCCGAGACCCCTTGCCCGGCAATTGCACTTGCGACCACTCGGCCAAAGAGAGAAATTAATATTTTATTAAATTATAAATGTCCAATTAAAATAATTTACCTACGAAAATCATTTTGCTAGTCGACTTAATTAAGCCGAGATTTGTTTGTCTATATGTAAACATACCGATGCCGAGAACATGTTATCGATGAGGTCACGACTGGCAGAGGTCGCTGACGCAGTGACGTGACCAGTTCGACTGAACGCCTCGCACGATTCGACCCTGGCGAAATATCAATATCAACCAATCAGAGCCCGCGTACATCACTGTTGGTAATTAGGAGCAGACGCCGGCAGTACGTGGAAACTAAGTGCTACGGACACAAGTCACAAGAGCAAGATGAAGTCTGCAGCTTTAATCTTGTTATTCGTCTTCTGTTCTGTCGAATGTGAGTACAATTTGATATTTACAATACCTGTAGGTAATTAAGCCGCAATTATAGACTGAATCTGCAATATTAAAAGAAAATCTACTTGAAGTTTTACTTACTTTCAATGTGGTTATTTATGAACGATTGCAATAAATATAATTCGATATATTGGTTTGATCAACAACTACGCAGAATGACGATAATTTTGCTTATCGTTCTGCGGTTGAATGATGAATCAGTTTCCAATCCATTTCTACTAATCACACAACCATACAATACCTAATGTTTGATAGGTAATAAGCTAATTTCACTACGACTTTCTTCATGTTTACATATTTTAATTTCAGGTCGGAAGATATTAACCATAAACAAAAATGCTAACATCGACTTTATTAACATGGAGAGTGGGGGGATGAGGGTGCAACCGGCCGTACAGCCCCCCGCGGCCAAACCGAGCCCAGCAACCGCGCCGGTAGTGCCTAAACCAGTCGCACCCGCACCCGCACCCGCTCCAGCTCCAGCACCCGCACCCAAGGCTCCAACCGTAGCGCCTAAGCCAGCTGCACCCCAGCCACCCTCCAAACCTGCTCAACTTGCGCCTCCGCCCGCTCAGAACAAGCCCGGCTTGGTCATCCCACCCGGACCAGCCCAACCTGCCCCTACCCCTGGCCCCGGTAGTGTTCAAGCACTGATCAACTACTACGACAGCCAAGGCAAGGCCAGTCCTATCCGTCCTTACAGCTACAGCCAGGCAGTCAAGCAAGGGTAAACAACTCGCGTAGTACAAAGTGATAAATCGTGTCATTGTGATGTGAACAACGAATTGTATTGTTTGGAGATTAATGAACTTGTACCGTATGAATGTTATTCTAAAAATACTTAAATACCGAGTAAATAGTTGCGAGTTTCAATCAACAACATTATTTATTGTAATTTTGAAGAATTAATAAATGCATTAAAAGTTAGTAACGTATTATTTAGGGATAGGTGCACATGCGATGTGAACACCCTTTTCCCGCCAATAATGTGTTACGTATGGTCTCTATAATTGGTCTCTAAGATAAAACGTCCTATAAATAATATATAGAAAATATTTTGTTTTCAAAGATTTTTATTTGCTAGAGTTCCTGTTAATGTCTACTTATTACGTAAAGCGACAATAATTTTATAACCTAGTATACATTTCTACGAATATGTACAGTGTTAATAATATGCTATTATTGACTCAATGGTTGAGACCTGTGTGTTGTTGTAGTCTAAATAAATAAATGTAGTCAGACAGATGTTCATTTTTCCAGTAAATGGAGGGTTGTAGCACATACGTACGTAAAATTGTTCAATGTACAGTAATACCAACAAATAGCCTCCTGAAATACTGCGTATTTGCAGCACCATTCTTCAGAATCAATAATAGTATAATAATATAGTCAATAGTCATACACATTATAATGTTTCAGTTTGAGTTAAACTCCTTTCGTAAACATAATACCTATTTAACGTTTATTTGCGTATTGTTACTTAGTTTTATTCTATAGGAAGACTAACAATCAGGCGCCGCCGTTCATTCACTCACACACAGCAAAGAGACATCGGATTAAACTTCACCTGTTGAATAAGAAGCAAAAGAATAGTTAATCTTATAGTTAACCACAATTAGAAACGGAGTCAACGGCCGTCACATCAGCCGGATACATCTAGATGCGACATAAAAGGCGCATTAACAAGATATAAACAATCACTGCAAAGCCTATTCCAGCCAGTGAAAGTGTACGCCAGGCGGCGCGGGCGCGGCGGCCGCGGCGGGAGGCGGGCGGCCGCAGCGCCTCCGAGCTATTGTCGCTCATTCATCGGCTCCGCGCTGGAGCTCTCGTAATCTCACGCTCCTCAAACACAAAAGACACTTTATAATGACTACAATAGACAAATTCATTTAGAGACTCAAATTAGAAGAGACAAACTGTGAAAACGACGTTTCGTAATCTTTACGTAATCCTGGTCCTTATGAATCCACCAAACAAAAACCTCTCAAGTTATTATGAATGCACTAGTTATTCTAGTCTGTGAGTTAGGTGCTAAACGACCTAGTTTATAAACTTTTACATTACTAACAAAGGCGATTCGTAACCACACTGGTATTTACATAAAAGAAAAAGAAGATACAAATATTTCTCCATCTATTCCGGCTCCGCAGGTATCTAAGTTGTTAAATCAATATTTTCTTTCTTTATACTGTTTGTAGGTGACTATAAACCTCAGTGCAACGTGTACAGAGCTTTCACATAATAATATTTGCACAGTAGTGCGAAAATATTTACTTATTCGTAGGTTGATATGCAAAGGATTCAAGAATTTAAAAAAACTATTAGGAATTAGGTAGGTACCTAACATATCATCGGTTTAAATAAATTTTATGTGTTTAGCTTTTTATATAGCCCAAAAAATAATGAGGGTAATGTGTAATATGGTACCTAATCTGTAACTGAAGAATTTCTATTTCGATATAGGCACAGGTAAGAGAAATCCTTACAAAATATATTCCCATTGAGCAACCACTGTTGTTCGTAATAAACCACACACAATCTAAAATATAAAGTTACATGTCTGTAAACTTGCAAACCCTATGCAGTTCCTGGCCCTCGTGCGGGTGCGACAAAGATCACGGAGCCCGCAGACAGGGCTGTGCAGCTCACGAAATATGTGCCACTTTCACTATCCGCATGAATCATACGGCGGTTACGTCGACAGGATGCCTTATAGTTACATGCTACGTCCGCGACATATTGTGCAACATACTGTCCGCATTTCAAGCTTATAAAAACAACAATGAGTCAACGCCCTTACCAAAATAATTATGGGTAGATACAAAAAAGTTCTTATTTGGAAATGATGACATGATATCCGAAGACCACAAATTATCACAAATTACGGAAAGGATGTTTTTATTACGAATAATTTCTAACTTTCTAATTTCATAATATTTTACGAATGTAAGTTAAATTAAATTGTAGCGGAAACTTTAATAAGGATTATCTAATGTTAAGATTTGAAGAGAAATTTTAATTAATGCTTATTTTTCTTATGAACCAAAAATATTAATTAATTTAAATAAAAATTAAGTCATTAATTCTGAATTTAAATTATGAATGTACAATGTCAACGGCCGCGATACTTAGTCTTCTAATTTTAAGAATTACGGTTTAAATTTGTACATATTATACATCTATTAGATCTGTACACAAACATAATACCTAAAATAAAAATAAAATAAAATAAGCCTTTATTGCTGTAGTTACAATTAACAAAAGAGATACGAAATAAAACGAACTTAAAAACTACTCTAACATAATTTCAGCAATCGGTTTCTCTCCTCTTACAACAGCTTGTCTTTCGACGAAGGCCTCCTCTAAGGATTTTCACTTGTTTCTGTCTTTTGTAACCATTCTGGCCCTGCTACTTGTTTCAAGTCGTCTTCCCATCGTTTATGCAGTCTTCCTCCTCTACTTCTCCTGCGGTCTCTAGGGTAGACCATTCCGTTATTATTTTGATCCATTTCTATCTCTCCTCTCTCAGCATATGTCCTGTCCAACGCTATTTCAGGACTCTATGTACTGATAGGACATTTCCGAACTTAGTATTTTCTTTTATCTCTTTCAGTTGTATCTTATCCTTTCTTCTTACTCCCAATACAAATCTCTCGATTCCATTTTGACATACCTTTAATTTATTCCGCTAGTGTTCAGTTAAGGTCCAAGTTTAGCATCCATATATAAGACACATATGTCTTACATATATATAATTGTACATAAATAAGTCTGAAATCCGACCAGAGAAAATAAAATACAACTAGAGATATGATTACCTAAAGCTACAGCACTATAAGATACAAGACCTGACGCCATTAATAAACATTGAATGGAAGTCTCAAGTCTGCTATTATCTAGTTATGAAATAAAATAATTTACGTTGCTCTGTTTATTACGCGTTTCCAAGCTTTCTACTGATAAATAGTAATTTAATGTGTATCAACTTTCTTACGTCCGCCATTAGAAGAGCAGGTGTCACGAACAATAAGGCCCGTCGTACACAGCTACTTATAAATTAGGCATATTACATGGAACACAATGCTATACTTACTCCAAGGGTTCCCATCGCATTGCCACGAATATGTTGACAATGACAATAGTTAAGCTTGCTAGAATGCTTAGGGTTGTTGACTGTTGTAGTTTCATTCACTAACTTCAATTCAAAAGCTTTCAATCTTTAGTGACATTCATAGTTTGTGTGATCGTGAATTTTCTTGTGAAAATATTAATGAAAAATATACTTCTTGTTCAAGATTGTGGCTATTTACAAATTGTCAAGGAAAAAATATTCTCATATATAATTCAATTTTTATCATTTAATTCTCCCCTGCATTATAATTCACTAGCTTTTTTATGCAAACAAAGCCTCTTGATTTGAGTAATTACACCCAACCCTGAATGTAGTTAAGTACTCTTCAATGTACTCTGTTAACTGATCTGCAAACAATGACAAGAGTATACATTTTGTGGCTATGTCTATCTATTATACTTACAAACAACGGGCGAAAGTATCAACACATTTTGTACGTGAAATTGCATTGGAATTCATAATTCGCATAGCAAGACTTCCCATTTGTCATACGATAAAATAATTGAAGCATGTTTTTGTTAAGTTCTGTATACAATAAATATGAAGTGTTGTACTGTGTGCAATATACAGTAGTTTCTAGGTATATTGCATACAGACAAAAACCCCACAATGCAAAACGTAATGCGCGTCAATTCGTTTATCGTTTCAAGTGGTGTTGCGATAATTTTGGAATTCCCAGCATCCGCGAGACTCACTTTCGTTGAAGTCCTACTGCCGTTTTATGTTATGAAATAGTATAAGCCGCCCTCATTCCACGCGCGTCCGCATCACCGGCCATTGAACAATCGGAACTGCCCGCGCCTGCGCATGCCCCATTCTAATGAACGCTTGACGCATGAGTTACACAACTTTAATATTTTTGAACAAAGGTCAATGGTGTATAATGTTACGTTACGACGCTAAGTAATGGTCTGTCTAGAATTTAATATTTGATTTATAGTGTTTTTATATTTACTACAAATGACATTCAAAAAATTCTGTCTACTTTCCTTTTGTGAATGAAACTCGGTTTGGGGATAATAAGATGATAATTATGTTGCATTACGTATTTCGGTGTAAAACCAGTTTAGAGTCGGAGGAGGTCTTCGTAATTGTGGTCCTGGGGAGATTTTATGTGGTAGCTGAAAGGCAATAAGAAGAAATTAATTTCTTTTTATTTTATCTTTCTTTGGTAATGTGTGTAATTTTGTCACAGAATTCTACTGACTGCTCGATTTCTTTAATTTAATTTTGTGTATGATAAATAATTATAGAAATATTTTGGTGATAGTTCTCCACCTATTATCTTGGGTGTGGTACTATTTAGTTACGCGGACGTACTTCCATTTTCCGCGTCAAGTTTTCGTTGCATTATGTACGAGTATTTCCGTAGTATTAATTAGAAACTTTTTTACTATCAAAGTAAGAAGAAATCTTACGTAACTTTCTAAAATGCTTGCTCGTTCAAACATTAGTCCATATGACTTGAACATTAAAATGCAAGCAAATTCTACAACATCTCTATTGAAAGCAAGCCTATAATGCCTGCTTCTAACATTTCTTCATTACATTTTCGCACAATCTGAAGTAATATTTACGGAATAAAAACAAACTTTCACTTTTATTTTGTGTTCGATACCAGAGGAAGTATTGACACATTTGCAGTAATACAGATAATGTTTTGTAGGTAAGCCTCTTATGTAAATCGGTACATCGGAACACTTGGCGTAGAACAGTGACTAATCCAACCCGAATTCAGATCGTGTTCCGTTTACAAGAAAGTTGTGACACGGTATTGTTATGCAAAGCGGAT